ATAGATTAGTTCACAGGGTGGATCTTCAGTTTTTGGAAACAGGTAGATTTTTCCGGCAGAGCCCGCATCACAAAATTTTGATTTCCAGTGTCGTGATTTTTTCCCTGACCTAAAAAACAAGGAAGAGGTCAAAAAAAAAATCCTTTTAATGGTCATATATTAAAAGTAAAAAAATTAAAATGTGTTTTATAAACTTAATATCAAGTATATATTTAATTTCATTATTTTTATTTTTAAATAAAAAGAGCTTATATAATTTACACAATTATCATTTATCTAACTACAATAACTTAAAATACTTCGTAAATAACTGTTAAATAATTAATTGTAATATATTACATGCATCAAAATCATATCACTTAAGAGAATTTTTTTCTTCACAATTTAATAGGTTATCATCTTTTCAAATTTTAATTTAATTTAAAATTTTATAAAAAATGTTATTTAATTTTTTTTTATTAACAAGGATAAAATACCATTTAACTTTCATTAATTGAAAATAAAATGTTATTTTTAATTTCATCATCATTTTATTATTGCAAAATCGATTTTCATGGTCACTGAGGTCAATGACCTTAAGTGAATTGACCTGCATGAGCGTTGCATGGTTCGATAGGTGAGGTCATATAAACACTTTTTTCATTATTACATGTTTTTGCGTATCTCTAACAGAAACAGAGTTATCGCTGTTTGAAAATTAATTTCGTTTGCGGTTCCGTTCTTAGCATTCTCACACACCGCGTACCGCGCCCAAAGTTGATGATAGAGATCTGAGAGTTTCACAACTTAATATCCATTACTTGAAGGGAACATCCCTAAATTTTTATCAAAATATTTTCAAAATAGCGGATTTTACGGGACATTTTGAAAAAACCAAAAACTTCAATTATCTCGGCTTCTCTTGGTCGGAGAACCAACATCCGGGTATGGTTGAACTCGTCTCATTAAATTCTACAACTTTGCTGTTGATTGCAAAATCATAGGTCAAAGGTCAAGGTCACTTCCGATGACCTTGTTTCATTCAAACTGGAATTTGAGCATCAAATGCAAACATTTTTGAAATTCTGAGATGGCCATTCAATTCTTCGTGAAATTTTACATACAATGTGTGAAAATGGCGAAGTGGTTTTTTCTCTAATTTATATTAAAATAAAAAGATTAAAAAACGTGGTTTTTTGGTGCTCGGATCAGCGATTTTTAAGAAAATCGAAAATAGCTCGTTTTCTGTGCGTCTGAGGCAAAAAATGATTATGTTCAAAATTGATCCCCATTAAAAGTTCTATCTAAATATGCAAAGGTCATTGACCTTTTGTAAACTTGGGTCAAAGGTCACCTTGACCCTTGTCCTTCAGTGAAAAGACCCTAATGTGTGATACATGGTTGGAAAGGTTTTATCACTAAAATAACAATGGTCACCATATTTTTGTCTCTGGCTTTATTTTCCACCAATGTAAGCTGATTATTTAATATATAATGAAAGAAAATGCGCTTTTTTCACAATAAAACCATCATAACTAGGTCGAAAATGAAGCCGGAGACAAAAATATGGTGACCATTGGTATCCTAGTGATAAGACTTTTCCAACCATGTATCACACATTAGGGTCTTTTCACTGAAGGATAAGGGTCAAGGTGACCTTTGACCCAAGTTTTCAAAAGGTCAATGACCTTTACATATTTAGATAGAACTTTTAATGGGGATCAATTTTGATCATAATCATTTTTTGCCTCAGACGCACAGAAAACGAGTTATTAAAGTTTTTCTTAAAAATCGCTGATCCGAGCACCAAAAAACCACGTTTTTTATCCTTTTTTTTAAATATAAATTTAAAGAGAAAAAACTACTTCGCCATTTTCACACATTGTATGTAAAATTTCACGAAGAATCGAATGGCTATCTCAGAATTTCAAAAATGTTTGCATTTAATGCTCAAATTCCAGTTTGAATGACACAAGGTCATCGGAAGTGACCTTGACCTTTTACCTAGGATTTTGCTTTCAACGGCAAAGTTGTAGAAAGTGAAAAGAGGAATTCAGCCATACCCGGATTTTTGTTGTGCGATCACGGAAAGCCGAGATACAGCCGTTTGAAATTTTCAAAAACCCAATTTTGAACGTCCCGTAGAACCCGTAAATTTATAGATATTGGGGTAAGACTGGGTAAAACTATATATTTTTGAAAATCTCCTTGCATGGTCTTTCAGGTCCTAAAATTTTGTAAAGATCGCACGACCCTTGCCAACGCATTGTACCTTTCACGAATTTTCGCCGAGCTGTGATATTGATTGAATGCAGAATGTCAAAATTCACTTTTTTTGTCATTACACATTTTGTCGTTTCTGTAACAGAAATAGAGTTATCGCTGGTTGAAAATTAATTTCTATTGCGGGAAACCAATTATTCAGTTTTTATAATATTCAGTTAAAAAGGTAACTTTTCATCAACAATCACACCCAAATCATTCCTGGATCCACCCAAATACAAAATTATTATTAGTGACCTCCGAGGATAGAAACTTCAGAAATTATATTTAATTTATTTTAATTGAAATAGATATCAAATTTTTAAAATTTTAAATAACAATAAAAAAGTATGTTTTAATTTTATTTAAAAGGTAATAAAAAAATTACACTGAAAATTAGTAAATTTAAAATTCAATGTTATTTCGTCTTCAATTATTTGAAATTTTTAATTAATTTTAAATTTTTTTGTAATTGAAATTAAAATTGATGACATTTTAATAAATTATTAAATAGTATATAGTACTTTTCAATTGTTTTCAATATATAAAATACAAGTTATAAAATAATATATTCTATTTTAACAAATAATTAAAATTGGTGTGTGTGTAATTTAAAAAAATTATTCTAATATGAATTAAAAAAATTATATATGATAATTATGACCATGCATTTCGACTATTTCTAGCCAACTTTTTTGTCAAATTGTTTTCCCACACTTCACCCTTAGAACCCTGGCTCACCCTTTGAGGAGTTAATGTTTCTGGCTATCAAATCGAAATGTATATGTCTCCCTTTTAAATAGAATATTTGAGTCCATGGCGATTATAATCAATTAATTTTAATTTCCAAAGTAAAATTTGGTCGTTTCTGCATCTGATATTTTCCATTCGACGATAAAAAAAAATTATTAACAATAATAATAAGGCACGGAATGTTAATTCTCCAGGGGCGAAAATTCACCACGCCGCCTCTGTTACGTGTTCAAGTATTATGATTTTCATGGAATATATATTAGTAACAAAATTTTTGTAGGTCTCCTCCCGTCTGAAGCGTGTCATACCGTAGAATTTATACAATTCATGGACAACTTGGTCGACTCGTTTAATGGAAGCTCGTATTCGCATGCAAAACCTTTGAAAGGCCGGTTAGTATCATCATGATTTTCTAGACGAATTTGATTGAATTTGTCTTTGACAACTGAGCTCATGCATTTGGCTCATTGATCGGAGCCAAGTTAAATAATGTCTTGGAATTATTATTATTAAGCCAGAGAGGTTTAAATAATAGGTATCATAATTTTCAATTTTTTAGGCTGCATGAATCCTCTGCCCACTGGGATTTTTGGAATAAAGCTGAATTATTTGTGGGGAAATGGAAGTTCAGAAAAAAAGATGGGACAACAGTCTGGACGCCATCCATACACTCTCTTGTTTGGCTGATTCGATCAATGAAACTATTTTTTCCGATGATGCGTGCAAGAGGGTTTGAGTTTCTCTTAACAAGAAGAATTCAGCAGGACCCTCTAGAGAATTTCAACGGGGAAATACGAGAGCAATGTGGTAGCGGACATTCCCCCACAGTTTTGACTTTCTGCGCTTGCTTGGTTGGAGCTTTTTTTAACCTTTTAATGTATCTAAAACTCCACAATGAAAAGAAAAATTGTGAGGACGATGGATTAAGCTGCCGTGAGCTGGCACCTTATATTTTTGATGCATTTTTTAGAAAGGTACATTTAAAAAATTAAGAATGAAAAAGTAATGAAATTCTTTCCATAAGGTACAACAAAACCCCACCTTGCCTTTGGAGCCTGAACCATGCGAAGACAGTACATCTGATGAGGAGTCTCAAGATGCGGACGATGAACTCATTGACTTGCAGAGCCAAAGTGATTCGTATTTTGGAGGAGTCGCATTGAAAAAGGTGGACAATGTTTTGCATTGTGCTATGTGCATTGAATCTGCGACATCCAGTGAAACACTGCCCAGCCAGGTCTATACCATGTTTAGAGAGTATCGCGATAATCAGTCCAAACTGCTGTACGTTAGCGACAATTTCGCAAACTTTGTTTGTTCAAAACTGAGGAGAATTAAGTCAGAGCTCCATACTAAACAGAGTATGCCAAAAGATGTATTCAGACATATATATGACAAGGTTTTGAATGATGCTTCATGTGAGTTTGGTTGTTCACGTCATTCTGAACAATTTCTTCAAATATTATTTCAATATATTTTTAAATGTGCAGTGCATTGGTACGCCAAAGAAACTTTGAGGAGTAAAAAGAAGTATTCTAAATATTACATTATTTACTTTTAATTTTTTCAAACGGATACCTGTCTGGAATTAAGAGAATATTTTTAATCATTATTATTTCTATTAAAAAACACTTGCTATGCGGCCATACATACGAAATGTAACCCGTTAATTTATTTTTCCGCGTATGACTGCCAATAAATAATATTTGTTTTGTGCGTTGACCGCTGGAGCAAGACCTTGTTGAGCAAGACCACACATTATTTTTATTGTTGATTTTTACCGCCGCAAAAGTACAATCCACAAGCACGCCTTGATTCTGATTGGATGAGAGCTCGATCGCTGCGCCTCTAGCGGATAAAGTATTGTCAAAGAAATTTAACATTGAGTGTCCCATCTCTATTTACATTGTCTCTGCTGGACAACGACCTTTTGGTGCGTGAAAAAAAAGAATGGGGAATTTAAAGGACATGCGCAGTGTTTGCTGCGTTTTGATTGGCTAAGAAGAGATTCGAAACTGATTTTCAACCAATGACAACCTGTTATCGCCCGACGTAAACAAAAACAAACTGGAGACGAGATGCAAATTTTGCAGAATTTTAGATAAAATTTCAAGTTTTCGGAAAGATCTTGAATAGAAAAATGGATATTGAATCCACTGTGGCACCGCACGTCTTTAAGGCGATTCAAGAACTGGACGTGGAGGCGATTTCCAAGTGCAGCGCTGCCGAAATCAGACCCGTGCTGCCGACTTTGTCGAGGATCAGCCTTTTGCCTCCGCTGGATTCTTCGAAGAAATGTGCCGACGAGAGAATTCGCATTTTGGCCACGCTCAGTGGAATCGAGGCCGTGAATTCCATCGTCGCTTGGCTTTCGATCGACTTTCACGCTCTGGAGGTTGATGTGAAGCGAGAGCAACAAATTAGGTCTTGATCTGATTCATGAATTAATGAATGATTTTGATTTCTAATTAAAAATTCATTTATAGGTCTCGTCCCGGCAGTTCAGCTGCAGACAGTGTATTGGTCCAGTCGCTGCAAGGAGGACTATCTTTGGAATTCGAAAGAGGCGATTCGACCCGAAGTCTGAGACTTGTCCTTTACGAGCTTTTCTTCGTTGCCTCTCAAGTAATTTGATTAATTATTTTTCTCAATTTTCGTAACTAATTTAATGTTTTAAACCTTTAGGCTGCAGATAGAAGGGAACAAGGGGTCATATATTCCGAGCTTTTTGATCCCCCTGTGTACCAAGAGAAAATCTGTGACATTTTGTGTATCGCTCTGGCCGAGCTTCCGGCTCTTTTAAACATTACCGAGGTTATAGAGTATTTGCTGCACGTCCGATATGGGCCGTGGATTATTTGCAGACTAGTAGCAAACCTCCCTGACAATTTTAGAGAAGGTTGGATTAACTAAAACAATAATTTAAAACTATACTAAACGCTTCATTTCAGTTTGTTCCGCTTTGATTGCAAATGGTGAGAGACAGGAGGACGAAGGACCGAGTTTTCAAGCTCGAATGAAAGCTCTCAGAATGTTGTGCCAAATGAACCCTAGCAAGGCCTTGGCAGTGCGAGACAAATGCGTACGGAATGATGATAGTTTATCATTTTAAATAGAACATCATTGGCATATTTTCAGGTCGAATTGTGCAGGATGCCTGCCTTGGCAGTTTTGCTGACCCTCCCTGAGCCTGGCCAGGATGGTTCGGACATAGTAGCCTTCGTATCTGGTCTATTGATTGGCAATGACCCGAATGCTAAAAACTGGTTCTCATTATTTGTTCGAAGTGGCCAGAAGAGAAAGCAAGAGTCTCACCTTGCTCTTCAGGCCCTTCGAGCTGAGTTGATTCGTCAACTGGAGGCCCTGGTGCCGCCGGACGACCAACTCGTTGCCTCCAAAGTTGCACAGGCGTCCGTAATGCTCAGACTTTTCTGTGCACTCAGAGGCGTTGCTGGAATCAAGTAATTTATTTATAACTATTTTAAATTAAAATTTTCAGATTTTTATTTTGAAGAAAGATATTTGTAACAATGATTTTGATGTTAGATTTCAAGATGAAGAAGTGACGCTCATAGTGAAACTAGTAACAAGCCATCCTCCACCTTCAGCGGCGGGAGTGCATTTTGTTTCACTTGGGCTCTGCATGCTGATAGCGTGCCCGACTTTAATCCTCCAACCAGAGCATGAGAAGAAATCGGTTGATTGGGTAAAATGGCTCGTCCAAGAGGAAGCTTATTTTGAAAGGTTGCATAAAATAAGTTTTGTAAATTTCAACAAACCATTTTCTTAACAGTGCTAGTGGAGTGAAAGCGTCCTTTGGAGAAATGCTCTTGCTGATGGCCATTCACTTCCACTCGAACCAACTCTCCGCTGTTTGCGATCTCGTCTGCTCGACCCTGGGCATGAAAATTCCCATACGACCTCACAACCTGTCCAGAATCAAGACCATTTTTGTCCAGGAAATTTTTACAGAGCAGGTATGTATCTATAGAATTAAAATTAATCAAATTGAAAACTTGTGCTTCTATAGGTTGTCACGGCCCATGCTGTAAAAGTTCCCGTCACTCCAAGTTTGTCTGGCCAAACAACAGGCTTTCTGCCTGTGCACTGCATTCATCAGCTCCTGAAGAGTCGCGCTTTCTCAAAACACAGAGTGCCAATCAAAGACTGGATCTATCGTCAAATATGCAACAGCGAGTCTCCACTTCACCCTGTCCTGCCTGCCCTCGTTGAGGTTTATGTCAGCTCCATTCTGGTGCCGGCAAACAAAGCTGCCGACAACCCGATCAACACAACCAATGAGCCCATCTCTGAAAATGAAATCAAAGTGGTCTTCCATGCCTCAACATTCAAGTTTGTAGCAAAATAAAAGACTTTCAATATTTAATAAAACGTAATTTAGGGCCGGATCTACTGAACAGCAGCCTTCCCTAACCTCTCAACTGCTCCTGCTTTACTACGTCTTGCACTACGAGGACCTCAGACTTGCAGCTCACCACAAAAATGCCAAGGCTTATTCGTCGGAATTCCTGGCCCAGCTTCCTATCAAATATTTACTGCAGCAGGCACAGAAAGAGCAACAAAACTTGGGAGGGTTGTTTGCTCCCCTTCTAAAACTCTTGGCCACTCATTTCCCACACTTGTCTCTGGTCAACGACTGGTTCGAAACAGAACCACCGTCCTTGGGAACTTCCCCTTTGAACGCTCCCCTGACGTCGGATGACATTCACAAAGGTTGAAATGATTGAATTTTGAAATTATTGTAATTTTAACAAATATTTTGAATAGCTATGGCTGAAGTTTCGTCTCATCCACTGAGGACGATTCAAGTGCTTCAGAGACTTGCGGATATGCCTCCAACAGAAGCCTGGAGTCATGCAGAAGTTATTACCATCCACTTCAAGTCAGTCTTAGCGGATCATGTACCTCGGCGAGTTCAAGGTAAAATTTTTTAATTTAATAATTTAAGCAATAAAATAAAAATATATTTTCAGAGCTGTATCAAAGAGTGTGGCTAAGACTCAACACCGTCCTCCCCAGGAGCCTGTGGGTTTTGACAGTGAACGCCCTTTTACTACCAGAGCCAGGTCACGACACTCTCATGGTGCCGTTGACTCAGGAAGATGTGGTTTTAGATCCTCTCCAGGTAAATAAATACATTTCGTCCTATTTTTTTTTTTTTTTAATTATCTCGTATTCAAATCAAAGGTTTTACGGTGTGACGAGCGAGTTTTCCGGTGCGCGCCTGCTCTGAGCGTGGTGCTCAGAGTTCTGCAGGCAGGACTGGCAGCTTCAAGGTCACACTTGGCGCGTCAACTTCAGGATCTGCAGGTGGCGGGCACTGCCTCCCCTCAAGAACTGAAAGAAAGGGATGACCTGAGGATGGCTCTGACTGCAGCCCAAGAGTCTGCAGCCGTTCAAGTCCTCCTTGAGACTTGTTTGGAAAACAAACAAGACAAAGTACGTACAATTGTTTATTCAATAAGTTTATCGTTTTGAAAATTAAAAAATTAATAATTAAAAAACTGTATTTTCTCCGTAGGCAAAGCCTGGAGAACAGTGGGCCCTTCGCGAATGCAGAGGAGTTGTGTGCAGCTACCTCCACCAAGCCTTCATCGCAGACCCAAATTTGGCGAAACTGGTCCATTTCCAAGGCTACCCAATGGAGCTGCTTCCGGTGACTGTGGCTGGAATCCCGTCAATGCACATTTGCTTGGATTTCTTGCCCGAACTCTTGAGCCAACCAGAAACGGAAAAGCAAATCTTTGCTGTAAATTTGGCGTCACACCTCAGTCTTCAGTTTGCCATGCCCAAATCCTTATCAGTGGCAAAACTTTGCATTTCGGTGAGATCATTTAGAATTGCCAATTGATGGATTAAGACTAATATGAATAATAATAGGTATTATCGACCCTACTGAGCGTGCTGCCCAGCACTGCCAGAGCTCCCTTCTTTTCTCAGACGTTGGGTGCTCTTGTGAGATTTGGCCAGGCCTTCCCACCTCTGCTAGAAGAAATTTTGGTTTTCCTGCAGCAGCTGGGAAGAGTGGAGATGTCTCAAGGTGCGTTAACAGGCCATTCATGCAAAAGGGGTCCTGGGAGAGCAGTGGGAGTCCCTCAAGACAACGTTTGTCTTTGTCAGGAAATCGAAGATACATTTGGGCAGATTATGGAAAAGGCAGTTCTGAGCCCAACAATTTACTAATGTTTTATATTTGTTTTCAATAATTACCTTGAAAAAAAAGACATAATTTTTTTTAAATTTTATCAATATACCTTAATTTTATTGAAATTAAAACAAAATAGCTGGTTTATTGGTCAAGTTTCCAAATTCGGTTGCAAATGTACATCATTTTTTTTTATTCTTATTGGTTATTCAATTGGGAAAAAGTAAAAGGGTGTGCTGGAAGAAGCTAATGATGAGGGTGAATAGAATAGCTCCCACCAAGACAAAGTCCTCAATCGGAAAGCTCAGTTGTTTGCCTCCAGCTATGAACTGAGTCAAGTAGGGCATCAGGAGCACTGCCGAGATGATCCAGGTGGCAGAAATGGCCACAGCAGCTTCTTCACCGCCTCGGAGAACTGTCAATGCCACCACAAAAGCAGCAACTCCGCTTAAAATCACAAGTAGCTCAAAGCTTTTCTTAGTCAAATCCGTCTTGATCTGAAAAGCTGACGATGCAAATTTTTTAATGATTTTCAAACGGCCTTTCTGACCTGCAGGGCCAACAGGGTCAGGGCGATTGAGGTCACGAGGGTTAGGCAGCCGGCAAAGTAAACAGAGATCAGGGTGTAGTTGTTCCCAATGAGCACCAGATTGATGGTCAAACTTCCCCAGAGGACGAGCATCAAACAGTCGTTGAGGGGGCTGGACTGGGGTGATGCCTGCCAGGCAGCAAGGACGATCAGGGAGGCTGCAATGGCGGCGGCTGACCCATAATAGAGCCAGTGCATGTTGTACAGTGGGTTGGCCAGCGAGGTCGGCAACAGCTTGGACAGGGCCACCAAAGTCAGGGTGGCCAAAAGCAAGACCAGCACCAAAGTGTAGAGGTGCAGAATGCTGGTCCGTCTGTCTCCCTCGTCTTTGATTTTTTTTTTATTGCTCAATTTTAAATTATTCACATAAATGCAGGAAAAAAGTACCTCTTTCATAGTCAATACCATCCTGGGAATGAATTCTATTTACTTGCCCAGGACTGTGTGTTCCGTCGTGGCTCCAAAGCCGATCTCCGTTTGGCGCTGAAGGTGGCGCCGAGGGCCTGTTCTGGTGGACAGGAGCCAATGAGCCCAATGGATTGCAAACGGCAAAGTAGGGTGGAGGCGGTTGAATTGGAAGTTGCGGAATCGCAAAAGTCTCTTGCGGGCCTTCCCCATCTCTGCCTCGACTGTTATTAATTGTGGTAGACATGCTTCGTACGCCGACTCAGAACACAATAATTTTAATTTATAGAGAAAGCTTCAAATTTGGCAGTTTTGAGAACGAACTTTGGTTGAAGAATTCTTAGGCCAATCCAATAACTTAAAACCAACAATGCTGTTGGAATGACCGTGTTACTTCCATTTTAGTTGTATTGCGCATAATTCCATATTGTTGCGAAACTTTACTTTTTAGCATTGACTAAAACCTAGCAGAAGTTTTGTCCCGCGTCCGATGTAAATATTATTTCATTCAGTTTGATGAATTATATTGACTTTCGAATTTTCTAAATGACGGGGATTGACGGGGATGAAGAATAAACAATATTTAAAGAAATTCTATATTACGGAACAAAATTTCTTGCTTATAATTTCTTCATTTTTAACGTCATAATGTGGATTCAATGTGCGATTTAATAGTTATTAAACGTTTTTATCATATCCTTGCTTAGGTTTTTAGGAGAGAGCAGTGTATTAAACATTAATAATGTGAAAAGTTAATGATTAAAATGTTTTGCTGTTTAGTTTCAAAAAAAATGTATAGATTAAAACCAACAGAAATAATAATTATTATCAAAATAAATTTACATATAATGGGTGCATTACAATTTGATTATGAAAGTTTAATAATTATATGAATTGTATGGGTATGCCGCATTTGTTGACTTCGGCGTAAATTTCATCCTCTCTCGTGATTGCTTAGAGCAAAGGACGTTCCCGCAATTGCACTTGCAAATTTTCTCACGTGGACGCTTCAATTTGCTCAAGACGCCATCTAAAAATTAATTTTATATATTTTAATTTTTTGGATTTGTTAAAATAATAATCCTATACATATGATCGAAATGATCTTTTTCAATGGGTGTCTGTCTCATTGCCCGAAGAGTAAGAGTACATCACATATATCACATTGATAAGCGCATTTCAGCAACCAACTTTCGATCAAAAATTTAGAAAGTGTCTTTTTGATTTACATATCATAAGAGGCTTATAGTTCCCAAATACATCAATCTTACTTCAATTTAAAACGGCAGGTTAAAAATTAATTTAAAAATCTACTAACCAACTGAAAAAATTTGACTCACCAAATATCTGTTCCCTTTCATGGGAATTGAGACGTTGTTTTATGCCATCAAAAATGTATCTTTCGTTAGGCAGGTAGAAGAGCTGCAGAGTTTTGTTAGCGGCTGTCGCAGCGATCCACTGAATCAATGTTTTTAGGAGCGGATCTCCCTATAAAGTTTATTAATTTTATTAATAATTATAAATAATAAACTATACATGAAAGAACGTCTGAATACCTTGAATCCGCCGCAACCCCAAAATCCAGTCCCTATATTCTGCTCCTTCACGTTTTTGAATCCAACGTACGCTTTGATTGTTTCTCTACGGATATTTTCCGCTTCCCATTGCGCAGCATCCCCAAGAGGATGTCTTGAAAAATCCATTGCGTCCATTGCAATAATAGATCCAGTTTTTATCATTCTATCGATGGGCACGTATTTAAAAGTGAATCCATATCCCTCGCATTTGCTGAACTGTCCGGCATTTTCAACAATGACAACCTCGTCGTCAGCCAGCTCAGGGAAGAAAATTTTCAGGACGATCAATTCGGGGCAAGTGATGAACCTGTTCTCCTCTTGAAGACTTCCGTTGCCCAAAACGCCGCCTCCCAATCGCCTTTTAAAATAATCAGTTTTTTTTTTTTTTTAATTTCAGGAGAGTTTACTTGTTTGAAAACATCACTTGTCCAGAATCATTTGGGCACTCGAAAAGATCTCCTTCGATATTTCCGAATTTACTCAAATCCAGAGAAATCGTGCTGGGGTCAAATGGAAGTTGAGGGGCGCCGCTTTTACTGCCTCCCAGACTCACCTTCTTAAAACGAACATCATCTCTCAAATTTCCTGTGTAGGATTTTGTTTGATATATTTTTCATTATAAATTGATGTTTTTATTATTACCCCAAAAACCGTATTCGGTGACTAATTTGAAATAGTTCAAAATGCATTTAATTTTCTCTTTCTGTACAGCAGGGTTGGTAGAAATACTGGTGAATAATCTGAAATAACGAAATTATTTTATTAACATCCAATCTGAAATTTATGCCTTTTTTTAGATTTACCCAATGAAATTAATTTGTGGCATCGTTTTGTTATCTGCGTGGTTGGGAAAAGTGCAAAGAAACGCGTTGGCAAGAATGCACACAATCTGTTCTCTAGTCAGGATGATTTCCTCGTCACCAAGTTTGTCGAAAACATTTTTGTGCGTGGAAGATATTTTTGACGCAATTTCTTCAATTTTTTTATAAGTTTCTTGCAAAAACACCTTTTTGCAGGAGGTATCAACCTGAATGCAGAACCGGAATGTTAATTTTGTTGTCACTTCTTAGAATATAAGCAATACACTTTACTGTCTTTACTGCGCAATAAAAAAACTCACCGAGAAATTCAGCGTTTCTTCTAGCAATTGAAAGTTCCAATGAGCAGGCACTTGTGCATATTTCCTGATTGACTTTATCAAGTCATCAGTGGAATGCAATTTATTAAAGACGCCCGATGATGTCCTGTAACCCTTCCACTGCCATTGCACCGACTTTTTGAACTGCGCCAAATCCTATTAAAAGGATAAAAGTTGCCGTTGAGCACAAATTTAATAAGAAAATTTTTCCATTATTACCGTGCGCGAAAAACTTGGAGGAGAATAATATGCTGCGTTCATTTTGCTGAAAAATCAATTGAATATTCATAAAATTATAAAAGTTTCTTTTGCATAAAAATTTTATTGGATACAGAAGAAAAGTGGAGACGAATAATAATAAATAATGCTTTCCTCGGTTCTTATAATTGCTATATTAAATTTTTTATTGATAGTATATTACAATAATTATAATTTATATTGTGAAATTAAATTTTTAGCTTTTGAAATGCGCTCGGTACTTGATGAGGTAGCTTGGGTACGCCTGAAACGCGAGGCAAAAACTTAATTCATGTAATCGACACAAATATTTTCTGAAGAAAAATACCTGGGTGTCGTCATAGACGATAATTTCCGACTCGCGGCCAGCCAAGGTAAAGTGAACCGAGTGACAACCCTGAGGAAGCGTCGTGCCTGTGCTGTTGGTAGGGTGTACTTTGCCCATCGCCACTTTGCACACGAGCATCGTCCGCACGCACGAAGAGCAGTCGGCTTTGCCGTGACTGGGACAGCCTTTTCCCAAGCCGAATGCGTAATTGTTACTTTTGGAGGAATGTTCGGCAAAATAAATTCCTACGAAAATTTAAAAAAAAATGAATAATAATACAAATCATGTTTAAAGACAAAAATTTTGATGAATTTGTAAAAAAAAATGGAAGTACTTTCCAAAAAATAAAGCAATTTTTTTATTGAAATTGAACCAACCTGCGCCGAATAAGCCTTGACTGCGCGCAAACTGCAAATTGAACCCTTCGTTGCCAATAACCTGAGCATTCGGTGTGGCGTGAAAGAGCCTTCTTTCCTCCACCCTGTGCTTCTGTCCAAGTTCCGTGTAAATCCTATGCCTAGTTTTTTGGTAATTTGGCCAAGTCTTGCCGTTTAAAATTCGAAAAACCTGAAGGTTTTAATTTTTCGAAATAAAAAATTGTAATTTAATAAGACCTTTAAAACTCACTTCAACAATTTCATAGTTCTGCACTTTGGATGAAGAGTGGTTGGTTCTGTGCATTTTATCATAAATCCAATGAAAATCTTTTTCGCGAGGGTTGACTTTTTCAAGCTTATAGCCCATTACGAAATGCCGGTGCGTCATCACTGCTGAAAAACGGCCCCTTGTATTGAAGCTGCATAATTTAGATAGATGATGCCTTAGACTTTAATGTTGACTTAAAGTACGAGAGGACGGAAGACTATTTTTTATTGTTTCGTCTCATTTTTTAACCAGTTATTTTCTATTTATATAAAACTTTAATTAATTTTTACTTATTGGATATTTTATTTTTTAATAATCAAGTTGACGTGCAATTTTTTTAGTTTAAGGATATTGTGATAAATACGTATACAGAGTAATTAATGTTCCGCAAAATTTGCTGAAATTTAACACACAAAAACTTATTCTGTCTATCGTGCAATCTCAAAAATTAAATGTAGCTTCTCCTTTCCAGGCAGGATTCTAAAATTGGATTCCAATGAGCTGTAAGAGCATCACACTCATGTTCATTTTGCGCCAAAGCAAAATTTTAGAATCCTAGTATTTTACAAAATTTATATTGAAAAAATTCCGATAATGGATAAGATTAAAATTACATGAGGAACTTCAGATAATTTTTCAATTTAAAATTTTCCTGATGAAAATTTAATTATAAAAATGTAATTTCAAGATATCAACTATATTCCCTAGCCAAATTAAAAAAAAAAAATACCCGCTCACCTTCTGGCTCAAACAGAGTTCTCTTTAAATATAATATTTCTGACAAATGAGCGCAAAAGAGTACTTCTTGCCCCTTTTTTTAAGCGCGGCCGTATGATACTCCAATATACAAAATTTATTACAATTCAAGCATAAACCCTCCACTTTTCTAGTAATCCAGTCAATTTAATAACTATAAATAATAATAATAAATAATAATAATAATAATAAATAAATAATAATTTTTTTTTTTCAAACGCAAATATATCAAAGTCCATTGTAGAAACTGTATTTTTGTTGTAATTGTTTCTCATTAAAACATTATATTTTATGATTCAAAAAAGTAATAATTACCTGAAGCCCTGCGAGCCTTTAATGATGCTTTTTTTCAAGTCTTTCGACCTTCCCTTTTTGTGAAAATCGCCGAGTCAACAGTCCACTCTGTCGTGGTTTTGGGTTGACTAGGCTGTCTGGCGAGTGGCGAGAAGTCTTCGTTGCTATTATATTGCAGCGTAAGCGCGAAAGTCTAAGGGTTCACTCGATTAGCAAAAGTCTATTTGTGTTGAGTTTGGTAACGCGCAATTTAGACTTTTATCTGGTGACGATAAAATGAGACTTGAAATGGTCATAAATTCATAACCATAATTAATTAGTAATTAAGAAATACAAATATGAACACAAAATAATAATAAAAATTGGCTTGCCCCCGCTGCAAGCTCATCATAAAGAGCATAGGTCGATGGGCCCACTATTTAATATGTTTTTGATACTTCAATTAATATAGTGCTTAAAATTTTTTTTTATAAAAAATGATTAACTGAGAATTTCCACATTAAGAATGTTGTATTTATTTTTCACAAATATATTTTCAGCTTTCTTAGGTTTCTGATTTTTTTTTAATTCGTCATTTGTGTTGAACAAATTAACTCCCAAATTAAATTCTCAACTCAAATTAATGCATTGCAAAAATAGATTTGGAAAAATGCAGAATGTAGAACAATAAAAAAAAATTTAATTTTTGAAAATTTATTTGAGATTTTAAAAACTGCGTAAAAGTCTCCGAGTAGTTTTAGCCCCTACCATTGCACTTCTTTTTAAAATCATGTATTTTGCAAACACCAGACAGTGCTAACTTGTGCATTAATTATTTAGCAGCGAAATCAAAAGTCAGTTTTCAGGCGTAAGAACAGAGCAAGCAGCGTGTCTCACGGCGAGGATTAAATTTTCTTATAATTATTTTGATTTCGTCAGGAAGGATCATTGCGCGAAACGGAGCAAAGTATCACGCGATAATTTTAGCCATAAGACTACGCAGAAAGTCTTAGTCCGAGCTGCACTCGCATGACAGAATCGCGGCTGCTGATAACATTTAGCATTTGCGAGTGGCGATGGACGGCGAATCTTGGGTAGATGGTTACGAGCTGCGTCTCCTCGACCGGAGGCACGAAAGTGTCAAGTGGGCGCGACAAAAAATGAGCAACACGATCGTCTCGCACAATGGACTGAAAATTGCTGGATATGAAATTATTGAGGTAGGATATTTTTCAAAATTTTGTTTTACAATCTAATATCAATTGAAAAATTGGTACTTTTACCAAAAAATTAGGTCTATCAAGTATTAAATTCGGATCTGTGGAACCAATATCGAATTCGAAGAGATGAAATAAGACAAGACATAGGAGGCCGAGTGAAGGAAGTGAGACTTTTCCATGGAACTAATTTCGCACGATCTATTACCGAGGATGGCTTTAAAGTGAATTTGGCTAGTGATAAAGGGATGTTTGGAAAAGGTATGCAAATTAAAAAAAAAAAAATAATTAAAACTTATAGATTATAGACGAAGAAAAATATTATATAAAAAAAAATGTCATTAATCATTATTCTAACCAAAATGTTATGTTTTTAGGAATTTACTTTGCCGATTTGTCTTCCAAAAGTAATCAGTACACCTTCGAGGGCTGCAACAAGCCTTGCAAGCAACACAACGAGGTTTATTGTTCGGACTGCGAGCGCACCATGCTGATCTGCAGGGTTGCGATGGGTGCAGAGTACAAGGCGCGAGATGCGATGAATGGCATCAAAGCGCCTCCGTCCGGCTACCACACTGTTGTCGCAGAGCCAGGTGTCTGCAAGAACATCAAGTACCCAGAATATGTGATTTACGATGATAACCAGGTACGTTTTCAGATAAGTCTCTCAATTCAAAAATTTTGTATTATCTTTAATTTCAAGGCCTATCCTGGTTACCTCGTAAAGTATAAAATCAAGAAGTGAACTGCAGCAAATCATCACAAAAAGTCTCCAAATGAAATAAATCTCTTCCATAGCAGCGCCAAAAAAAATTAATATTTATGTTTGTTGGAAATCTTGAATAAATAAATGTTCATTATTTCATACTTTTTATCCTTTTTATTATAATTTATAAAAAGGGTGCATAAAATAAAAATTTAATTGACAACCAAACCAATATTAAAATTTGGTGCGTCAAGACTAAAATAATATATTTAATTTTCAACGGCGTATATGATTACACAGAAAATTAATCTTAATTTTTATCGTTATCTATTGGGCATTAATGCCATTTACAAAGAAAGTGTTCACCAAAAACTAATATTTCCTGTTGCGTTATACTGCTTTAACCTTAAAAAGTCTTTGTTCTGCGTTCATAATATTTTCCTATTTAAGGTGAACAATGGTGTACAAGCTTATGAAAATGAATAAATAAAGCTTTGTTTACTTCAAATTTTTGTGATGTTTAATTGAAAAAAGTATTTTTTTAAACTGCATTAACAGAATAAAAAATTTATTTGTGTTATAAAAAATTGAATCGTTTTTTTACAATTATTGTTTCTTCTACAATTTTAAGTCATTAAAAGAAATTTAGAATTGTGTTCATTTTAATTTAAAGTAGAGCATCGTACAATTTTTACGGAGTTTAGATACAAAAAAAGTAAAAACGCATAATATAATATTTAAATTTATTAAAAAACAGAATCTAAAAAAGTAATATTTCTCTCATAATTTTATCAAAACAGAAATAAATAAATAAATTGTAAATAGAAAGAATTAAGCCTTTAAAACTCAATTTTTTTTTTTCAATAAATAAAATTCATCAGGTTGCATTACCTTATAATTTATATACCCATTTAATATAATAATAAATAAAAAAGAAAAGTAGAGTTTGATTGCTTAAAATGTAAGGATTTAATCTAATAATATTTATGATAATTCTAATAATTGTAATCTTTTTTTAATTATCTTTCCTGAACAGATACAGCTGAAGCGCATCACAAAAGTCAAAGACCGATGACATTTTTTTTTTTCAAAATGTTGAGTAAGCTTACATTCTTATATATCTTTAGCAAATAATGTAGTAGACTTAAAGAAGTCTTACTTCCAGTCTGCAAACATATAAGAAATTGGTACTTACGAGAAGTTGACGCACTGCTTAATTAAATTTCGGAATGGACTGCGAACAGTGGGTCGATGGTTTTGAGCTGCGTCCGCTGCCCAAAACCCACGAGAGCGTACAATGGGCACGGCAGAAAATGTCAAAAACAATCGTGGAGCACAACGGCAAGAAAATTGCCGGCTACGAAATTGTCGAGGTAAAAACCAAATCAAATTTTGCATTTTAATACAGCAACGGACTTTTATACATCTTGTATTTAAAAAGAAAAATGTTAAAATTCATTAAATTTTTCACGCAAATAACATCTTATGCTCCAACACAGGTCTTACAGGTGTTAAATTCAGATCTGTGGCAAAAGTATCGAATGCAAAGGGATCATATTAGACGCGATATCGGAGGCCGAGTGCAAGAAATTAGACTTTTCCACGGAACTAATAATGCACTTTCCATTGCAGAAAGTGGTTTCCAGGTTAAATTCGCTAAGAAGAGTGGGATGTTCGGAAAAGGTATATTTTATAATGTTGACTCAATCTTTTTACGCGAACTAAATTATTTATAAAATAGCATGGAATCTACAAAAAAAATTAAAATTTCAGATATAAAATATAAAATAAAAAAAATTAATTTTTAGAACTATCTTATTTTTAAAATTTTACAAAAAAATTAAAATTTTAATAGGAATTTACTTTGCTGATTTGTCTTCCAAGAGTAATCAGTACACGTTTGAGGGTTGCAACAAACCGTGCAAGCTGCATAATGAGGAATTTTGCGAGGTGTGCGAGAGGACTATGCTGATATGCAGGGTTGCGATGGGCAACCAGTACAAGGCGCAAAATGCAATGAACGGCATTGAAGAGCCTCCTGCCGGCTTCCACAGCGTTGTTGCAGAGCCAGGTGTCTGCAAAAACATCAAGTACAGGGAATACGTGATTTATCAGGACAACCAGGTAACAACATCATTATTCTTATTGACAATTAAGTAATTTTAAATTGCAATCATCCAACACAGGCCTACCCTGGTTATCTGGTAAAGTACAAGATCAAGAAGTAATTTCCGAGGCAAAATTGTGTTGTTGACAACTCTGATAATGTATAAAATACATTGTCTTCCTGCTGTAAAATTAACTTTCACTGACTAATCTTTTTCTACTGATTTTTTTAAATATCGACAGTATTTACATTACCGCATTTACATATCAATGTCATACATACAATTTATATTTATGAATGTAATTGCCTAAATAAAAATAATTCCTTATTTATCAAGAAAATCGTTTTCCTATTAATCACTTAAATTGTTATAATTGATGAAAGAGTATATTTGTTCCACACACAAAAAGACACAGTTTTTATCCAAATTTTGTTTCATCAGAAAGTTCAAAGGGAGTATTAAATATTGGAAGTTTAAATAATCTCTCTTTTTATAGCCACTTTATTTTCAACAAACTTGATAATTAAGTGAAGCACAAACGAATTTTTATTTGCAAATCGCCTAGTCTGCTATTTTAGTGGGTATGGTTTTATTTAGTTTCAGTAATTGCACCCATCAAGAGTCATCTCCATTTAAAAGTCATTTAATTAAGGGTTTTAATTTCATTTTCACTAAATATTGCAGGTTAGAAAAAAAATTATGTAAAAATGTCTTATTACTGTTTTATAATTTTTGACAGCATCAGAATTACATAATTCACAAATAGATCCATTATTTCACCTTACAGGAAAAATAACAATCTGTGCATGACTTTATTACAAGTCTAGATAATAATATTTAATATTTTACCCTTCAATTCAGTCTCCAGAGTAATACGAACAAATGGATAAATACTTCAAGCAATCAATAAAATAAGTCGTGGCAAAAAGAAACCGGAAAAAGTCGCACCTGTGCTTTCTCTGATCTTGCGGCGAAAATTTCTCAAATAAATTTATGATGAGGGTGCACTTTTATAAAACGTGACCAGCTCGAAAAGTCACGCATAAGGGAAATGGTCTCGTTAGGGTTCTGGGAGGTGATTCGGCCGCTGCGTCGGCTTCTGGCCTGGAGCGGCCAGTTGCGGCCGCCTCGAAAAACCGGCCGCCTGCTGCTCTGGGTGGCCACAACGGGCAGCTTGGTGCTTTTGACGGTTCTGTCGCTGGTGCAACTGGTGATCGAGGCGGCCGCCGAGCTCGGCTCGGCCCTCGAGATCGTCACCATACTGACCACCTTTGTGGAGAGCTGCTTTAGGGTGGCCTACCTTTCAGGCAACCACAAGAATTTATTCAAGCTGATGATAAAATGCCAAACTTTTCCAGGTACTTTTATATTTTTAGTTCTATTGAGTTACTAATATGTTAATTTCTATACAAAGGAGTTTATGCGATGAGAAAAAAAATTTAATTTAAATTGTATTATGAAATTATACATTTATTATTTAAGTTTATCCCCCACAAATATTTTAATGTTTTGAATAATCAATTCATTTCATTTTTAATTTGAAGAGAGCATTGATGAATTTGATCTAGCATTAAATTATTCTTTTTTTAGTGCATTTAAAGATTATATTAATTTACAAGTTTTTGAAATTTCAAAATTTTTACTTGTATTTATTGATCGTTTCAAAATTGATTGATTTCAGTTTCAACTTTGAGTTTTACGCAATCGGAGAACACTTTGAAGGCGAAAGTGGGCAAACGATCACGGCGCGTCATTTACTTTTTCTACGGCTACGTCTTTTTCGTTCTCTCCGGCTACCTTTCGCTGCCCTTCTTGCCCAGGCCCGTCGCCGAAACGACTTCAGACATCACTGCAAGCATAGTCAGGGAATATCCACTCTACCTCCCCATGTGGACCCCGTTTGGCCCAGAAGCGCTTAAAAGACCACCTTTCTATCAGATGGCAGTCATTTGGCAGGTAGGTTAAAAAACTTTTATAAATAAATTAAATAAAAAAATTAAATTCTTCAAACAGGCGTGGTCATTTGTGGTTTTGGTAACAGTTTTCTGTGGCGCCGATTGTCTCCTCTACTCTTTTGTCATATTTATTCATGAGGCCATGCAACACTTGCAACGAACAACTCCGGGAAAACCCGCCGTCGCCAGTCCCAAAATAGTAAATTCGCGATGTGAGTTCAAAGACGAGTATGAAATCTGGATTCAGCAACATCAATTTGTTTTACAGTGAATTCAAATACTTTTATAAAATAATAAAATTATTTAATTTAAAATTTTTTTAGACTGGCAACCATTGTGGAGGAAATATTTGCTCCCATAATTTTAACTACGTTTCTCGCTAATGGTTTTGTAATGTGCGTCTTGACCTACGTACTAGTAAAGGAAAGGATTTTTATAATTTTAAATCAAATCAATTATTGAACTGAAATTAAAAAATTTAGCTGAATGACATAATTGGAATTTTGTGCGTATCCGGCCATCTGAGCTGCATAATTGCAAAACTGTACGTCATGGCGAGATTTGGACAAATGTTGATCGACGAGGTGAACGAATTTTTTTAATTTGATACATATACATTTTTCTTCTAACACGATACGCAAAATTTACAATAGAGTGAGCACCTGAAGTCTAGCATGGCTTTTAAAGTGTGGCCTGACATGGGAAAGCGGAGGGACGCGCACATCATCAGTCTCAGGTGCTCGAACCCTATCGCCCTGACGGGAATGAAATACTTCACTTTATCAGTCGAGGTGTTTGGAAGGGTATGCATTAAAAAAGCATTTTTGGTAAAATGTCCGACTCTCTTATAAATTCTAGGTTTGCAGCGTTGCGTTGAGCTATTTTGTAGTACTACTTCAAATTCACTGAATATAATTGGCCGTGAAAAAAAATGTAATGGATCGATGCATTGCTTGTTATTAATTATTTATTTATAAATATTATGTATTTTAATTGCAATAAAAAATTAGAAAAAACCCTGTGTGGCCAATAATCACGTGCATTGTGAAAAAATGCAATAAAACATTAGTTCAAACTATTAAGGTAAAATCACTAAAATCGTAAAATGCACTTTCCCACATTTTCCACACAATATGTTTTAAGTATTTTAAATTTTTGCGATTCACTGAAGCAGAATTTCGTGGAAAATGTTTTAATTTTTTTCAAATGGATTGGACTTTAAAAGCTTCTGCAAAACGATGAAGCAGAGTTTAAGTGCTGCGGAAGCGCACATAGCTTTCAGGGACTTTTTAAAAGAGAATTTTGAAATTTTCAGTCGACTAAGTGACGAGATGAAGCTCGCACTGGTGGTCGCATGTTTAGTGGCTGTAAGTTTTAAATTACTACATTTTTTCAAAATTTCAATGTGGTAGAAATTTTTAGATTAATTCAATTTGTTAATGGATGCTCAAAGTTTAAAAGTTTTTCGATATATCGCACATTATATCAGTTTTTGGATTTTTTCTATTTTTCATTTCAAAATCAATTCTTTCGATCAGTAAAAAAGAGAGCAATTTGAAATAACGAAATTGACAAACCAAATTAAGCTCGTCGTGGAGTTAATTTATATGTCAGATCATATTGTTCAATATACACACGTTTTTTCAAAAACTAATTTTTTTCCAGTATATTTTAGAATGGAATTCTTTAGCAAGCCTGAAAATTTCGGTGGCAAAAAATGTGAGAGTGAAACTTTCGCAAACACCGAGAAGTATTAAATTTTTAAATTTCCAATATCAAACTTGCAACTCGCTTGAATTTAGAAAATGCAACAAGGAGATACGTAATTAAGATGTGTTGTGGAACGAGCGCCTCGTCAAAATGCGACCCTAAATGGCAGAACAAGCACAAAAATGCACCCAAATCAGTAAAAATGAATAATCTAAGAACTTTTTGAAAAATAACGTTTTAATTCAGTCTATCAAAACAACTATACTGAACAATGCGAAAGAGACCACGCGGCTTTCCAAAACTACCCCTGCGCCAAGTACTGAAAATACTGTTGAGTTCAACTCCGAACCCTCCACTTTGCAATCAAACCTGGAGACATCTGCGCCAACAGAAGACCAAAGAACTTCGTCCTCTGAGACAATATCAAACTTTGACCAGTCCAGTCAGAGCAACGTTGTAGAGCAAAAAAGCTCTGCAAAAACCGAGCAGATTTCTTCCAGCACTATCACAAGTGCGCCCATCACTGCAATTTCAAGCAACCCTTTTCAGACAACACTAAATGAGATAAAAACTTCAGTAATGGTGAACAGCGCTTCCGTGGCAGCTGCAACCGCTCTAATATTGACACAGGCTTCAACCAATTTGACGTCTTCAGCTTCATCACCAGCCACAACTTCTAAAATGACCACTTTTTTACTTTTCTCGCAGCCAACAACCATAATCGCACAAGCTACACCGAGTCTAATTTCTTCTTCTGCCTCCACCATATTGCCTTCAACTACACCAACAATTCTTCAATCTGTCATCAATACTTCACCACTTCCTGTGATAAATCAAACTGCATCAACTGCCAATTCTTCGCCTCCAAATGTGAACGTCGCCACTTCTTCTGGCCTTGCGAACAACCAAGCGACACCCTCGGCAAACTCAACAGCGTTCAATGAGACTCAAATGACAAATGGCACATCAGAAATTGCAACTTTCAACACAACTAGTGCAAATGAAATCCTATCGATCCCACCATCATCGATGGAGTTTCCTACATTTTCCTGCGAAATAAATGTAAAAATAATCTTATCAAATTTTATTTTTGTTATTTATAAATTTCATTTCAAATTAGAGTTCAGAATTTAACAGCGATGGATCAATTTCAAGTAAAAATTTTTATCAGAATATTTTATGAAATAAGTAAAAATTGATGATACAATTCCAGTTTCAAGCAACCCTGCAGTTGATGGCGTATATCGCGTAGCTTGTGGTAATCTGTACTTTTTCAGCAATTCTTCGGTAAAAATATTTACTCTTCATTTCTTTTTTTAAATATAACTTTATAATAAATTGGTGTAGAAAAATTGGAGTGAAGCCTATTCTGACTGCTGCAAGCGGAACATGAGTCTTTTAAAATTCGAAAACGACGCAGAACACTCTTGCATCTCAACATCTATCATTGCGAGTATAAAAATAGATTAAATTAAGTTTAAGGATTTTTTTTTACACACGATATTCAAAACCAGGGAAATACTATTATTTTGAGACCGATGCAAATTGGTGGATCGGTGCATCTGATATGGGAAACGAAAGCATTTACAAATGGGTCTATTCCACAATGCTGACGACGGATTTAAACCTCACGCAGTCAATAAAATTCGTATCAGGGCAACCCAACAGTTCCTGCGACGTGGAAGATTGTTTAGCGGGTGTAATTGTGGCGTCCAAAGTGCCGCCCAATAACCTGCTACTTGATGATTTAGATTGCTCCACGATGCAGAAGTACATTTGTGAGGTCTGTAATTTTCTTAAGTTTTTTTTTTAACGCAAAAGAAAATATTCCAAAAGATAAAAATAAATAGTTATTTTTACTAATTAGTCTCAGATGCCAAAACCAGCTCCTTTCCCTGAATGCGATAATTCTTTGTGTGTTTCTGACAATACAGTAAGTAACATTTTTTATGAAGAAGATTGGTACATATAGGAAAATTTTGAAACTTCAAACAAAATGAAATCAGATAAATTGAGAAAAATTTAATTTAAAATCAATTATTTGCTCTTTTACTAAAAATTCATTGTGGGATTAAATTATAAGATTTAAATTAATTTAATTATGAGAATTAATACTGTATCCATTTTTATAATTAAAATTTCGCCGCTTGAATTTTCTGTAATTCCTTTAAAAGTCTTGTTAAATCTGCCAAATGAAAATCCCAGCAAAATAATTAAATTATTTTTACACATATCTAAATGTGAGCGTGATTGTTATAGCTAATTTACAAACTTTTTCTAATTATAGACAAAAACACTAGTGCTGTTGGCAAACCAAATTGTAAATCAAATCATTTCGCAAAATCTAACTCTTTATCAACCAACTACCATCAACGCGGTATTCTTCAGAGCTTGCAACAGCGTTTATTTTTACCTAAAAAGCTTTGTGAGTTTGTATAAAAAAAATAATACACATTTTGCTATTATATTTCATTTCAATATACACCCTCAGATAACTTGGAGTGCAGCAATCACGGAATGCTGCAAATACGGCTTTAGTCTTCTGAGCGTGGAAAATTACGAAGAGCACCTTTGTTTGGTGAATTTTAACAATTGTAATTATAAATCATATAACTGTCACTAATTTTTAATTACCTAATCTCCTAAAAAATTATGAGTGCTATTTAAAAAAAAAATTCCAGCAACTTTGAATGCTGAAGGCACATTCTGGACTTCGGGAACTAATCAAGGCGTGCTTAGCGAGAACAATTACGGCTATTGCTCAAATTCGCAATTGATCGATCAGTCTCCTTCTTTTTGGAAATCAGGACAACCAAATTCGCCATGGCTTGAGCGATGTCTGTCGTTTGACTTGAGAAAGGCTTCTCTCGGTGCAAACGGCCTCTCAGATCAACTATGCACGAACAAATTGTACCCCATTTGTAAACTTAACAAATTTTAAATCACAGTTTGTCACTTAATTTCGAATTAATTGATTTCAATCATATAAAAATCTCCACGCTACCAGTGATAGTGATGCGACATAGAAATAAAATTATATGGAACAAAAATTGAAAAATTCCAATTTCAAAAGGATATTAATTTATTTGACACAGTCTTATATATTTCCCACGGCCAAACCTTTGGTAAGGCTTTTCCGATTTGTATAAAATTTTATACAGGTTGATTGCTCTAGCAATAAGAGGTTGCATGAAAACATTATAGTCTCGAAATTAGTGATATTAATTTTTTCGTTTTTGAGATATTTTGGATCCAAATGAAAACATTATTTAAAAATAAAAATAAATAAACGCTGAAAAATTCACTTTAAACCTCCATAATGTAATTTTTCCTGTTAAAATTACATCATAAAATGTATGGGACAAAAATTAAATTTTGGGTGAAAATTAAATTTTCGGTCAAATGGCTATTAAAAAAAATCAAACATTTAAAGCGATGTGGAAAAAAAATATCATAAAATTTGATATCGATGCTTCTTCGGGGGGGGGGGGGGGGGGTGAGAAAAAGAATTCTTGATTTCTGATGTTATCATGCATGTGTAAGAAATAGGACAATTTGATTGGCTAACATTTTTATTTTGCAAGAAATCCTTATTGACCTTAATTAGACCGCCAGCTATTTAATTCCGTTTTTATAAAATCAATGATGCTACGGGTGTATTGAATTGTATAAAATTGCGTAAAATTGATAAAATTTAATATAATAATTTATTGTAATTTCACTTCTACAATGCAGCAACAAAATACATGAAAAGAAAATTTCTTGTTCAAAAGTAAAACAACAAAAAAATGGTACGTACAATTTGATTTTCAGAACATTTTAATACGTATAGAGAGTGTTTTTAATTCTTCGCTTTTTAAGTTTATACACCGCCATATATACAATAATTTCCGCGGATGCGAAATTAATTTAGGTTTGGTTGATAGCGGTATGTAATATGTACATAAAAATATGATGTGTATTATATATTATATTACATTGTATTATGTAAAACGTTTTCTCGCTGGTTTGTATTTATATAGGAATCGTTAACTGTCTGCAAAATAAGTTTTTTTATTGCATTTCTCCCTATATAGTAAAGGATGCAAAGCTTATCATAGAAAGAAAATAATAAGAGAACCTGAAGCCATAGGAGGCAATTGAAGCGGTGACAAGCATTTCTGTTCCTCATCTCACGATTTTGCCGGCACTGCGAGTGCGAGGCAAGATGTGGCATGTGGCTGAAGCTGCAAGGCGTGTTGAAAAACTCAAAAACAAATTCAGTTGGCAGTTGTTTTCTTCCTGAAATATCTCAGGTTGGTACGGCTGCCTCCAACAACACAGCTGCTGTCGCGTTGGCAATCTCCTTCTTCCTCCAGGTCAAGACCGGCTACTCGTTTTCACACACACATTCTCTGTTTTTTGTCGTTTTGTCCCGGTCGTGGCCGTCTGCTGAGAGAAATGGGCCGCTGGTGGACGTTAGCGTTGGCCTGCTTGGCCGTTGCGGCCGTCCGAGCCGAAGATGAAGAGGCCTCGGCGCGCCTGCTCGCTTCCAAACACATTCTCAACCGCTACCTGGTCGAGGACATGGACCTGGTGGTCAAGTACACCCTGTACAACGTGGGCCAGGCGGCTGCCCTCGACGTCCACATCGACGACTTCTCTTTCCCCCAGGAAATGTTCCAGGTAATGCTGAAGCACTTTTCTCTCAGGAAATTCCTCAGAGCTTCACTCATTTCTTCATAAAAGGTGTTTAACTTTTGCAATACGGTACATACGTATCATGGTAGCATGTGCTTTGCTGATCATAGTCTGCATCAGTTGTGCACAATGTACCACACCTGAAAGTTATTTTATCTTACAATTGTGAGGTTTTTATCAACAAGATTATGTATTTATACTCATTTCAATATTTTCCAGGTTGTTGGAGGTCAACTTCATGTGAAACTGGACAGAGTGCCCCCTCAAACAAATGTTAGCCACACAGTTGTTCTGCGCCCTCGAAGGTACGGCTACTTCAATTTTACCGCCGCTGAGGTTCGCTACAAGTCCTCTGAAGATGCTCCTCAGGTATTAATTTTTTTCAGCGAATATAACATAATTATTTTGTTTCTTTGGTTTTTTTCTCAATAATTTAATAGCTTTTAATATGCATGATCAAACACTAAATTTGGCTAATTATTATTTTTTTCTTGCTCAGGTCCAGGTTGCTGTGACAAGTGAGCCTGGAGAGGGAGCCATTGTTGCTTTCAAGGACTACGACAGGAAATTCTCTCCTCATGTGGTCAGTATCTCTTTCATGGAGGTTTTTAATTTTAAAAACTAATTCTTTCCGACTCTTTTTTTAGTTGGACTGGGGCGCCTTTGCCATCATGACTCTGCCGTCTCTTGGAATCCCATTCCTGTTGTGGTTCTCCAGCAAGTCGAAATACGAGGCTCTCGCCAAGGGAAAGCGTAAGCGGGATGAGTGAATCTTTTTGCCAATAAATCCTTCTCTTTTTTTGTTTTCTACATGATGCGATTAAATTTTATTTAACAAGCATGACTTCATCACAAATAATTATTTGAAAAAATTTTGTCAGCTGCTCAAAACGACTTCCCCTTCATGAAAGACTTTTTGTTGTTGGTTTAATCATAAATTTATTAAGTGGTGTGAAGATGTCTGGTAAATGCGAATGTGAAATTAAAGGATCATTTGTTAAAAAATAGTTATTGAAAATTTTAATTTTATTCATCAATACAAAAATAACTTGCAGTTGAGTGGAATGATCACAAAAGTTAATGAAATAACAAATTTGAATTAAAAAGTAACCATAACAGGAAATATCGTACTTTGCTGGGTGAAAAATTTAAAGATAAAATGCCCGTATCATGACCCATAACAAAGATACTCTGGACAACTAGAAAGGGTTTCTAAGGCTTATAGCGCTTATAGTTTTGACTCGAGGGTAAGAAGGCCCTTGAGTTTTTGTGTGAGCATAACATTGCCCTTCACCTTCAGCTTTCCCTTCATGAAAGCAGCCTGGGGGTTGAGTTTTCCTTGCGCCATTTCAACCATGTCCGAGTCCTCCATTGTGATTATGCAGTCAGCCTTGCCTTGTCCTTCCCCAGCAATCACTTTACCCTGCTTCAGGTCCAAAGCTAAATTGGAAAAATCCTTAGGAATTGTTATTTAATCATTTTAATCATCATACTCCATTTTCCAACTTCTTTGCCACCCTTCGTGATGATGTACAGGAAGACTGCATTGATCTTCTTGGCAGTGGCAGGATCGGCTTCCACTCTCTGCTTGATTTGCTCGAAAATGGCAGCACTGCCAAGGTCTGAAGCTGCAGTCCGTTTCATTCTGACATCCACCAGATCAACATAGGCACCTGAGAAGAAAATTTGCGTATTTTGAAAGTTATATCGACATCAGTTTAAAAAAAAACTTACTTCCTATGACGATGTTGTTCGACTCGACAGCCTTCGTCTGGAAGTGAATTCTTGATCCCTCCTGCCACATGTCTGTTTGCAAGGTCTCACCAGGGAACACTGGTTTTGTGAATCTGACCTAAAATACGCAAAACAACATCTTTATCTTATCATCTTGAGCGACTTCTGATAATAGGCTAAGATAGGCTTTCAATAATGTACACACACAAAACTGAATAGAATTGTCTTCCTTAATTTTTAAATAAAAAATTACTTTGAGAGCTTTGAAGAGACGAGGGTCGTTGTTGGCATATTGTCTCAAAACATGTCTGATGGCAAAACCAAGAGAGCAGAGTCCGTGCAGGGGTGGTTTTGAGAAACCCCCAACAGCTGCAAAGTCGGGGTCAATGTGCAGTGGGTTTAGGTCTCCTGTGAGTCTGTAAGTGGCCGCCTGCTGAGGATTTGTCATCTGCCTGATGGTGGCATCAGGCTTCCTCTTTGGCACCTCGACAGGATTGATGGCCTTGGATGATGTCCTTGGGCCACCAAAGTTTCCAGCGCCAACAAAGAAGGAGCTGATTTGGCTGAATGCTACCTTGGTTCCATTCTGATCGTACGACTCAACTGTGAATCAATAAAATAAATAAATTAAATATAATTCAAAACAGGTTAAAATATTTTAGATAAAAAAATTGGACTTTGATTAATGCAATTGCATTAATATTGATAAAATCTTTACGTGACAAGGTTATAGTCGATGTTTGCCTTTTACAGCAATCAGCAAAATTATCTGATAGCAGAAAAATGTAGATTAAGTCCTCACCATCAACCAAAACCACGGCTCCGGATCCTTTATCAAGAACATCGGAGACTTTGCACCTCACCTCCAACGGACCAGAGGTGGCCGGTTGTTCAAATATTTCCAAGTATTGCTCTCCGTGCAAAAGCTAGAAATGCAATTTCTTCATTAGCGTTTCCCGCAGATGTTTAAATATATACATTGGCGAGGCTGACGTCTTTGACAGGTATCGCTTTTATAACGAGGTCACTCTCCATCAGAGCCACCAAACCAGTGTTGATCCAGAAAGCAGGCAGGGCGCAAAAGTCGTCATGATTTTCGTACAAAAGGTTCAAGTCGGAAATCGGTGTGCCAACTAGAGTAGATTATTTTAAGTACGCAAAATAAATTTTTGATTGGTAAAATAAATTACCAGCCAAAGCATAAAGGATGACATCTTTTTCAGTGATATCAAAAGTTCTAACAATCTCATCTTCCTTAGGCCCGTCTCTCACAGCTTCCAGGGCGTTCATCAGCTCTCCTGATGCCTCTTGAATGCTCTCCCTGTACCTGGCAGTCGACATGTCCGTCACATCGTTCCACTGGTCCCTGACGTCTTCAATGGAAACAGCATCTCCAATTTTCTTTCTAAGCACTTTTCCCTTTGCGGTGACCAGGTGGCTTTTTCCTGCCCATCCTGCAGCGCTTTCAATGATTGAGCCGTTGTCTTCATTATCTTCGTGACACAACCAGGCTACAATCGGAGCAATGAGCTCTGGCTTCAGCTCAGCAAAGAATTCTAAATAAATTAATTTTTTTTTAAGTGAGACATTGATTAAATAGTGGATATAGAAACCTGGAGGTAAAATATCCTCAGTCAGTCTGGAGGCGGCTGTTGGCACAATCACATTGCAGTGGATGTTGCTCTTTCCACCCTCAATGGCCAGGGTGTTGCTCAGACCGACGAGGCCCATCTTGGCTGCACTGTAATTTGCCTGGCCAAAATTGCCCAGCAGTCCAGAATTTGACGCTGTCATTACAATTCGTCCATAACCCTGTTGCTTAAAATGAGGCCACGCTGCTTGAGTTGTTTTAAAGGCGCCTCTCAAGTGAACCGAATGAACAAGGTCCCAATCCTTTAAAAGAAAAAAAAATTAAAAAAGAGTCAACCAATTTTTTTAATAAAATACTTGATCAGAGATGCGGGCAAAACTTTTATCTCTCAGGATTCCGGCATTATTGATCAGGATGTCGATCCTACCAAAGGCCGACAACGCAGTTTCTACAATCTTCTGTCCATCTTCCACCGAGTTGTAATCAGCCACTGCTGTACCATCTGAGAATAATCATTATTTTATTTAATAATTGATTTCTTTCTACTTTATAATTAAATTTTTATTTTACTTTTAGCCCTGATCTCCTGCACGACTTTGTCAGCAGCCTGACTACTCTTGCCACCGCCATCCCTGGTTCCACCGAGGTCATTCACGACCACCTTTGCCCCTCGCTCGGCCAGCAGAAGGGCGTATGCGCGACCAAGACCTAAAAAAAAAATCATGAAAACTCAATCCAAATGCGTTTTATGTTTTGAACTGAAATTCACCTGCACCGGCTCCTGTCACCACGGCCACCCGGCCCTGAAAATTAAGCAGCTGCGCCATTCCCCGAGAGCTCGAACAGGAATGACTTGCACAGTCCTCCTTTTCTCCACAACAGGCAAGGTAAAGCGGCCCAAGCAGTGAGCACCGATGAGAAATAAAAATCTAATCATTCATTTCTAGTCAAGTTGATAAGCAACAATAAGCAGTGCTGCCAACTGTACTAACAGCTGCGAGACCGCGTAGTGGGGCAGCAGGTTGTTGACGTTTGACGTTCCCTCGGAAGGAAAACATGCAGGTACGTTTCCTGAAATAGAACATATTTCGGCAGATTTTCCAATTATTCTTGCAGGACTTGCCGATTGAAATCAACGCGGGCAAACTGCTCGAGTGGCTCATCAGTCGTCACCATTGCAAGAGAGACTGGAACGAAAAATTGACAGATGTCAGGGCCAAAATCACAGCTGCCCTGCAAGACATGCCTGAACACGAAGGCCTTGTCAAACTTCTTGACGGCTCTTGTAAGTATGAAATTATTAACGGCCTATGAAAAAATCAATTTCCTTAACTTTTTTACTAAAAAAATGCAAGTATAAAGTTCTTTCCTTTTTGTAATTTTTTGTAATTAAAATTAAATTTTAGATATTTTCTTTATGTTTTCAGATCTTGATTACTGGGGCTGCAAAGGAATAGTTGAAGTATTAAGAGAAACAGAAAAGGACTCGAAGAACTTCCTCGGCCAATACGGTTCTCGTCGTATGAAAGACTGGCAAGAAACCATCAAACTCTACGAGAAAGACAATTTGTTCTTAGCTGAAGCTGCACACCGACTGGCGAGGGATGTAAATTTTGAGGTGCCCTTTTTAAAAAAGCAGGCAGCAAAGGCTCTGCAAAGTCAAGATGAGGCTGACCGTCGAGAGGCCGATTCGATCAAATCCGCCGCCAGTCTCAGATCCGAGTACCTGGCCCAGTGCAAACTGCTCGGCGTTCCAGGCAATAATTTAAAGAAGGAGTTGATCCAACTATCCAGCCAGTTGCCTGAACTTCTGCAAAAAGCAGCAAAACTAGCAGCTGAGACCAAACCTGCACAGCAGCACTACGAGGAAACGGCTGCAATCATGCTCGACTCCGAAAGAAGAGTCATGACCCCTTTACTTGCCAAACTTGCTGAAAAGGTACACAACTTAAATTTTTTTTTAAACTATTCATTTATAAAAAATAATTTAGGGTGATTTGACTGTTTATGAGTGGAAAAGGGGTCAGCCGCCATCGAGAATTGAGCAGGACGAAATTAAGTTTGACACGTCAGAGTCGGAATTGGCTGATGAGATCGACTTTGGCGACGGAGAAGTAGATTTTGGAGATGGTGAAATTGATTTCGGTATTGAAGTGGCTGACAGTGGTGTGGAAATTGGTGTTGTGGAAGAAGTTTCATCTCCAGTGCCCACCAATGAAGATGGTGTGGCGAGAGGAAACGAAGCTCTCAGCGTTTTGGACTTTCCCGATACGAGAAATCAAGTTTTGGATGAACTGATGGAATTGGAATCTTTCCTACAGGTTTTAATTTTAAAAAAGTACTCTGAGAAGAGGTAATAATCATTTTTTTTTTTAATACAGGTCAGGTTGACTCAAGGCGATGGTGTTGTCGGCCTGACGCAAGTTGAGGGTCTTTCGGAATCAACTTTAAAAAAAATGTTGGGCTCTGTGGCGGCCGTGAAAAACGCCCTGACAGAAAAGAAGGCACAGCACTTGCATAACATCAAACACTCAATCAGGTGAGATTTAAAGTTTTTTTATATAAATATTTTATTTGTCAGAAGAAAAAAAACAGATTTTGTATAAAAATACGAGATTTATTTGCAAACTATTTACAAGAAAATCCTCTTTGGCACGTGAGGTGAATGAAATTAATGATGTATAATGTTCAGGTACGCGGACCAATTAGCAGAGCAGCTGAGCCAAAAGCTCTCCCTTGAGGCAAAAATGCAGGCTCGCGCTTCTCTGGCGGTCGAGCAGAGGGCGGAGGCCGTGGCCGAGGCCACCCGTCTTGGACCTGCGACGCAACGGCTCATCAAGCAAACGCGGCGACTGCAGGCTCAGGTTCGTCTAAATTCTCGTCTCCAGGGAGTTCCGTCTCTCTCACCCTCCTAATCTCCACAGATCGAGAGCGAGCTGAGCAAAAAGTACTCGGGTCGGCGGGTGATGCTGACAGGAGGAGCGGGGGTGCTCACAGCATGAAGACGTTTTGCAGCAGACGCAAAGGGGAAGAGTGGCAGAGGGCTTTGGTGTGTGGACAGGGGTAGCGCCGAAGGCAGATGGACAATTGACGGTCACACTCGCACAACATCTGGGCACAGGAGCCTCCTCCGCCCCACTCACCATGCTCGATTGCTGCAACATTTTGTATGTTTTGTTAATCGCTGTAATAAATAAATCTATCGCAAATTGTTACATTTTTCAAATATGATTTTGTATTAAAAAAAACATATCACATATAAAATTATAAAAAATTGTTTAAAAAAATACAAACATACCACAAATAGGTTCATGTCCTCTTATGCACTTCCAGTAGTATGGGATGAAATACTCCATGAACATCGGGCAGTTGGCCGACTGGTAGCACCAGTCGTGTATTTTGCAGCACTTGTCGATGCCGTCCGTGACGAACCCTGAGCCCAGAAAGCCGCAGTAGCAGCCGTAGCCCTTGTAACTCAGAGGGTCGCACCCTGTCGCACAGGACACCATGTTGTACAGGTGGACGACGTGGCGCTTTGACCTGTGAGGGCTGACGGCGTGAGTGGGTTCCTGGGAGTCGTGGGAACCCCAAGGGTCGTGACTGCGCGCCAGTAGCAGTTCCTCGTGCGGCTCATCTTGGAAGTCAGAATCTGGAATTCATAGATATGCCTTGAAATTCTTGCAAATTATTATTGAGCAAAGGGAAACATAAGTTTCAGTTTACTCAATGGCTCTGTACTTAAATTCTTTCATTTTGAATTTTTATTGAATATTTAATTTGGGCAAGCATAAAAAAATTGTATACTGAAAAAGAAAAACAGTAACGTCGTCTTAAAATCACACCAAATAAATCGATCACTTTTATTATTTTAATTTCCGTTCAAAATTCTATATTTTTTATGCACACAATATATTTTTTTTCTTTTTTTATTAGAAATGTGAAGTTTTAATACATAAAATTGACTTGCTTCAATTATAGAAAGCATACAACTCTATTAAGATAGTGCTATGATTTCGCCAAAACACCCGCATCGCCTGGTTGCAAACATCCATGTTTCACAGCGCCGCAGCAAAAAAAGTCACGCGCAACATCCTCTTGTGCACACATGCATTCTCGCGTACATACGTTGCCTTAATTTCATTTCCTCAATTAAAAGAATATGCACTTGTTGCGTCCTTTCTCCTCTTTTCCTTTTGCAAAAAATAAACATTTGTTTTGTATGCAAATTTTTATTTCAGAAACACCGTCTTATAATTTGCAATTTGTCTGCACTGCACGACGCCTATATATCATTTAGATTGTGAATCATTCCTCTAGGATTTTAAATTTGTCCAATTTTAGAAGTTGGTTTAAAAAAAATATTATTCTGATTATTTGTAAAAGTGAGATTAAAAATAATTTTTTTATTAAATGTGTTACATAAAAATATTAAGCGCATATTTTCAATTTGTAAGTGATTTGTGTGGCAAAGAAAGTCGACGGTTATTTGCCGGCGCTCTTCTAATATGTATTTTCTAAAGTGTGGCATTTTATATGTACTCGCTTGGTCGACTCTGTTCGTGTCTTTATTGTGCGTATATAAGTAAAAACTCGAAATGAAAGTGATCGAAGCAATTTTACTCTCTCATCTTCTTCAAAAGTCATCCAGACGTGTATTATTAATATCTCCGATCATGTTCGAAACGCAGTCATTAAATCGTAATTGGAGTAGTGCGAACTAATTGCCCGCAAAAAATTTAATAAATAAAGGACGTGTAAAGATGCAAATCGATTAGTCTAGTTTCTATCTCTCATGATTTTCTCGGGGCGCTTATTTGCTCTCATTGTAAGCGTAAATCGTGGCAAAAAGCAGGTGAGCGAGTGGCCGAGCGAGCGACCGGCTTTTCTTGCTCATTCTAACGAAAGAGATTTTATTCATAGTGAGACTGAGAAATTACAGTTATCGACGAGATATTGAAAGAGAGCCTCTATTTTATATTATGAAGTAACGCGCGCTAAAAAAGTGCAGTGATTTTTTAAGAGTAAATTCGTGTCATTTCAGACATGGACCGCGAATTTGCAGGCGAGAAGTTGAGAGTCAAGATCCGAGCAGCGGCTTTTGTTGATTTCGCGGCGTTGAAGCGGAAAGAAAATACATAGAAAATCGCAGTGGCCGCGGCGTGTTTATTGTGCTCCTCTCCGTGTCTGCCAAACAATTTGAAACGGCGCGACAGGACAATTTAACAAAAGCGCAAAATAAAATGAAGATTCACGGCGTCTAATGGTATATCAAAGTTAAAAATCGGCAAACAAAATTAAAGCGGAAAATTCCCTTCAAAAACTGAAACTTGAAATATTCAAAAAAGAAAGAGATTTCAATGCTAGAATATTATCAATATTTATTCATATCTTTAATTTTTCCTCCAGTTTATTTATGCCAAAAGAGTAATTAGCAAATATTTTAAAGATGAATGATAGCGATTTCGCCAACGAGCGCGTCGGCTGTTGCATCTCTGTGTTATTTCCACTCTAATTATAAGCGAAGAGCCGCACGCTTCGCTGAGTTATTAGCCAGAAAAAATAAGACCGACAACAGGTGTTTATTTTTTCTTCTCCTTTTCTTCAGCGCAGTTAGGCCAGGACAAGAATTTCGCTCCTGTGTCCTTTGCTCTGCTGCTTCCGATCGGCCTCGGAATTTCTCCATACAAAATTTTGAGAGAGGTTTTCAAAATGGATTTCGGCACCTGCTGTGAACGCGGCGATTTTATTTGATGGGAATTATTTTTGCTCCCCATTGTGTTGCGGCGAATTATACTTGCGCGCACGTGTGGTGTTAATTAAATTGCAATATTCAGCAAACTTTCATCGCGACGAGAACGCGCGTTTTTCGCACCATCACTCTTGTTATTATCGCGATTTTTGGCACCTTGAAAGCGAAATTTTGCGGCTTGCAATAAAAAAAGCCAGCAGTCATCGAAATTAAAAATGTGAATATCTTATTATATTATGCTAATGGGGAAAATGTGTTCTCGCGTGTATTTGTCGCACGGAGAGTTTGCCAAAAAGAGAGTAGAGAGAGGCTGAAAGTGCTCTAAAAATATGATATGTGCAGAAGCAAAAACGAGACCAATCGTGACATTTTCGCGTGAACATTCTGCACAGAGTGCTTATTAAGCACGCACGATGATAATACTGTGACTGACTCACAATCAGTCAGACTTGGTCAACCGCTATATGAAAAAAAATCCAAAACTTTGTGCTAAAACACGCAAATCGGTATTTAAAGCGGTTTATATAAAAATAAAGATAGAATCAAAAAGCAAAGGAGCAACAAGAATTAAAGCGCATTTTTTTTCTTTTAATTTTGTTAGATTTTCATATAATATAACACGTGATGTTCAGACAAGAATTGTACCATTTTTAATTTGATCCCAATCAAAAAATTGAATATTAATTTGCTTGAAATAGTATTCAATATGTTAAAATTATTGAATTATTTCACAATTTTTATTAACCAAAAAGGTCCTGTTAAAAATATTTATTTAAAAAAAATAATTAAACAAATTTAAAGATAATTAAAAATTTAGTAGCTAAATTTACCTTACCGTAAGTTCATGATAAAAAAAATAATAAAACTATCTCGAATTGTATTTAAATTTAAATTATAAAAAAAATGATTAAATAAAGTAAATTTGCTTCATAACAGGATATTTAGTAAAAAATTAAATTTTATCCAGAAATAAATTTTCTTAATTTATTAAAAAAAATAATACCATTCTGTTTGAGGGCTGTGGTGTTAAGGACGATGGCCAGGACGAGTGGAGCGACCAGTGATTTGCAGACGCACATCTCGGAGAAGACTGGCTGGCGTGCAGCCTCTGCGTCTCTCGCCGCCCCTGCACTTCTAGTGCTCTTGCTTTCTCCATTCGCTCGCGAATTTCAGGACTCGCAAAATGCACCGGCGAACGCGCGAATCCCTGCCACGGATCTCCCTCCCTCTCAGCAAACATTTTTTTTAATTATCTCTATTTGTTTTGTCCTCTAAGCCTTTCAATATTTTCTCATCATAACTGATTGGCGCGCCTATATTTTATTCCTCATTTTGGTGTCATTTGAGAAAACCGTCTCTCGGTATCCCGACTCTTACAAGTCCATCAGAATAATATGATGTGTGCATATGGTTAATTATATTGAGCGACAACAAGCAATATTTTATAATTGCGGCATTTTGCAAGAAGGGAAATTGGTGTCCGCGCGCCGATGACGAGTCACACTTTTCTCATCTCCTGTGTATGTGCATCTCTTGCACGTCTCTTTCACTTACTTTCAGAGTGGAGATGCACTCTGCAACTGACCCATATTTTGCATCTTACTTATGTTAGAAACAAGTCACAAGTCTGCATAAACGAGTTGGCTTTTCTTATAATTTAATTGCAGAGATGAGGCACTCAAAATGTCCAGAGATTCACTTTTATTTTTAATTGCAATTTATTCATTTCTTATAAATTGATTTATTATTTTTTCAATCCTTTTCTTTATCCCCTGGTAATGATTTGAATTATTTGTAAGTTGGATTAGATGAAGATTCTTGAGCTATACCCACCAATAATTATTCTATTCTGAGCTTTTTTTTAATGGAAAGAAAGTGATCAAAATTTTTCTAAGATTTTGCATGTAATTTAATTTTCTTTTTACTGACTCAGTTGTCTTTCATGTGTATATATTTCAGACCTTATTTTCCGAGATAATTTAATTTATAGCATTAAATTGCAAATTGTGGGTTTCTCCCTATCTACATATAGGCGAACGCTGGAAAACCCGCTGCCCAAAAGCGCATCATACCAGTCAGCAGGGTTCATTATCATTTTATTATTGCGGCGGCCAGGGTCGGTTGCTGACATTGGGATTTCCACGATAAAGCGTTCCATTGGCCACCAACAATCAAGATTTTCATTTTCTTGGAGCAAACGCAGTTCATAGACCGATAGGACACGGAAAATCCACCTTTAATTTATTTAGATATCGTCAAATTTTTTAAAAATAAGGGACAAATTAAAATTGGAAAATAATTTTAGATGTATCATTATTTTAATATTGTGTTTACATTTTTAAAATTCTTCATGGAAAATATGATCATGAAAAACTCCTGTGTCTGAACCTAGCAATAATAATAATTAGTAAACTGTAAGGTTCAGCTTTTCGAACTTTTATTTGATAAAAAAAAATTTTTAAATTCTAATTGATTCTAATTGTAAAATATGCTATAATAATAAATAAGTATGGCAAATAAATAATTACTGAAATTATATTATAATTTTTTTATTTATTTTTTTTTAATTCTATACTTTAAAAATAAAATCGCAATAAAAAATTTGCACTCAAGAATTCTTACTATTTTATATTCCTACGAATTTTATAGTTTAACCCGTGCTTCACCTGTGCGCCTAGTAAAGTTGAAAAAAATGCATTCTCTATTATCAATGAAACGGAATGAATGGCAGAGCCATCTCTCGTCAGTACATTCGGCTCATTCAGTGAGACTTTTCTGTAGTGAAAAAACATTCTCAGCTGGCTCTGAGATAAACACAGTGCTTGAAAACCTGGTCGCAAAAAAAGCAACAAAATACATAATATATTTCAACACACGGTAAGTTTGAATGCAATATTGATTTTAATATTTAATAAATGTTTCTGATATAAAAACTGACGTTTTGAACGGCTTTTAGTAATATGAAGCGTTGGAGAGATGCGTCCGCTATCATTGTAGCAGCTCGGAACAATTTTCCAAATTTTAAAAAGACACCAAACGCCACCGATTATGTTATTTTGACTGCGCAAAGGTCGTCGCAAAGTTCGTTCCTGCCTGAAGGCTACGTTTTTCCGGGAGGTGTCATTGAACCAGAAATTGACAGCTGCAACAAATGGGAACATTTACTCAAGAAACTCAAGTTTCGGAATTTGAATTTCAGCCTTGTTAAAAAATCACCTGGTAAAAATTTAAAGTAAATAGTTTAAAATATTATCTTGACTTTTGAATTTAAAATTTAAGGTGATTTGGAAATTTATCGCCAAGCTGAAGACGAGCAGCTTCCGAGAACCATTTCACTGCGGATAGCGGCTGTGCGAGAGATGTTTGAGGAGTGTGGGGTGTTGCTGTGCAGACTTCCCAGCCAAGACAAACACGCGCAATACGGACACAGTGTAACTCTGAGTCAGGCCCAAATCGATACATTTGCTCAAAACACCTGTACAGACAAATTCTTCGAGCTGTGCCAAAGCCTTGGTTGTTTCCCCGACATCTGGTCTTTGTCCGAAGCACGGAACTGGCTGACGCCGGCCTTTTACAAGAAGAGATTTGACACGGCCTTTTTTATTTGCTGCCTTGATCAGACACCACAAGTTCGCATTGACGAGACTGAAGTTTCCAACTTTAAAGTATAGAAATTATTTTTGAAAAAATTCTTGAATTATTCCGGTCTGTACAAAATTTCAGTGGGAACGTCCAGCAGACTACCTAGAGCTGCACAAAACAAACAAATTAAATTTGCCTCCGCCGCAACGATACGAGCTGACGGAAATGTCAAAGTTTAACTCTTTGGCGGCACTGAAAGAGGCTGCAGAAAGGGGCGATTTCTGCAGCAATCAGTGTTATTTGCCGATTAGGTACCTGTGTCAAAACGGAGCTGTGATTGTGTTGCCCGGAGACTCGCACTATGAAATCAAAGATACTGAAGAAGGGGACGATAAAAATTTTCAGGGTGTGACAATAGAAGATTTTAGAAGAAAAGCTAGCAAATTACACAGATTTGAACTTTTTGCAAAAGATAAAACAGAATTTATAAAAAATTTGTAGTCACAAGTCAAAGTACAAAATTACTCTCGCATAAGAACCAAAAGTGCCATTTTTTCCTTTAAATGTTTTATCTCTTGCCTACAACACCCAAGACAAAATAATACATTTTTATGCTAATTTTAGTACATTGTAGACTACTATTTTTACTTGGTTGCTGTCCAAATATAGACAAGATCCAGAGGTTCTTTGCTCAAATTGCCTGGAATATATTTTTTTTGCGGAGAGGGCAACTCAACGAAAGTAGAGTGAACATAATTTTTATTTAGCCTGTTTATTTCTCCACTTTGCTGCAATCATGTTGGTTACATTAAAATTTTGAAAGTCAATATTTTCACTATCAAATTTAATCTAACAAAAGGTTATAACTTTAATAATTAAAAAATTAAGTTAATGTTGGTTGCTTATGTTTTTTAATTAATGTGCTTCATTCATTCTTCTGGGCAGTCACTTAATTCTAAATTATTTAATATGCTTATGATGAAGTAATAACTTTTTCACACAAAAACCCTAGAAAATTTCAAAAAATTGTTGAAAACAAAACTCAAACATAGTTGTGTGATAATTATTCAAAGGTAAAAATAAAAACAAAAGGGGAATTCTTAAAACAAATTTAAGTTATTTAAAAAAATAAATTTAGCCCTGCTTTATTGTAAAATTATCAATAGTTAAACACAATATAGTGATATTTCACTCGTGCAATGATATGTATTTGAAATAAGTCGATAAGAAAATGTTTCACGCATATCGCATGATTATGAAACTATTCAAATGTGATTATTCTCACCATTGAGGTGAAGAATTGTGCATGCGTTAACAAGTGCAGTGTGATCAACTAATCATCCATTTTTTGCGAGTAAATTATTTTCAACAATTTCGTTTTCATAAAATTGGAAATTAATCAGACAAATTTGCACAAATTCGTAGAGTTCTTATTTTGCCTACTAGGCAAACACGACGAAAAAGAAAAATACTTATAATTAACACACCCGGCTTGAGGCATTTCGCTTGCTGAATTGTATCCACTTTCGTAGGGAATTCAGTTTTTCAATAGCACAGTCCATTCTCTGCGCCCTTTACATAAACACTTCAGCATAAGCAGATCTTACCTGACCACACGCTCTGCATTTTCGTTCTTCGTCGACACATCCGACACAAGTGGTCATATGGCCGCACGGGAGACTGACACAATTGACATCTTTGTCCTTGCACAACCAGCACAGCAAGCTGCCAGGGGGATCAGCGCTCCTCACTCTGCTCCAATCAATAATTTTAGGGACTTTTAATTAAAATTTGATCTTACTTTGGTTCGGGGCCGTCTGTGGCTACTTCCTCAGCGTCTTGGTAAGAGTGGACGACTTTGTCGATAAACTTCTTGCCTTTTTTGATATTCAGGTAGGGGCACCTGCTAAACCATTTGGCATGCTCTATCCACGGCTTGTCCTTCGGGTCCCAATCTTTGAGTCCTCCTCCGCACTGAAAGCACAGCACCCGATCTCCAGTTCCTTCAAACGAGATTATAGTTAATTTGCCAATGTGAAAATAAACGCTTTTTCAAACCTGTGTAGAAGAACCCAGCATCACAAAGCATCTCAGGTTTCTGGGAGAGTTGTTTCGGCCAGTTGTTGTATGATTTCTCTCGAGAGTGGACTGTACTGTATTGTCGATACTTCATATCTCCTATGGGTGTGATTCCTAGCATCTCAACAGACACGTTCTGTCGCAAATTCTTGCTGTAGTGGACGTGGTCACCATCTAAATAAAGATATTTTGGTAATTTTTTTTATTCGTCCATATCTTGCTTTAGATAACATACACTTTTTAATTGGTGTTGTAATGAATGGATTGTCGTCATTTCTAACAGTGAGTTCTTCGCCAATTTGCACATTATCTGTTTGGCTACTTTGCAGAAAAGGACATTTGGGATTCCATCGTCGATGTTCGCCTTCGGCTTTATCCCCAGGTTCCCAACCTCTCACTTCCAGTTTGCAGAATACACAGCGACAATTGTCATCTACTCCAGTGTAGTAGAATCCCCACTTTGCCAGGTCATATTCTTTCACATTTGGATTGATCCATCTTGACGACAAGAGGGAATAGAGACGATGCGCTTCATATATATAAGAGCTGGGATTAATGACCGGCACATCCCCAACATCATTGTTTTTGAGGAGCGGACAAGCACGTCTAAAATCAAGAAAAAACCTTAATTATCAACTATTACTTGTTAAATATCCATCATAGTATAATTTTTATTTATTTTTAACAAGGGCTTAATTAATGGCACATAAGCTTGCAGATGGAAAAGCTCCTTTCCTTTTTATTTTTTGATTGGAGCTTAAGTCATAAATAAAATTATTACTAGCATTGACATACCCATATTTTTTACGGCTCAGATTGTCATGTTTGGCATTGACTTGCTCCAGGGTCACATCCCCCCAGTTTATGTTGTCGATCGAAATCTCCAGAGCGCAATAGAAGCACTGAATCGAGTTTCCATCTAGGGTGCAAAAGAAGCCGCTCTGCGCCAAGTGAATTCGCTTTGTGGGGCACTTGCTGTCAAAGTTCGGAGGGAAAGTGAAAAATCTGTGCAGTGCTAACTGAAGTTTCAGATTGTTCAAATGTCCATGCACTTGGTATTTCTTGAGATCTTTTTTCCTTCTTTCATATTCTTCTAGCACGTTGTCTTCATCACTACCCTCTTCCAAAGATTTGCAATCAACATCCATGTTTTCCACGTTACCGTCTTGGTTCACTGCATTCAATCCTGAAGGCCCTGCTGCTTGTTCATCGTCTTCAAACTCATCTTCAATGGTGCTTAGAGCGTCGTTTGGACACGCCAAACTTTCAACATCAAGATCAGACAATACTCTGGACACGTCAGTTCTCTCATTCTCGTTAATCTGCGTAAACGACTGAATGATTTTGATTGCTCGAGCGTTTTTATTGTCCAACGCATATTGCAAGGGCGTCTTTCCTAACATGTCCTTCACATTCAAGTCAGCTCTAAGTTCTGCCATCAAGTGAATTCCTCTGTAAAACAAAAACTGAACAGCCAAGTGCACCAAAGTTTTCCCTGCTTTGTCCTTTTCATTGATGCTCCTTGGCATTTTTTCTAACAACCATCCGAGACAGTCAGATTTTCCCTTGACTGCATAGTGCAGAGCGTTCCATCCATTGGCATCTAGAGCAGACATGTGGGCTCCTTTTTCCATCAAAACTTGCAGGATCGAAATATGTCCGTTCTCAGCAGCCAAATGAAGCGGGGTTCTTCCGTTTTTGTCAGCACAAAATATCACAGTATCAGGCACGAAAGTCATTATTTCAAGAAAGATATTTGCGTTCTTAGATTTGGCGGCAATGTGCAAGATCGTCATTCCTTGTGAATCAGCAAGCTGTGGATCGGCGCCTGCTTCTAACAAAATTCTAGCAGCTTCAATATTTCCTATTTTAACCGCCAAAAGAAGTGCTGTATCACCCTCATTGTTCATCTCATTTATTGGGACCGACTTTAAACTTAGCAAGTACGTCAAGATTTTCAAGTCTATCAAATTCTTCTTCTTAAACACCCAATGCAAAATCGTTGATCCTTCTTTATCTATTACCTGCAAGTTGGCACAGCATATCAGCAAAATCCTTATTATCTCAAAGTTTCCGTTTCCTGCAGCATAGAAGACAGGAGGGACGCCGTGCTTGGACAGTCCATTCACCTCAAGTTCCATGTTCATTAGCATTGCCCTTTTCACCCATTCTGTTTGATTCATCAACGCCGCGTAGTGCAGAGCCATCATGCCGTTACTATCAGGCTCATTTAGTGAACCTGGCAGCTTTTCTGCAATAATTCTATCTACTTCCAGAAATCCTCTCTTAGCAGCCTCATGGGTGTTGAAATCAAGATTGAGAAGGGTTGCCCTAACAGGGAATTCACTTATAATCAGAAGTGCGATCTGCTCGTTTGATTTGGACGCATAGAACAATGGTGAATGTTGGTACTTCTTATTCCATTTCTGCGAAAATCCAGACTGTGAATCTTGGATGTTGTCGATCTCAAGATGTTGCCGCATGAAAGGACTGGTGAACATTTTGTAGAGCGTAAGGTGTCCCTCTTTGACAACATTGTAAATGCAGTCGTGGGCTTTTGCCTTTAAAGAGTCAGTTAGTAGCAAATTTTTTACTTTCTCGACATCATCTGCAGTATTTCCAGAATTTGACAGGAAGTTTTCAACAAACATCCTTACAGGGGCAAGATTGGATTGTGTGAAAAGGTTTTCAACAGTTGTGCTACCATTTATGCCATAGTCTACCAATTTGAGGAAACACATAAAATTTAGCGCCACGAAAAACTCTGCGAAAGTAGGGTAGAAGAAATAGTCAACTTCCCCAAAGACTTTGTAGTTGACATCATAGTAGCCTGTACTCTGCACCTGGACAGCAGATTTGTATATCAGATCCATCCTTATAGAAGGAAACATTTCAGCTGCACATTCACTGCCCATTTTCTTATTGACCTCAATACGGAGTTGGTCTTCCACGTACTGGCAGTAGAAGTGGAAAAGGCTTGTTGCGTTGGGCTTAAAGTGGCGGTCAATCATGCTGATGTGAAGTGGGATGTCCAATTGCAGAGTTGAGGGCAATGTCTTCAGAAGACGTTCTCCATCTTCGTGATTTAGGCGACACTCAGCAGACAGAATTTTGATCTGTGACTCTTTGGTGAGGGGAGCTACTTCCACTTTAACAACTTCTTGCCCCAATAAGCAGTTTTTTATCTTTTCTTGCTCTGTGAATCTAGACACCAACCAAAGTGGCAAATTTTGGCCTCCAAGAACATTTAAAAGCTTAAGTGTTCTTTGTTCACATTTATGTAGGACCATGTGAAGATCATCTAGCAAAATAATTATTTTCTTTTCCTCAAATTTTTTCTTTACCAATGCTTTCTCTTCTTCCTCAACACCGGAATAAATTAAATCGCTCAAAAAATTCTGCGCTTCACTAACTGTGACAATTTCCTCCAGCAGTTTGCAGCTCGCATAAATTATATGATGCGACGGAAAGTTTGTCAGCAAGTGTTTTGCTAACTGCAATGATGCAACCGTTTTTCCTGAGCCTGGATTTCCTGTTAAAAGCAGACATTTTCTTGCACCAGCCAAGAAAAAATCTTTAGCAACGTCTGACACTGAATATTCTTGTGAAACTTCAGTGTCTCCTTTAGAAATAATCAGCGTTGAAAGCAATTCCAGCTTAGTGCACTTCTCGAACGACAATTTTGTAGCCAAGGTATAGTAGAGTGAGGCGTATTCATTCTGATGACATGAATCCATGACCTCTTGGAGAGTTTGCTGCAGACTTAAATTGGGTTCAGAAAGTCTTTTGCAGCCATTCAAGAAGTTCTCAATAATTTCTTTTAATAGCAAAAATTAGTTATTCAATTTAATATCAAACTATTTTTGCTTACGTTTTCCTTGAGCAACAAATTCAATGATAGGAGGTTCAGAGGAGACTTCGGGACTCGATTTCTTAACCTGAAAAAATTATAATCAATATAATTTGTCCAAATTGCCATTTCCGTTTTTGCTTGCCTGATCAATGGAAGGGTCAATGGTGTCAAATCGACAGTCAAGGTAGAGAAAAATTATCGGCTTGGTCCAATTTTCAAACGCTTCAACCAAATCCCTCCTGGACCGCAAGCAAGGACCAGTATCAATTAAAAATTGTCCATCTCCTGTCTGGAAGTTCCTGCTGAACACAGCAACCACGAGGCATCCGCCACTTTCGTACAAGCTCTCTGATCTGCAGACTGGATATTTTTTGTAAATATATTCAATCAATTTATACATAACAATACAAACAAATACCTTTATCTAGGACTTCAGAAATGTGATCAATTGAAACAACCTCTGTTGTCACAGAGTGACTGCCAATTACCTCAGCGAATTGCTTAGCAATTTCACAGTGACTCGCGTCGTATAATGAAATGCAATTCCCTCTCGTAAATGGTCTTCCATTGTTGGCGAACCACGAGTAGTATTCCGGCTGTCGGTTATGACCACCCAGTGCTCTAGGGTTTGCTCTAAAAAATTATTATTTTTACTTTTTTTTAGGTTTGTCCTTATAATCTAGAATAATTATGCAATGCTGCAAGTACCTCAGTATGATGTGTTTTTGGCAGGGAAAGCTCATGATTTGTGGTTCAATGCCTAATATGAAAATAATTTAGTTTAACAATATTGGTTATATTTCAAAATTTATACCTTTTGATTTTGATACATTGTGAACACGATTGATCATTTCATGTGGGCTTAAATCGGTGTACTGATTTACAAACTCTTTGCAAATAGTTTCTACTAATATATCATTCCTATGAACGTCCCTTATTCTTGACTCTGTAAATAAAATTTTCAAGTTTTATCAATTTGAAGACTGGAATATTTTACCGTGGTCACATGTGTTGTGTATCACAATGGTATTTGTACAGTTTGACAAATGTATTGGTTTACCAACAATCTTTTCATCACAGTAAATCTAAAAAAATTAAAAGCTGCATTTAGCCATATCATGGTAATGAATTCTTTGGTAACAATACCAGAAGAACAATGATTTTGAAGCAGTTCTTTAGCGCAGGCAAAGTGCTTAGATGGGCAATCAACTGTTCTTCTGAAAGCAGTACGGAATTTTCAGTTCCATGCTGCTTTGCAAAGAGCCCTAATTTGTTGCCAACGCATTTCGTCGTAATAAAAAACACTGCTACATCTGTCTTTTCTGTTAAGTGAAAGGCATAAATTATGAATTTAAATTTGAAAATGAATGACATGATTTTTTCTTACCAAATAGATTTTTGTTCACGAGCAAATCTTCATTTAATGTTGAAATATGGTGAACATCATAATTGATTTCCCGAAAACTTGCATTGATCTTCGATTCATTACTCTTGATTTCCTCAACAGTGGGTGGTTCAAAATCACGTGGGTCTTGGGAGATCAGTACGACTTTTTTGTTGCTGCCAAAATATAGAGAACCAATGGAGTTCAAACAGAAAAATGCAGAAAAGTCAAACAAAATAGTATATACCTTGCAATACCAGCCATCTTGCGATGTAATTTTTTCTTAGCGTTGCTTTGAATATGAGAAGCTTAAAAATCTTGTTTAAACTAGTTTTACGCGTCCCATATTCTAATTGGTTTATAAATTCTGTTTTATGCTTTCGTCTATAGAGCATCTATTTGATAAAATGTTTGTTTCATTTTTATGTAATTATGGTCCATTTGATGCAAACTGAAAGAGAAGAGAAATAATTAGAATCATGAAAACTTTAGATTGAGTCATGATATAATAAACACAAATAAAAATAAAACAAAAATTATAAAAAAAAAAACACTGAAATTTCTGAGTTTCTTAAAGGCACGAAGTGCCAGCTTACAATAGTAAAAAAGGCCGACAAAATAAACTTTTATTCCTTTAAACGTTAGAGCATAATTGCTTCATTCCAAAATTTTCTTAATGTATTACTTTTTTAATGAAAAATAAAAATCACTGTGAATATTTAAAAATCAACTGATTCATTTTAATTAATGAACATTAATATTGTAACATTTTTCTAGGGTATAAACAAATTTTGTAGGTGGTAATATTCACAGAAAAGAATTTACCTGCGGTTAATTACCCACGAGCTTTATCCAACTCCTCAGTGCAAAAAATTTCAATTTTTTATATTAATGCCGTTAAAGGGTTGAATTAAATTTTGGCGTTCTATGCAATAATTTTTTAGATGGAGGTTAACATGATTTTCTTTAAATATTTTCAAAAGTTATTATTGTTATTATTATTTTTTTTCTTGTAAAAGCAATTATACAAAGAAATAAATGAAAGTGTATATTATAATGCATAAAAAATCATACGAATTTTTACAGTTTTAATATATCAAGCATATCAAGAGTTCACAACAAAATTAAAAGCAAGTGATAATCAGTTCTTATATCAAGAGTAAATGGCAATGAATTCGATTAAATTTCTTATTTAATGCGCTTGCAAACAATTATAATTTATCATAATTGTACCTTTGATGTCAAACTCAAAATACAAATAGCAGTGCTGCTATTATTGCTCAATAATTCAAAACCTTATTTGTGTGATAAGATAAGTATTTTTTATCATTATATTAATTATATACGTGTACTTGTGATTTGTAATTATATCATGAATAATATTGAAATGAATTCTGGATAATCTAGATGTATTATTTTCTAAAAATAATTTTTTTTTGTCTTTTAAGGATGCAAATTAAACTGAGTTTGTAGAAATTATGTTATTTAATTTCACTTTATGAAATTAAGATAGTTAGAAAAAGTCTTGCTTGGTGAGTAAAACGGTGTAAAAAGTCTGGTCTCTGGTTACTTTTTAATCTTCAATTCAGCTTATACATTTACAAGTAAATTATTTAATTGTTTTACTTTTCAAAAAGAGTTAAATCCTAATATCAAAATTTTTGAACCTAAATTTCTAAGGAAATTTATGCTTTACAAGAAATAATGCTTCATAAATATATACCCGTCCACGGGATTAAACAGACGAGAGGCACTTCTTGCGAGAGGCCAATTTGGGGAGGGGTCTTAAAAGCTGCCAGCATAGCGCCCTGAGCCTCAAAAATGTAAACAAAAAGCGACTGCAGGAAATAAGCAATCCGACCCAGATAAGGTGGAATATCCGAAAATTTAAACAACTCCGGCCCATGAATTGTAAGAAAATCCAAAATATAGTAAAAATGTGCAAAGAAAGTCTAACTACGTACGAAAGTCTAGTCAGACACTTTTATGAAACTAAATAAGATTTCAGTAAAAGTAAAACACTATTACTACTTATTCAAACGTTCTGTCTGCTGTGGCAAGGTTGTTAATTCAAGTATATTACCTCAGCTTTTAGGTGTAACATTATTATAGTGGCTTTTTTGGGCACTATCAACGTTATTTTTGTCAAAAAGAAGGCAGCTGGACTTAGCACTTAGACTATGATGCCTGTAGCCCTGTCCTGTAATTCTCAATAGAAAGCAATATAGAAAGCTACGCGATAAAATCGCCAGCTGCACCAACCAATAAAGATGTCACAACGCACAACGGCAGCAACGGCAGTATTACCAACACAAACCAAAAGTTGGCGACTGGCGTGCGTGCGACAAGCGTGCGGTGGTGCGATGTACATTTTTGGCGATTGGAATCATTGAAATACATACACACAGAGAGTCTTTGTTCAGTCTTGTTGACTGTTGACCAGAAGAAACTTGTTGACACAGTCAGAGAGAGAGAGAGGGGGACGTACACTTTCCATGGATCCTAATTCCAGTGAATGTTATTCAATTCGTTTTTCGTTTTATTCTCTCGCAGCCTCACAGCAACACGGAATTTACATAATTGGCTTGAAAATAATTATGAATTATTGATCAATAACCCAGATATTATATTAAAGTCACAGATTTGAGCATACACAAAAAATAAAATAACCAGCAAATAATAATTTCTAACTCGTATTTGTGTGATAAAAATTATAAAGATTTTTTTTTTTAATTTCAGTTGCATGAGAGTTTATGCATAACATGAGTTATGTATGTATTGAGATAAATTCAGATTTAAAAAAAAAATCCAGGTAAAATGAATGGATAAAAAGTCAAAAGGTTCCTATAATGAAAATTAAAATCACGTCACATATATTATTCATATTTAAAAGTTCAACACAAGCTAAATAAAAATGGCCACACATGCACTGATGCACAGCCACACAACCGATGAGTTGAATTATTTTTGATTATTTCAGAATAAAAAATGTATTTGTCAGACTAAAAATATATTAACTTTGATTGGTATGCAAATTTAAGTTATTTATTTTAAAAATTACAATAGACAAAAAAATGGTATGTTTGTGTTTTTGTGCAAAAATTTCTGATTCATTATTTGAAATGGTATAATATATATGAATTTGTGGCTTTTCTACCTTCAAGACTTTTTTAAAATTAGAATTTTAAAATATAAAAACTACGAAGAAGAAAAAAAGAGAAGCTACGCACTGTGTTTGAACTTATAGTTGAAAAAGCCGTCCAAAGTCGAGAGATTCAATTTTATCTGTTTATTTAACCATAACGAAAGAACATGGTAGCGATGAGTTCATTTTATTAGTGTGTACTGTACATAATATATTATTGTATTGTATCAAAATGTTGTTTATTTGTCCACATTTATAATTTTATTGGAAATTTCATATATAAGAAAAAATAAGTATTGTATGTAATTTTGTGTGTGTTTTATGCGTATAATATAACGTAATAATGTATATAATAATTATGTAAAACGATGTAATTGTAAAATATAGCAAAAAGTTGAAAAAGTATGAGGGAGAAGAGGGGATCAAATTCTTGTAGAGCGAGGACTGGAGGAGGCGGCGGCTGTGATCAGAGGGCTTCAAACAGTTGGAACAAGAAAGTCAACAAGTCTAGTTATGTTTTCTTTTGAGGAGGAAAGACATGACAAAACATGTACACAGCTAGATACCATTGATTTTAACGGATTTTAATATAACTATAATGCAGGTCTATACTCCATGTTAACTTATTATATTGGTTGGGGGCGAAGAGTGGCCAAGACCTGATGACGACATTAGTGCAGTGCACGCTGCGGAATGCGAAGCGCTCGCAGAGAAGAGAATTTGGTTTTCGTCCTGAAAATTAAGAATTGGCAAGATTCGTCAGATTCGTGACGCGAGCAGGTGTGTATTTGTTTTTACATGATTATAAATTTGTTATATTATGTTGTTATTGCCTCTGTTTTCTGCTTTTAAAACGTTAATTTGAAGAATATAATTATTTGACAAATTTTTAAGCCCCAATCTAATCACACAGTCGTCAGTTTTTTGTAAAAATCGCCATAAAAGTAAAAGAAAACTTTAAAATTGAAAGTTTCAATTAAAATTTTTAATTCAACAGCAAGTTATGGCACATAATGTAATGAAACTCGTTTCTGTAATCAAGCGGCGTACGCTGTGTTAATCTGTTGATTTTAACTCCATATTATGCTCCATTAATATTTTGATTCTCGTGTTGTTTTGATTTATTTTCAATCTGCTGCATAAATTAAATTTTCAGTTTGCAAAAAAAAATGATCATTTCTGATCAATCGGTAAATAATTTAATTAATAAAATTACCATGTTTTTATGAAAAATTTAATTCCACTGAATTTCACATTGATCAATTCGCATTCAATTTATAAAGCCCCTTCACAGCCTGTATTTAATCTACAATTAGTAGTTGACCGAATAATATATCTTATTTTATTTTTATTTTTGTTCAATATTTTGCAGATAATATTAAGATCATCACTGATAATCAGTTTAAATGGAATTTATATGTTAAAAGTTCAGCACATTTTGTAAATATTAATTATTATAATTGATAAAAAAAATTTAATTTTCTAGAAAAGCAGCATAATTATTCTACTTTCGATCCCACTATAAAACATATGATAATAATATTTGAAAAAGATAGTAAAAAAAATATTAATATTAAATATCAAAGTTATCCCTCAAAATGAAAAAGGAGACAATTGTGGTATTATTTTGTTCAATGTACAAAGACCACTGCGCTATAAATTCCATTGTTTGTTTTTATATAAATCATATTAAAAATAAAAATAAGAGACTCCCTCTAACAATAAATGCAGCTCACTGATCTTTGTAAAATAAAGTACTGATAATAGGGGCTGATGTTTACAGAATTAAAAAAAAAAAATTATTATGAGAGGAATAATACTTGTTTTAAAAACTTATAACATCGATATTATTCAGTTGAATCAAGCCCGTCTTCAAAAAGCTTTTCTAAACAATTAACTTTGTAGTTACTTTGTTACTTTAATTTACAGTAAGTATTCTCAATTTCCATCTTAAAGTAATTTTTTAAATGTTTTACTTCGATAGTATTTATAATTTAAATTTTCCATCAATTTATTATTTTTAATTAGGAAGAACAAATTAATAAAATATATTTTCTTACAGCCATGGATGCAGCAAATGGGCGGACGGAGTTGGGCGCTGAAGAGAAATTGCTACTAATTGCACGGACACGTTGGACACGCCGGGTCCTCGAGGAGCAACTGCTGCCCGCCCTGGGTGGAACAGCCGTCCCTCTGTTCGCCACCGCCCAGTTCGAAGGAGCCACCATCCGACTGCAGACCATAGACCTCAAAACACAGGAGCTGACCTGGCAGGAGGTCACTTGCCTCACCAGCGCCAGGGCCGTCCGCTTTGTCCAGCGCCTGCCGCGTTTCGGCGCCGTTGTGGACGCAGTGGTGGCCGCTGAACTTCAGCGAGACGCAAGCGAAGAGTTGCGAGTGGCGCACCATGTGATGAGCAACATTGACCTGCCAACCACCAGTCTTGAGGTTGCCCACCGCCTTGCCCATGTTGCTCCTGAAATTGCTGCAGCCCTCGGCAGGGGCCTCCGGTTTGAATCTCAGCTGCACCATGTGGCCACGTCCATCTCCTTTGCGGCCAAAAGAACTGCCATGCTGATGAGCCACGTTGGTCTGGCGGTCGGCTTCACCTGTCTGGTGCTCAACTCGATGGCTCTGCACCAGGCCATCGCCCACCATGATTCCATAGCCACGGCCACCTTGGCCTCCTCAGTGGCTTTAGACGCCGCTTCCTGTGGCCTCTTCACCGCAGCCCTGATTGTCCTGGCCTGCAAGGCGGCCAAACTGGCCACCATCCTGTCCACGGCCGCCCTGCCTGCTAGTGTGGCAGCTTTTGTGGTTCCTCCTTTGGTGCGGTACTTCTGGACAAAGAAAATGAAGTCCGAAGCTGCCTGTTTGTACCTGGCGAGGGCTCTGGATACTTTGGAGAAGGCGGTGATTTTGGATGCTGAACTCAATTCTCTCAGATTTGACACAATGGTGCCAATTTCGGAAATCAACTTCAGAAACGCCACAGTCACCCTTGGCGCCGTCCACATCAAAGCCAACCGAATTTTCCTGTTGAATGCACCTCGCCCTCTGGAGGACAAAGTTGACGTCATCGAAACTCTGGACGGATGTGAAGTGCAGCCGTTTGAAACCTCTCACCTGACAATGGTTTTGCCGACAAGTGGAAATATTTGTTTTGACTGGTCGGTGCATTTCTTGGCAAAGTCATTCAGCTTGAATCCGTGTGCTGGTCTGGAGAAGCTGAGCAAGCTGAAGGACAAAGGATTTAATTTCCACAACGGACTGTTTGCTGTGCATGGAATCAAGACAAGTTTCTCTGACTCGACAATCAGAATAATTCTGGACGGGTGCGAACGGACCCTGGCCATTGCGCCAAGGAACTGGTTTCCAGTTCAAAAGGTGGAGAAGGGCAACTTTGACATTTGCTTCACCTTTGTGGGTCAGGGAGGAAAAACTACCATTCAGTTAGAAGAGAGGGACAACGGCATCAACGTGGTTCGCTTGGAGTCGGACTCTCTAGAGCCGTCAACCTGGGTTCTGCGCTTTGGAAAAAAGCTCAACCTTGCGTATTACAGCAAAGAGATGTTCATCTTCACCAGTGACGGCCTCAACGTGGTTCTCACCGACAGCTCCAAAAACCTTGTGTACTTTGTCCTGAACGATGTCATCTACGTTTTCAACCCAGCCTTGAGATTATTTACCCCAAAAGTCATCATGTCAAACTGGGTGATGGAAAACCAAGATTTCCTCCTGGAAAAGTTGGAATTTTTCGACTGCGCGATTGAAATGGAAATCAGCTCGTGCGTTGACTCCCTTGGAAAAAGTGTAACTGATGCTATGGTTTTCTACGACCCTTTGACAAAAACGATTCGAGCAGGCACCTCTCGTGGCTTTTATTACACCAGCAGTGCAAACTTCTACAAAGGCGCCTTAATATTGGAACTAGATGGAATCGACTTGAGCAGGACGGAACAGTTTTTAGACATAAATCATCTGCACAAATTGGCCGCTGACAAAGTTCCAATTTACGTTTCAGGAATGAATCTGCAGGGCCACTTCTGTCCGAATACGGGCATCCTACTCCTTGCAAGTACTGCACAGGATGGGAATCTTTACATGTTCTCCAACACTAGGGCAGCCCTGGTCGGCGTTGGCAATTCATTCCTGGAGCCGAGAGAAAAATTGGGCGAAAAACTGAAAAGCCTCAGCAAGAGTTTCTTTTTTGACCCTGTGCTTGCTTTGTACCCCAAGAAGCAGCGCATTTTGGCTGAATACCTTTTAGTCTCTGACATGCAAAACGTCTGGCTCCTTCCTTTTGAACAAAAGATGGTTTCGGCTGTTGACATTTCTGCCCCTTTGGAACTCATCGACTGCTCCCACGGACGAGCCATCGTGTTTGACCCGGAATCAGGAAGACTCTATTCGACTGCAATGCTGCCTCTGGACGCCAATCTTCAAAACCAACCTCCGCCCGTTGAATTCTCAGGCATTGGAAGATTTAAGAGGGTAGTTCGCAAAAAGGACCGCACCATTTTGGCATTCACAGAGGAAGGCCTTGTTTTCCAATGCATTGATGCAGTCAGGCTCGACCTGCTGGAAGTGCTGCTAGGAGCGCACAGTTCACTCTCCCAAGTGCATGAGCTTGTTGGGCTGACCAATAGCAAGAAAAATTTGGTACCTGTCACTGATGCATTGACTTGCAAGATCCTGTTCTTTTTTGATACCAGTGAGATGACATGCTTGGACGCACCGGAAAACCACAAAGCTTCAGAATGCAAATACTTAGGAAAGGAATCTGATAACCATTTCATCTTCAGTTCAACCAAGAAGAAGGTACAACTTAAAAAAAATTATTATTTTTGCATCTAGTTCATGTAGGCTAATTTAATATTTAATTTTATTTATATAGAATTTAAAAACTTTGCATTTTTTTTGTTTTTGTTTTAGGTCTTGAAACTGTCAAACAGTTCGGCACCAACTGATGTTCTCTCTTGTGATTATTCGGAAAGGCTGGAAAATGTTCTCCTCCTGTATGAGCCAGAGTTTCCGAGTGACCTGGAGAAACTGAAACCAGTTTTGGAGATTGGAGGAATCCACACAGTGATCTTGGCTACAAGTCGCAGAGTGATCAACCTGACGTACAGTTTGGTAAAATCTAAATTGACGAAGTTTATTTTAGATCCCTTGTTGAAAAGCGTCGGTGTTGATATAGGACTCAATTTTGATACACACGTAGATTTTAAAAATGTTGTAGCTCGAGATTTAGTGGCCTCTTATGAAGGAAAAAGTTTCGTGATTCACAGTGGACTGAGGGCTAATTTTAATATTAGATACTCCAACTGACTGCCTCAAAAATGGCTTTAGCATATATTCCTTAAAATTAATTATTGCTAAAAATAATTTTAAACTTGACAGAGTGATCTCTATGTGTTTCATATTATATCAATGAATACAGAGTTTCTTTAAATTTAAATATTTTATAAAACTAAATTAATAGATAAAATGCAGCAAATTTTAAGTGCCAGAAATAATATTGTTTTGGCTATTTGTTGTATAAAATACCCAAAATATTACCCTATTTAGATAAACCCATGGGAACTGAAATGTACCAATAACCTATAAGTGCATAGATTTAAATGTGTTCTATTTGCATACGGGGATATTTTTTTAGGGTAAAATTTTTCATTCAATAAAATCATCTGAGATGGAAAACTTTTATATAATTGAAATGTGCAATTTTCTCAATTTTCCTTTATTTTTAGCAAAAATCCTAATTTAGGTTTTAAGCAATTAATGAATTAACAGGTGGAACTGTTGCCTGTCTTGTAATTAATCTTATTCAATATGGAGGTACATCTGCCATTAATGGCAAATCCGAGTTTGAGTCATACACATAGTTTTCTGTCGCATAATCCGCATAACTCGGGTCGGCGGTAGTTGTGGCTGCTGGTTTAGTTGTTAAAGCTTTGGCCATCGCGGTTAATTGAATTTTCAATGTGGTGGACGTAATTATTTTTTTGGTAGTAGTGGTGGATAGTTTTTGAAGAGTTGCACTACTGGTCGCTGCTTTGGTAACAATCGTACTCGAAATTGGGGCAGGAGTTGTCCCAGCTGTGGATGTACTGGTCATTTTTTCAACAGTCACAGTTTCAGCTGGAGCTGAACGCAACGACGTCATAACTGGTGCTGGATTTGTTACCCTCGTAGTAATTGCAATGCTCAATTTTTCTTGGAAAGTAGTGACAGTACTTGGTGTGGCTGTATTAATTGAATTGGAGGTTGAGCGAATAAATTCGTCTAGATTTAAAACATCAGCGCTGCTGATTTCCATTGCGGGGCTGGTAATTTTTGTTGGAATTGTAGATTTTGGTATGTAAATAGCAGGAACTTCTGATTTTTTAGGCAACGTTGCTGACATTTTAAACAAATCCATTTTCTCTGTGACTGAATATTTTTTTGAATTAGTAACAGTTGATGTATAAGTTTGAACGAGGGACTTTGAGGTCATTTGTGCTGCAGCTGTAGTCATATTATTTGTTAATTTACGGAAAAAAGCAGCCGTATAACTTCCAGGGGAAGAAATTTTCATCCCAAATTTTGGTAATCTTGTCGCATTGCTGGATTGCTGAAGTTTATTGAATGTGTTGAAAACCAGAGTATGTTGATGATTTTTAGTTTCATTTAATTTAGCTCTGTCAAATCTTTTTACAGCCCAGGTTGTTTTCCCAGTCGTCCTGTTCTTGTGCGTTTTAACCTGATATTTATAAAATAAATTATTTTTTAAATGACGACATTTGATTAAATTCTGTTACGCTGGAATTTGTTGCTCGCGAAGTTTCCCCGCATTTTACTTTGTCGGAGCATCTCTTTTTAGTTGTAACTGATGTAACCCTTTTTGTAAAAGCTATAAAATTTCCAACAACATAATATGTTTAACAACATGTATTTAAATTTTTTCCAAACCTTTAGAATCATGATTTTTGCTCTTTGTGTTTCGACCATGAGACAGAGTCGAAAAAGATAAAATTATGGTCTATAGATATAAATAATATAATTATTCAAAACAAGGCTAGCATGTTAATTGTTCCTTACAAATATCACGATAATTCCGTTCACGTGCATTTGAGTGGTGAATTCAGCCGTTGAGCAGAACTCAACGACTGACCACTGCAGCAAAAATTTATAGAGCAGTGGAACAGGATTCTTTTTTCTATATATATGTCAAAGCAAAACCATGCCAGTGTGGACTTCCGCTTCATTATTAAAAATTTCAAATGACAATCAGAACCATGGCCGTCGCAGAAAAATTTTGCGTAGTCATTTATCAGGAAAAAGCTCTCAAATAAATCACGGAACACCGATCCCCTGCAATTATCGACATAGGCAACCCGCTTGACTTGGCCGTCATACAGGTTGCATTGTTCATCAATAGGAGTTTGGCAGTGATAGAAAAATCCGAAAAATTAGCAATAAAACTGGAAAATTTTAAGAAATTTGAAACACTTTCAATATTTTTTTTTCCCGCAAGGAAAGAGTTCTCGTAACAAGCAAGATTTTGTTTACAGTGCATAAGTTTTATTTGCAGTTACTTAATTAACTTAGATCCACACTAGACGCACAAGATCAACACAAATTGGAAACAAAAAGTTGAAGAAAGGAGTGTCCTTGCTTGGAGGGGATAAGCTTGGAATGTGGCGATCACTTCGCGGCTGTGAGAGCGTTAGAAAGCCAGTCCATGGCCTGGTCGAGGCCTTCACCTTTGGTTGCCGACGTTTTAAAAATTTGAAAGGTGCGGTTTTTCAACGCATCCAGACCCAACGCCTGGTGCACCTCGGCCACACTTAAGGCGCCCTCCATGTCTTGTTTGTTGGCCAAAACAACAAGCACAGCACCTTTCAGCTCCTCCTCCTTAAAGTTTAAATTAATTTTGTTTTTAAACATATTTTGCGGCCAATACTAAAAAAACTTCTATCTTTTTGTTTGATTCTAAATTAATATTGATCAAATAATTATGGGAAATAATTTGCATTTCCATGCACTTACCTCAAGCATATAAACAAGCTCATCTTTAGAGATGCCAATTCTATCGCGGTCTGCAGAGTCAACTACATAGATGATAGCGTCCGTGTTTGAATAATAACACCGCCAGTATGGTCTGCAAATAATACAAATAAACTTGGTTTATCACACAGAAATTAAGGCCTTTGTTGTCAGAGCGTACCGTATGCTTGTTTGACCACCTAAGTCCCATACTTGGAATTTTAAATTTTTGTAGGTGACCTGTTCGACGTTGAAACCAATCGTAGGAATAGTTGTGACCACTTCACCAACCTGTAAAATGCAAATTTGAAATGAAAAATCGGAAAAATCACGGTAATTTGATTGACAACTCACTTGCAGTCTGTACAAAATTGTTGTTTTTCCGGCGCCGTCCAAGCCGAGAATCAAAATTCGCATTTCCCGGCTACCAAGAAGGCCGCGAAAGTAGCTTAAAAGTCCACCTGAAATTTTTTAAACTTTTGTTTACATTTTTTACCGATGCGTTGTCACGAGATAAGAAAGAGTCCACATGCATACGAATGTTCCTTTTTTAGGCAAAATTATTATAAATTAATTCACACTGTATTTTTAATTTGATTTCATAAATTTCAAAATTATTGGGCTTGCTGAGCCAAATATTAAAATTCATTTAAAATATTATGAGAGCCTCTTTAGCACGTAAAGAAAATAAAAACGAATCGAAACAAATTTGAAGTTGATAAGGAGTGTCATCATCAGATGTTGATTTTCAATGAAACTTGCTGACTAATACGAGTTACTTTTTGTTCCCGAAAAAGAAAATTTCTTACCCATTATGAGAAGTGCTGGCTTTTGCCCTCGACGTTCTTAAAACTAATCCATTCAGGCCGAATCGGCCGAATTTTCTCTTTTCACAATGTGCCGATTTTCAGACGTGGAATTTGCCACAGCTGTCGATGGCAGCGCATCATAGTTTATACGTCAAAAAAATGTACTACATTCTGATAACCGGTTGTTGCCAAATGTTTGAGAAATAATTTTGACGAATAAATTAAAGAGACGAGATTAGTTTCAAATTCGTATTTATGAAAAATTATTTTATAAAATTGTTTTATTTTTTTAAGTCTTCCTTATTTGAAATAATTGCATTTTTTATTCAGTAATTTAGTACATATTTTTAAAAGACTGATTCGCCTGAAGTAAAATTATGGGCGTCGCTGCGATCGCTTATTGGCAGCCATATTTGTTTTTATATTTTGCAGTAGTGGTCAACGCAGGGTTGTTTGCAATTTTTCAATCCTTTTTTTGGGCAATGTAAAGGGTGATGGCGGCCCCGCGGGCCCAACCAGAGGCCGACTGTTCGGACGACTCGTCGCAGGACTGTTCTATTGTGTCAACAGTACCGGATAAATACGGCTTTTTTGGGCAGGAGCACGTCCAGACGAGTCACCAGCCGTGAGTTTCCTCTTCAACCCGCACTATCAAAACCAATTATAATTATTTATTTTCTTGCCGAATTTAAAATTTGTAGCTCCTAGGATTGTTAAAGTGTGCCTGAAGTGCACAATTTCAATTATTTTGAAAGTAAAATAATGCTGCTTATCCACTTTAAAATGCGATTTATATCTAAATTTTTAAGCTTTATTAGGCTTATGTATTAATCATACAAGGATGTTTATAAAAGGACCTTGCATTGATGGAGCGCGTTCTCCAATATGGTTATGCACTCGAACAATGGAATAATTATATTTTCATAATAATGGAACTTACCTTCCATTTAATATTTCATAACTCCTTTTAAAAAGAACATTTTTTATTTTAAAATAAAATTGAAATATCATGTGACCCTGATTTTTTTTAAATTGATGAATTTAAATGCCAATAAATATTTTAAAATAAATTCATTTTTTTTTCAGGCTATCCCGTGAAGTAGTTTTGAGCAGAGAGAAGAAATGGCTTCGAATGCTATCAAACTGGGACTCTTACATGCAAGAGAAACACTCAAAGGTATAATTTACTGTCACCAAAATCATAAACAATTTTTAAATTTCAAATTACTTTTTAGCTTCGAAAACGATGCCGAAAAGGTATTCCACATTCTTTGCGTCCCCGTGCCTGGCAGTTTCTGTGTGGAGCGCAAGCTCTGCAGCAGCAGTACAAGGTGCTTTATGAATCGCTGGCTGAACAGCCTGGTGATCCCAAGTGCCTAGATGACATTAAGAAGGTAAAATAAAATTGGTTTTGAAAGTTGAAGTTTTTAATAATAATCGACGGTTTCAGGATCTACATAGGCAGTTTCCTCAGCACGAAATGTTCTGCAGTGAGAATGGCGTCGGCCAGCAGGAGCTGTTCATGGTGCTGAAGGCGTTTTCGGTGCTTGACCCTGAAGTGGGTTACTGCCAGGCTCAGGCACCACTTGCCGCCTTCTTGCTCATGCACATGCCCACCGAGCAAGCCTTTTGGTGCCTGGTGAGCGTGTGCCACAAGTACCTCAATGGCTACTACAGCCACGGAATGCAGCAGCTCCAGCTCGACGGAGACATTCTCTTTGGCCTGCTGAAAAGGGTTGCACCTCAGGTGTACCGCCACCTTGTACGTCTTTTGTAAAATTTTTTAGGATGAGGAATTATGAGTAAAATTGATTTTAGAAGCGGCAAAAAGTTGAGCCTGTGCTTTACATGACAGAGTGGTTCCTCTGCGCCTACACAAGGACCCTTCCATGGTCAACCGTACTGAGAGTCTGGGACATGTTTCTCTTCGAAGGTGACTTGATGAATGTAAAATAAAATGAAGTTTCTTAAAATATAATTGCAGGCGTGAAGGTGCTTTTTAAAGTTGGACTGGTGCTGCTCAAAGGAAGTCTTCAGCCTCGGCTAAAGAGGTGTCCAACGTTGTACGAAACCTTGGAGGCAATTCGTCAGCCGCCTCCGGGTCTTCTTGAGGAGGAAGCCCTCGTCCAACACATGTTGCGTCTCAAGCTCACCGAAGAGGACTTCCAGAAAGAGCACTCCAGGCAGGTGGCCAAGCGCCAGAAGCGCCTTCAGCACTAGTCGCAAGTTGCCTCATCTCGTTGAGCAGTATTATTTAGTTGCATGAACAAAAAACACAATCTGCACTGGATATGGCCCATATCGATCGTGACATGCCACAGCCATCTTAACCTATAGTTACACACTTTTCCACTTTCGCAATCAATTTTTACGGCAATCACTCAAATTTTGCACCATTTCCTCTAATCATTGATTAGTAACCCCAAAAGTCTTTACTAGCATTTTTCACCCCAATTATAAAATAAAGTATTTAATATGATATAATTATGTTATAATTTTTCTCACTAAGTTTATACGTAAAGATCTACTATTAATAATTATAATAAAGTTTTATTGCTGCTAGTTGGTCGCATCCTGGTGACGACAAATTCCATAAATTTTATCAACTGAGAATATATTGAAGTCTCGTACCAAAGTAATTTTATCACCCTTCTCACATTGTTTGTTGTTCAAAGTATCCAGCAACATCTCCGCAAATCTATCTGCCATAAAATGTTGTGATACAAATTTTCAACTCTTTTTGTATGTTTATATTTTGGTTCCATGCTAAACGAGGAAAACTATTCGTCTGGGAATTGATCGTTCCCTTGTAAATAAAGTCTGACATCTACGCAGTAAAGAGTTTTATTCACTATAAAATTACAATAAATAAACTATCAAGAGCGCCCGCTTAAAACAGCGTCCAGAAATTTCACACGAACAGCACACTTGAGCAAAATATCACAACATTGAAACAATGCAGGGCTTTTACAAAGCCAACATGATTTAATTGGAACAAAAATAAATTCGTCTAGCAAACTGAATACGTGTACAAAGGTTTTAGTAATTTAGTCCAGCGCCAGAGACAACTCGAGTGCCTCGGAGCGTATTGGTGAAAAGCTATTAAGGAAAGTATAGCGGCTGAAGAGCAAATAAAGTCTTCGGAACCACACGATCTGACTTTGGTGGCATGCCATTGCCTCGAGGACACGCTTCCTTTCTTTAGCAGTCAGCACAATTTGATGATTTCCGACGACCCACGACAACAAACTGTCACAAGGTCCAAGGTACTTACGTAATCGACTCACCGACTCAACACACAAAACTTCAACGCCTGCAATTGAAAAAAGAATCAAATTGATATTGCTTTTTTGCATTTATTTGCAACTTTTACCTTGGGGAATTTTACTCTTTAAGTGGAGGGCCGCAAGACCATAGAAGAGAGACTGGTGATTAGGGTGTCCACTAACCCCGTATCGATCGAAGGTTACCACTAAATCCACTCCAAGCTGCAGCATGTGCCTCTCTGCAATTGAGGCCACTTCTTCGACTGGCCACTCCGTTTTAAGACCATCTTTAAGACGAGTGCTCCTATATTAAAATTTTCATTAAACAATCGTTGGCTTCAATGAAATCATTACTGGTAAATATAAAGATCCTCATCTTTGATCCCAAGTACTCGGCAGCTGTCTCTAAGCTCTTGCTTTCTCTGGGCTCCAAGCCCATCTTGGTCCCCTATTAACAATTGAACCATGGTATAATTTTTAACTTAATTGAAAATAAAATTAATAGAACCTGAAGAAAGGCAGACGAGGAACAGTCTTTTGGCAGATCCTCCTCGTCCTAATAAACCAACCACGGTCGGCCCAAAAAACATGCATTCGTCGTCAGGATGCGCAGTCAATAAAAGAACCCTTTGGGCCTTAAGGAGAGCAGGACAAGGGTTCCCACGCCGGGTCCAAAAATGGATTAAACCCAGAGAGGCGTAAGTTCCAAGCAAAAGGCCCAAAGCCCAAGTCCATTCCCACAAGTAGGCTCTGGCCGCTTCCATCCTAGATGGTTAGGATTTGAGATCGGCTTACATATATGTATATCTAGGTTGAAATCATTGGCAAAGACTAATATGGTTAAAATCTTGCAATATTATATAAAAATTGCACAAATCACTTAAAGGCTGCCTTAAAGCTGTGTAAAAATAATGCACACAACACACTCAGCTGGCGATTTGTTTACCAATGAAAAATAATAAATACCGGTTTTAAAAAAAAATTCCTTATCATTAATTTAATGAAAATTGTTGTTTAATTTTACATTTAAAATATAAAAAGCCGACTTTTAAGAGATAAAAATATAAAATTTAATTTTTTTAATGCATATTTAAATTTGTGTTTGAAAATTAGATAATAAAACCGGTTAAACCGGTTTTTATTGATCTGACATTTTGGGAGGCGTGGTCGTGGTCAGACAAACAAGAGCAAGCACGAAGAAAAGTCCTTTACGCTAATTTGTCTCAAAGGTGTTGAGCAATTGTGCCCTGTCCCTGGGCCTTTTGGGCCTTCACTTGGGACGTAAGGCGGCGCCATGGCAATCGGCGCATTTCCAGCGTTCAAGCTCGGCGCCTTGTTCCTCAAACAACTGAGCAAGCCGCTTGCAAATTTTGTCAAAGCACGCGCTAAAAATTCTTATTTCTTTCGCACCTACGTCTGCATGCCTCCTGCGCAATTTTACAACTGGTGCGAGGTAAAGTCTGCAAAGTTTTATTACTCGATACATACAATATTAATAGAATTATTCACTTTCAAGGTTAAAGGAAAAATGTGGAGCATGAATCTTGGATCTTCTGGTGCTTCCGTGCCAAGGTTGAACGAGGCCATGGCCATCGAACTGGGCGCCAACCTCTTAGGCGAGACAGTTATCTTCGTCACTGCAGCAGCTATTCTAGTTTTTGAATATGCTCGTAGCAGCCGAAAAGACCAGGAGAAGGCGCAACGCTTAGAGGACAGACTGTCCCAGATGCACCTGGAGATCACAGACCTGTACTTCATGACAGAACAGCAAAAAGCACAAATTTCAGAGTTGCACAGGGCCCTGGCTGCGGCCCACTGCAACCCAATTAGGCGAGCTCTGATGCCATTGCATGATTACCACGAACAAGGAGGCCAGACTGAACCTGAGCCACCGCCTGCCGGTCGGATTGTGGCTGCTGTTTCCCAGATTCAAATTAAACTTGGACCGAATCGGTGATTTGTTTAAAAGCTCCTTATGGCAAATTATTCTAATCACACTCTCTGTACAGTAAAAAACAATGTTATTGTTGTAGCTCAATTAAATCATGATAAACCACTGTTAACAGTGATTATTGGTTAATTAATTTCCTCTTATACCTAAGCCTATATATTTATTGTACTAAATTTACTTGATCTAATGTCATTTATTACTCATAGTGCAATTTGAAATATTGCATATTTTAGAGATGATTAATTAAACTGTTAAAAAAAATTTGGATCAACAAAAGAATAATTCAACAAGCCTGCCTTAAGGGATCATGGATGTTGTGCAATTTTCTTTTAGGTTCGGTTAAGGCAAGAATCTTATCATATAATACCGTTTTTATGGGTCTTGCTATAGACTGTAATCTTTAATGCTTAAATTTTTTTTGAAACTTTACGATCACGACTTTTATAATTTTTTTTTTTTTAACATTTGTTTACAATGGGATAGTAACGCATGCAAATTGAGTGGTCAGTTATTTCCATTTAACAGAAAATATACATTTATTTCTTTCTTTCTTGTGTATATAAAATAAAGATGCCCATAAAACAAAACAATGTTATCACCATTTTAAACATTCACGAATAATATAGTCTATGAAGAACTCTGGACTGACAGCGTATCAAGTACAGTTTGGACCAGGAATCTCAACCTCTGCAAATGATTTCAAAGCATCAATACAAAATTCAATAATTTTATAAAATAAATCTTATTACTTGAGGTTTGCAGTGCTCCTCGAGCCAAGCAAATACACAACCAGAGAGCTCGGAAAAGTTGGCAGTAGAGACGGAAGCGTTGAAGCTGTTAAATAAATTGTCCAGAATAGCTCTGAACTGAAAATACATTGAAAAATTAATTAATTTCGTTTTACGATTTATAGTGGATTTTAAAAAACGAACCAGCTGGAATTTGGTATCGTCGGAGACCCTCGTCTCAGTGGGCCCAGGCTGTGCCTGGTGGGCTCTGACCATATTCTCGTAATTGGCCTGCATAATTCTTAAGGCCATCACCTCCTTCCGTAGGGCGTTTCGCTCGTCCTCCTGTTTCCGTCTTTGTTGTGCCAAGTACTGCAGAGAAATTAATTGTGTTAATTCATTTTAATTTTTATAGTTAAATTGTGCTACCTGCATATAATCAATGGACTTGTGAAGAACTGTGGCTTTGCTCAGTTTGTAACCGGAGGCTGCGTCTGCCTGCTGACAAGTAGGCACCAACGCTTGGAGCGCATCATAGCCCTTTTTGATTGCATCTCTCCGTTTCTGTTCAGCCTGAAATCAAAAAGATTTTTATGCGTGAATAAGTTACATATAAATCAATATAAATCCATTTTATAAATTATAATTTATCATAATGATTCATAATATCACGTTTTAGAAGAAAAATATTTAAAAAAAAAGTTTTTTTTAGTTATATTATATGTTTATTTATTTATTGATATTATATTTTATAAATATAATTTTTAGGAATAATGAACTTTGCAAATTTTGTATGTATTCTTTGAAATGGTTAAAACCCGTATAATATTGAATTTTGATTCCCATTTGATTGTTTAATATTGTAATTTAATAATTTAAAATTTTTATTTGAATTTAATTTCATGCGAAAAAATACCATAATCTAGAAAATAAAGATGCATGGAGTTATAATATGATAAGGTATTCATGATGAGATTGTCAGATTGTGAACATACATAAACATGAATCACGTTTTTCACACCAACAAAAATTCCAAATTCCACAACCCCTCCTCCTCCTCCTCTTAATCTACATCCCTCCAACAGGTTCCCTTCTTCATTTGATTGGTTCAAGTACATGTTTTACAGCAAAAGAATGTGGCTTTCGAGTTTATGTATGTTGTGTGTTCCAAATATTTTGCGGAATTTCTCGGAATTTTTATCCTCCAGGACAACACTTGGCATGAAAAGTATGTTTAGACCTGCGTGTGTGCTTCACGACGGCGTTCTTTGTACGATCGCGTGTCCGTGCCGCTGTCATCTTCGTCGTCTGTGTTGTGCGCTGAACTGGACAGCGTGTGAATGGATCCTGTCGAGCTACATCTGCAAAAAGAGCAAAACAACGAAAATGTGCGTTATGAAACAATTGCTACAAGTGTGGTGACCATGGCGAGTTTTTAGTGGATTCGAAAACTTACCGTGAGAAGACGGTCGGCGGACTGTTGGGCTCCCTCTTCAAATCCTCAGCCCATTGGTCATCGCCAGCGTCTTCGGACATCGTTTCTCGCCCTAAGATCCTAAGAAAGGTCTTCGAACTTCGAAGCAAGAGAGAGCGAAAATGAATAGGTATGTTTTGATTTCTCCACTGGCCTGTTTAGTTGTACACGCCCCTTTTTGATTACGGATGACGTCATCGGAGCAAAAAATTGGACTTTTTGAAACCAATCAGATTCTTTAAAATTTAATCAAAGTATAGCCTTGATCGAGCGCTACAGAATTATATTAATTAATTACAACGTACGCATAATCAGATGTATGATGAATGATGATGTTTACTAAATTATTGAAAAATATTTTGTCAATTATGAACTGAATATGGCGATAATTAGGAAAAAGTTATTTACATATGAAAATTAACAAATTAAGAGATTCTCTCTTTTAATTTATTTTACAATTAACATATTAAACACAGTCAAAAATAAATGACAGTCTTATTTGAAAAACGTCTCCGCCCGCACTCTCTTCGGCAAATTAAGCAAATCGTCGGTGATTTTTCCCTGTTGTGGGGTTGAGGGTGCAGTGGCCATGGTCCTCTTTGGTGTGCAGATGGGCGTTTTGGGGGTTGGGGTTGAAAACCCTGGAGTTCGCTGCGGCGTGTACGAGGCTCTCAGCGCTCGATCTCCAACTTTGTGAGCTGAGGCAAGACGCTGTGCTGCTGGTGATAGAAGAGGAGTTTTGCTTCCAGGCCTGAATTTGCATTGAAAATGTTAGATTTCTTGTGAAATGATTGTTTTTTTTTATGAATATTAGATGGAGAATTAAGAAAGTGTGAAAAAGCAACAAATTTTGCTTACGTTAGAGCAATATTTTTGCGGGCAGCCTGGATTGCCTTGAGTTTGAGGTCTCGATGCCTTTGACCAGCTTTGTCGGCCAGTTCGTGGGCAATTTGTTCACGACGAGGGGTGTCTGCCATCCGAAATGAGGGTGTGTCCAGACGGCAAGGCGTTCCTTCAATTTCTCCCCACGTCATTACAGGCGTTTCTCCTCCTCGACCTAGAACAATATTTTTATTAAAAAAATTTTGATATAAAAATTAAAGTAAATTTTCATTTATTCCTAATGTTAGTTTTTTTTATCCATTATTTAATGAAAGCATACCTGGTGCTGGTGAGGGTGTTCGGACAAAAGAAAACCCTTTCACTTGAGGGGTTGCCGAAGCCACAACTTGGCCGTCAACGCCAATTCTTCCTTCATTAGCCCTCGCTTGAATTTGCGCTGCGGCCACAATTTTAGCTCTATTTGCTGCGTCGTTGAACGGACTGGACGTTAATCTCGTGTTGGCTGCCACAACTTCATGTCTCTGGGCCGCCATCTCCACTTTTTCTTTTTCAGTCAACGACACTCCTAAAAAATTATATAAAACATTAAAATTATTTAAGTTTGGGAAGCTCGATTGAAAAATTTTTACCATCCGGAATGTACATGATGTAATTCTGGCTCTTGTAATTCCAACCGTCCACATTCAAGGGCTTCTCGATGCCTTTAGCCTGGTCCTCGATGGATGGCAAAGCGAGCTGCATTTCTCTCTCATTGGCATGTTTTGCCTCTGCTCCATAGAGCCAGGAATACTAATTAAAAGCCTAATTAACAATTGTTCTCCCACGAGCATTGAAAATTTTACCTTTTGTCTTCGTTTTTCTTCAGCATTGGACAAAATATCATTAAAACTTTCATTATCTTCAGATGTGTGCATGTTCAAAAACTGGTCCAGGCTAAGCTTTTTCGCCCCCTTCTGATCAACTTTATCCCAAAATTTGTCCTTGACCTTTTTCGCATTTGTTCTTTCTGGTGTTTCAAACGTTGCAGGACTTTCTTCGCCAATTACTAAAAAAAAATATTCAAGTTATAAATTTAATTTTTCATTAATTTAATAATTTCCTTACAATTTGGGGTCATTGCCTGCGGTTGACTTCTTTCCCTGATGTCGGCCAGGTCGGGGAAAAAGTCCCTCTCGATGATGTTGGCCAGTTCTTGCGTGTACGAGTCCTCGTCCAGCACGACTTGGTTCACAGTCCTCTTTTTGACTCGACCTTTCGGAACGAGTGGTTTCTTGAAGACGGACTTTTCCTCTTCGTGAGAGGCTCGCATCGCCTCCAACGCACCCGTTCCTACGCCCCCGGGGGACGGACTCGCCATTTCGGCCCCTGTGTACCTACTTATTCGGCGGAAATTAAGGACAATTCGCAACTCGCAGACCCTTCAGCAACAAAATAATAAACATCAGCCATGTTGTCACGTGACTGTTTCGCCGGATTCGATTGGCTCTCGCATTTCTCCACGAAACGCAATGTTCGTTTTGAGGATAAAACGCGCGAAAGACCCCCGAGCCTCCCCCAAATTTACATATTAAAATAATGCGATGAATTAAATATTAAATTGTTGGGACAAAAACCCGTGGAGGAAAAGTAGATTTTAAATTCAAGCACTGCTGTTTTACTAGCAAAAGTATCATGTGGTTTTATTTTATTGCAAAAATTTATTACCAAAGCACTAAAACAAGCGGGTATAATTTAATACCAAAATTTGTTTTGGTCTATTTCAGATTAAGCTCTTTTCTAATTTATATATTGGAAATAAGAAATAATTATGTTTAAAATTATTATATTTTACTGAATTAAAATACGTTAAAATATAAGTAAAATTAAAAATTGACGTAAACTTTCAAAATTAATTTTTTTCTTCCAAAGTTTCAAATGTTTTCTTCCCATTTACTTTATTTTCAATATTCAATGTGCTCAACTGATTAATTTATCTAATATTTTGTACAGAATATTGCCGTATATCAAGTAAAAAATTACAATATAAGTGCTTTTGAACTTTGAAATTCACACAAATTTTTTAAAAATTTACTGCCAATTCAAATTTTATTTCCTGATTATCCACATTAAATTTGAGGTTAGCAAGTTAAAATAATTTGCTTATTGTTAGTTTCCAGAGAATTTGAAATTGTAGTGCGTTTACAAATTTGAATTAATGGTAGGGAGTCGCTGAAGAAACAGCGAGTTAAATTTTAAAGGAAGTAAAAACAAACATTAAATCGTTTTTAGGGGAGGCTGAGGCCTGTTGAGAGAAATAGTGTCACTCGAGCTTATTGCTGTTTCGCCTCTGCAACCCTCGATGCCACCCAAGCGTCAAAACGACACCCTCTCGCGCGCTGTGTGACAAAAAACACACTCTCGCAATCGACTCAAGACCGGCTTTTACAAATTGCATTTGCACCTGGAGTTTTCCAAAAACAGTGCAGCTCTGTCTGGGACAAACACCCTTTTACATTTGGCGTATGGTATAATTTTTTTATAAAAAAAATTCACATAAATTCCAGCAATAAACTCTGACAGGTCTTTGCGAACAGACCTCACACGCGCAGCAGACGTTGTTTTTTTATTCTTTTCTTCAGATTCTGTAAAATAAACAGAACAAATTTTTCTTTTATATTTTTTATTTCTCCACTTGAAAAGTGTGTAGGAGCGTTTTGTCTCGGCATTTATTATCGGACCGTGAAATAGGAGTGAGTTTTGTTTGGCTAGGAAGTGTTGGGGCGAGGTGGTGAAATTTTGGAGAGAGTAAAAAGGGCTCGAATCGGCGTGCAGTTGGTTTGCGCCGACGACACATTGATAGCCCCGCTGACACAAATATCGGCGCCGCCGCCGCTATTTCCGACGACGCCCCTCAAATCTCGACGCGCTCATGCCAACTCCAAAGCCGACAGTTTCCAACTCTTTTTGCCCTCGCCGCGAGTATGACCGCCCGTGACTCATTTCGCAATTTTTCACATTCGGTGGTCTCTGTTAACATATTATTTCTAGGATTAGAAAAGCACTTGAAGGGATTTTCTCGCCTCTCGAGCAAAGCGTCAAATAACACTACTTGTGATTGCTGTTGATGCGAGTAATTTAATCCTTTTGAGATATATGTTTTTTGTTTTTGCTCTTCAGCACGAGGCTAAGCAGTTCTTTCTCAAAACCAAAGGCAATTCTCTTGATATATTATTTGCAAAACAAAAAGTGGTTGAAAAAGATCGGAGAGATTTTTCTTTGATTAAAATATAAAAGAAATCTCAATAAAACTTATGTCTATATAGATTGTGTTTTTGATTCTATTATTTGGAATTTAGCTTTTAATCAAAATTATTTTAACTTTTTATTTTTACTGGCCCGCTCAATATGCAGCACTGATGTATTTGATTTTTACTTCATTTCTCTCCTTTTTTTTTTTTTTTTTTGCAATTTTAGAAAAATACTAAAATAGTTTATTTATAATTATAAAAAAAGATGCCTGGAGTTCTATTTACACGTTTAAATATTATTCTCTGCCTGTTTAGCAAAATTGAACTAAAGAAAATTCTAAGGCTAAGGCTCAATTTAATTAATAAAAGAACAAACACACTGAAACATTTTAATAACACTTTTCACATGGTCGCCTTGCTATTTCTTTGCTAGCTGCGACCATCAACTTCACGCAGGAGCTTTTCAAAGTCCTCGTCGTCCGAACTGTCCGTCATTTCCTCCGGTTTCTCTTCATCTTCCGAGCTCTCCCTCAGATCTTCGAAGCGCAAATAGTCCTTGAGTCCGTTGGGCAGAGAGGTCAGCTGGTGAGTTTTGGCGACGTAGTTTTTGGGGCCCAAGGCCTTGACCACGGCCAGTCTACATGAACTGAGCAAAGTCCGAGGCTGGGCCATCATTTGCTGCAGGGCTTCGGCGACCTCATCACGCCACTCTTCGTTGCAAAGGTGGTCCAAAATGATGAAGCTCAAAATGTTGACCGGGAAGTTGATCGGTGTCAGGCTTTCAAGGGCGATCTCCCACAAGTTGCAGCCAAACTCGTGCAAGATTTCCAACAGTCTGATTTCCGTTTGAACGTCGTCAGATCTAAAATTTAAATTTAAGTAAATCTAAATCGAATAAACAAGGCTTATAGCACAAAAATATTTTTCTACGACTATTCCAAATTAATCCTCAATTATTTAAAGGTTTTTATTATAAAATTCATTAAAAAATGATGCGCACTCATTTTATAACTTCCAGTATTAAAAATAAAATTAAAATAGCTACCTCAAATATTTGACCAAAGTGAAAATTCGGACGACCTCGTCTTGATCAAAGCCACTGATCTCAATGGCGTTGGTCAGTTTGGGACTGTTGAGCACCGCGCCGTGTCTCAGCAGCAACCGCAGGCATTCAGGTCGTTTCCACCAAATCGCGATTCGTAGCGGGTTGGATTTAAAAACAGCTTCAGAAATGCTCTCTTGCATTGAACAGGACGCGCTTAGCAGGGTGTCCAGCAGGAACTCCAGGTTTCTGTGTTTCTTATGCCAGACAAGTTCCATAACCAGGTCAGATATGATTGAAGGCCTTTCTTCAGCGGACACCAACTGCAGCATTTTGAAGCCCAGTGTCATGGTCAGCGTCGAGTCCGAGTCCAGGGTGGTGTGCACGATGTACCTCAGGACGTCTTCGGGAATCATGTTCAGGTTGCTGTAGCGCAAGAGAAAACGAATGCACTTCCGGTGGCCAGCTCTGAAATTTATTATTATTTTTTATATGGAAATAATTCTTGCGGACGTTTTCTAATTTTTACCTGGCAGCGCAGCAAAGGGCGTCTTGTAACTGCAGCGGGGCTGAGGTGTTGGTCAGAAGGACTCGGGTGCGGAGGAGGCCTAGGTCATCTGTGGTGCCTTTGCAGGAGGGCGGGTGGAGGTCGGAGTGGCCGAAAAAAATTTGGGACATCTTGCGAAGTTTTGAAATTTGTGAAATGAGTAACTAGAGCCGACAATGAGCGAGTTTCTCTTCTCCAACAATAAGAATTTTGGTACATTTTACTGTTGGTTGTTGCGTGAATTTCGTTATTGCTTCTATCAGAATTTTTGTAATTTCGAATTTTATTATTAAGTACATATAAACCACATAAACTGTATAATAGTAAAAATAATGCATTCGTCTATCATTAGAAAAATATAAATGAGAAATTATGAATTTATGCTTAAAGATTATAAAGAAATTTTTAAATAAGTTAGTAAAAACTCTTATTCTGCTTGCAATACTTACATATTTTTACTTACAAATTTACAAATCTATAAATAAATTTTTTTGTCAAAAGGCAAGAAATTCAGTGTAAAAAAGACAATATTATCATTATTATTAATATTATTTTTTATTACAATAAGATTGGATTGGCTGAATCATTTATTAATCCGTTGCAGCACAGCAAGTGAGCAAATAACAAAAAAAGATTATGGTTTGTCCAACAAAGAGGCAACAGAAAGTTAATAAAGTAGATTATTAATTATTATTTAAAACGATGCTTAAAAATTATATGGGCAAATTAAAAATAGAATAATAAGACTCGTTTATTGCAATTTTCGGTCCTAATTCCTAATTCAATAATGGTTATAGTAAAAATTAGCCGTGTTCTTCCCCCGTTGCAGAATTTTATTTTATTAAATCTTTGAATTATATCGAGAACAATTTCCTTTTTAATTAATATGTTACAATTTCAAATCATTAGTGGTAGAGTTATTTTAATGAATTTAAATAAATAATTTCCACCTGTGCTACAAAATTGCATGAAAAGAAATTCATGAAAATTTAAAAAAATACAAAGATATGACCAAACCGTTTTTAATTTTTAATGACAAATTGAAAATTTTACTATCAAATTTTTTCAACTCGTTGATGCCCTGCGTTTTCTTTGCTGGCTGCGACCATCAACTTCACGCAGGAGCTTTTCAAAGTCCTCGTCGTCCGAACTGTCCGTCATTTCCTCCGGTTCCTCTTCATCTTCCGAGCTCTCCCTCAGATCTTCGAAGCGCAAATAGTCCTTCAGTCCGTTTGGCAGAGAGGTCAGCTGGTGAGTTTTGGCGACGTAGTTTTTGGGGCCCAAGGCCTTGACCACCGCCAGTCTGCACAAACTGAGCAAACTCCGAGGCTGGGCCATCTTTTGCTGCAGGGCGTCGGCGACCTCATCGCGTAATTCTGCGTCGCATAATGGCATGATGAAGCTCTTGTTTCTCAGGAAGTCGATCGGCATCAGCCCATTGGCGTCATGAGTCTCCCACAAGTTGCAGCCGAACTCACGCAAAATTTCCAGCAGTTTCATTTCTCTTTGCACGTCAGTTCTAAAATTTCAATTGGAGTAAAAAGTAAATAAAAATTATTTTTCCTATAACTATTTACAATTATTTAAAGGTTTTAAAGTAATAAATGATAGCTCAATTTTCAAATTGTTTTCAAGAAATCTATATAAACACCTCAAATGATTGGCCCATTTGAAAATCAGGGAGACCTCTTCTCGCTTAATGTCAGTGAACTCAACAAGGTCAGTCAGTCGGGGGTTGAGCACCGCGCCGTGTATCAGCAGCAACCGCAGGCATTCAGGTCGTTTCCACCAAATCGCGATTTCCATTGAGGTGGACATGAAAAGGGCTTCAGCGGCGAACCTGACTTGCGTCGGCCAGGTCGCGCTCAGGGTGTCCAGAATGAACTGCAAGTTCCTATATTTGTTATGGATGGCAAATTCCGTCACAGGGTCATAAATGATTGCAGGCCACTCTTTAAGGGGCAACAACTGCAGCAGTTTGAAGCCCAGTTTCATGGTCAGCGTCGAGTCCGAGTTCAGGGTGGTGCGCACGATATACTCCAGGACGTCTCCGGGAATCACGTTCAGGTTGCAGTAGCGCATAAGAAAACGAAGACATTTCCGGTGGCCAACCCTGTTGTTTTTTATTAAAAAAAAAAAAATAAATAAATAAAGAACATTTTCAAATTTGCACCTGGCAGCACGACAAAGGGCGTCTGCGAACTCCTGCGAGTTGGTTGGTTTGTTGGCCAGGAGGACGCGGGTGCGGAGAAAAACTAGGTCACCTGTGGTGCCTTCGCAGGAATGCGGGTGGAGGTCGGAGTGACTTGAAAACAAACTCAACATCTCACTTTTGGTTTTAAAGTTCTTTGGAAAATGAAAAACTCGGGTCGACAATGAGCGAGATTTGCTTCTTCAACAATAAAAGACTTTGAAACTTTCCAAAGTTGGTTGTTGCGAATTTATTGTTATATACTTCTCAGAATTTTCTCAAGTTTTAAATTTCATTGTAATATACCAACTGCGCAAATTTTCAAATGTAAGAAAAATGTTTTGTCTCTTTCTTATCACTGGAAAAGTTTTTGTTTGTAAATGAATCCGTAAATTTGGAGAAAAAAATTTTTTTGTCTGCAATATCAAATATTTAAAAAAAAAACCAGTAATTCATATAAAAAAGATACATACAATTGAACGCAATTTAAGATTTATCTTTTTCATCTATTTTATTTTCAATTCATAAAATAATCAGGGTTTTTATCAGCTCTATTCACACATTTTCAGTTTTCCATTAATTGTAAGAGGAATAATTGGATTGCATTAAGCGTCTGCAAATTAATGCAAATATTATTATATGACAGGGTTCAGTGAGTAAATTTCTAAATAAATAAACCAGCTGCGCTCTTTAACTTTGTATAAAATTTTATTGGATTAAATCTGTCTTCTTTCTCAATAATTTTCGAGCCAAAAGAAATCAAATGAATACAATGTTGGCCCTTGTTTTTGGTTCAAAACGCTCCAGTTTTTTTTCTAGCGTGACGCGTAGCTGTGAAAGAAATGTCTTATATGTTATCTGTCAGAAGTCAATCCTAACTATTTTTCCTCTCCAATTCACAGCAAGATCTAAATAATATTATAATTTGGTCATAGTTTTGCGATTTGGGAAATTTTACAAATAAAGCAAAGGTGTGAGATTTTCAAGAACGCAGATTCAGCGCTCATGCAGTGTTTTGTAAATATGGTTTGGGCAATTAGCGGCGAGGAGTGAGATAATAAATTAGCTCGTTCCTTTTTTCAGCTGCAGCCTTCCGACTCAATTATACTTCCTCTCGCGCTCCACATTCTTCCTCCTCTCACACGTCGCGCGCACGACTGCATAGTTAAATAGCAAAGCTTAATTTACTCCGAGTTGCCGCCTGGAAACGAGAATTTTTTGTTTCAACATCGACTAAACAAATCGTGAGCATTTCTCAATTAAATAAAATGTTCAATTTAATTTCTGCAATGCAAATATTGCGGCGTGAAATGTAAAATAAAGTCGAAATAATCAGAGTCTTAAAACACACAAAAAAAGTCATTTTCAGTGCCAATGATTCGAATCAGACAAAATTCGCATAAATATCTGTCAGAATTAATTTTAAATAAATTAAAAAAGAAAAATTGGAAGTCTTGCTCCGATCTGTATATTGATGTTTAAAGTTTAAACCAATTGCATACTTCAATTTATAAAAATTTGTAGGCGATTATGCTGCAAATCATGATCACCTTTTCATTCACTTTTATAATTTAAGTCTTAACGTAAAAAAAAAATATCTTGAGTTCTCTTTTTCCTTTGCTTATTAAATACAAGAGAAATAATTGTATTGTTTGACAGTTTAATTAAATTTCACAAAATTTTCGACGAAGTAAATTTTGATTGAAATTGAAATTTCAACTTTTTTTATCTTCCCCTTGGGACTGATGTATTTATTTGTGCATGGGACAATTTTGGTGTGTGGGGCCATTCATTACAAAGTGCCACATGTGCTAGCACTAGAGCTGTCCCGCTTACAAAAACACAACATCAATTATCCCCAGAGCGTCACAACACAAATTTATATACTTCTGCTCCTCTCGGCAGCATCCAACAGAGCAGCAGAGACGTGTGTTTGAGAAGAGGCTTCTTTTCATAACGCACCCGCTTGTTAGTTTTCACCCAACCAAAAACAGAGCAAATCATTTGTTTTTGTGTGCGTGTGTTTTTTTTCCTCATCCGCGACGGATCAAAATCTGGCCCCGAATTCTATTCAAGGTTGAAAACTTCATTTCTTGGAGATCTTTTCCTTTTGGTGATTTTCGACGGGAACGAATAAATTCCAGCGGCGAGGCAAAGAGGAAGACAGAAGGACATAAAAATTGAGTGTTTGGTGAAATAGCGGCCTGCAAGCGATTTTGTAATTCCAAGCCGCTGGTTCCGAGCAAAAACAAACGCTGGAGATGTTCAAAGCGGCGCGGAAGAGTAAATGTTTACTCGACTTTTATAAACTCGGCACAGAGAGAGGCGCGACTCTTCTTCTTTAAACTGATCTCGCGAACTCAATAACAACAACAATACTCACGCGACGAAAGACGATTTTACGTCCTTCTTCGCCTCAAAACCAGATGCCACACTTTTTCCCTTCTGAAACAACATTTGCCCTGCTCGGGCTGCTGGATAAACTCTTCACCATGTATCTCTCTCGCGCGCTCGCTCGCGAGACCCGAAAGCGATACACGCCGCTCAAATCTCACGCCGTGAAGCGAAAACTATAAATTATCCCACGCGCCCTGATTTGTTAAGAATTTCCAGAAAAAGACATTTTTCTTCAGTAATTTAAAAATTTAATATTGAAATTTTAGCTCGGCGAAATCACTTAACATAAATTTTATAAGACCTGATAGTTTCCTTTTGATGTTAAAATTTATAGAGAATTAATATCTTTTGCTCTGCGGGCTGCATAGTAAAAGCAATAATTCCAATAATTATCAAATATAAATTCAGTAAAAAAATACATGCAAATCATATCGATTATTTACATTTATTTCTAAGTATATTTTGATGTTAAATATTATTTGCAACTTCATTTAATAAAATTATAATTTAAAATTCTCAAGAAAATTCATACTATTGAATAAAATTAACTAAAACACTGTTTTTTTCAAATTATGAATATAACTTTTCCGAGCTTTGAGCTGTAACCTCAAAATAGAAAGATGTTTTGTCTTTTCACGTAAATAAAATTTGACAGAAAAAATTTGTGCGCTCAAAGAAAACTGTTTCTTTATAATATTGTTTTTTCTCTTTTATATTTCCATTTATTTCCTTCCAAATTATAATTTGTAATTCCTATTTCCCTTTCATACTGACAAATTAAAATTTTATATCTTTTATATTCTAGACTGTCAAAAGAACAATGATATTTTTATTTGTAAATTTTTAATAATAATTATCGTTAAATAGTTAGAAATTTTAGTTGTTCAAAAATTTTTTAAATTTTTTTCTTCTAATTACCTGAAATTACTTACAGACTTTGAATACAGACAAACATGCACAGGATTTTTCTGTACTTCAAAATTTCTTGCTAAAGTAAAAAATTTAAATCCAATTTATATTTGAGGACAAAAATCATAGAGTAATTCAACAAACGCAAATTTAATCTGGAATCGATTATAGGAACTTGTTCAACTAGAAAAAATTGGTTTAAAATAATGTTGACGCAATCTTATGATGAAAGTTTACTTTTGGAAAGAGAGCAAAGTGACGAAGGAATAGCAATAAAATTTTTAGTGTCCGAACTCGCGGCCGAATTCAGAAGGGCTATAAAGTGTGAAAGCGTATTGGAGGGCATGCAAAGCACATTTCGTACGAGAAAGAGGAAGGGTTGCGCGAAGAAGAGTCCTGTGCCCGCGGCGCGTAAATTTAGCCTCAGGTGCTGAGAGACACGTCGGCCTCTAATGCGAAAGAGTCTCTGCTGCCGCGCGGCTACATCAAGCTCAAGAGACACACCCCAGACGAACAGGGCCAAAATTAAATTTTATATTTTGTGTATACTGAAATGATTCAAGTTTTATTTTAGTAAATAATCGTGGTAAATAATATTATATTTTTTATTAATTTTTTTCTTCATATAAATATCGACAATTATGCAATGTACATCGGAGAGGCAGCATTTTTATCATTTTGATTCATACATTTTTTTTAATTTTAAGTTGAGAAAAAGCTCTTTGGTTGATTTTTTTTTCAAAGGATATGAATTGCAATTTCTCACCTCGGAGGAAATTCAAAGGGACGGGGATAGGGGTGAAACGGAAGGGGGTGTGGGGGCGGCAAAGGAAAGGAGGCGGGCGGCGGAGAAGGGAACGGCCGCGAGTAAGGAGACGGAGGACTTCGGGCCTTGTGGCCGCTGCTGAAAAGAGGCCCGCCGCAGGCTTCCGAGATCCCAGAGGCCGCGTACATTGGCGGAGGCGGTTGAGACGGTGCAGATTCGCCCTCTGCTGAAACAAATTCGGCGTATAAAAATTTTAAATTGCGCGATTTTCTTATAAAAGGAATATTTTCATAAGAAATTTCTAACCTTTTCTCTTAGTAAATTTTTTTGTTTGAATCGTTATTTGGAGTTGAAAACTGTTACAATTATTAGAAACAAAAATTTTCACACAATAATAGCAAATCAAATGTTTGGATGAAATTTTAATTATTCTGATTAATGTGAAATTTTGGAAAGGGAAGGGAAATTCTTTTCATTAATTAAACTTTTTACTTTCTTCCTAATTTTACCAATAAATTTACCAATCCAGATGAAAAAATTAGTGGTAGAATTTCTGAACATTGGAAATGGAATGCCACAATTTATCCATCAACATTCAACATAAAACTAAAAAATGTCAAGCTACGCTCAAGAAATAACCAATTAAACTTTGAGTGGTAGCTTGGAATCGTCACAAGAAATCTGGCAAAAAATGCACAAAAAGTAAAAAAAGTATAACTCACCCTTTTGCGTTAAACTCTTCGATCTGGGCAGATGTCCGCTCGGGGTCACGACCTCGCCACCGCTGGAAAACAAAAAGCAGAAATTCGATTGCAGTTACAGAAATACCACGCTTAATATCCTCGCTTTGTGAAAGAATTTCTCATTGCAACTTTCGGAATGTGAAATGTCTGCCATCAATCTCTGGCGGCTGACGGAGAGACTGACGAGTTATTATTTAGTGAGCCGCAGCCTAGCCATCAATCACTTTAATAGCCGCCGAGCAGCGCTTTTGAAGCTTCTCTTATTTTCGCCTTGTCTCCAAATGACAAACTTTTTGACTCAATTACCAATAATTTCAATCATACATACAAAAAACTGGTGAAATGCGAGGTAAAAACAAATAGTTAAAAAATCTCACTGGTAAAACATTTTCTAATTATTTAAATCTCGCTTGGTGAAAATCGGATCGGGAGTGATTAAAATAGTTTGATGCTCGCTCGAAAGGGTGCCAAAGAATAAATTAGAAATAATTGGCGTGAGCGATGCGGCTAATTAATCGGACAATTAATCAGGCCAAATGAGGCGCGAGCGAAGAGCAAATGGGCTCATTTCCACCTCTTTTCAGACCACCCGCGAGAACCGAGCATTCTTTTTTTTTATCGTGCAAGCGGTAAAGTCTCGTTAGTGCGTTCGATTTTTTGTCTTCATTTTTCTACCTCGCCGGAGCCGAGGGTGGCTTTTTCGTTCATGTGCGCGTGCTATTTTTAACCCTTAATAATGCGTTTGTAAGTGGAACTCATTTCGCTCCATTTCCTGCAATTCCAACTCTATACTCGACAATAATGACTTTGGTCGTGAATTTAAATTTCACTCAGGTAACAGTTAAAATAAATTAGTAAAAATTTAAGCAGAAATAGAGATCTATCTAAATTAATTATTAATTACAACAGAATTATTTCAGTCAGGTTTTGAGCAGCTCCAGGATTTGTTTTTTAAATTTAAATTTTTTTAATGTAGATATTTTGATCCCGTAAACATTGATATCTTTCACAAATTTGAAATTAAATGAGAAGAAATATATTTCAGTAAAATTCACTCACCAGTCTTCTGGATCACAGTCACGGAATCCTTTAGCGAAAGGGTTGCTAGCAATTTTCAACTGTGTTATCTGCGTAACAAATTAAGGAAAAAATATTCAAATTTTTAAGCTGTGATTAAATGTGATAGAATTTCAAAAATTTTTGTAAGGAAACTTACTCTGTGATTCTGATAAGCAGTCACTGCAGTGAATCTTGTTTCCTGGAAAATAAACGTTCGGAAGGTTTCCGCGGGCTCGGGGGGCAAACCTTCGGTTAAGAGGACTATGTGACATCGAGGTTGATAGCGGTGCATTGAATTAAGGATTATCTACGACAAAATTAAAAAAAAAATGAAAATAAGCTAATGAAAAAAAACGAGGAAAAAATTAAACATTAATTTCTACTCACATGGCCATTGTCGTCAAGTTGATTGTTGGTGAGCTTGAGTTTGTCGAAAGAAATGGTCTGCTTCATCCAGTGCGCCCCTTTGGCGGGGGAGTCTGGATGCAGATGCAGTCTCGGCGGCGAAACGGGGTCTGCTTTCCCCGCAACCACCCAAGACGAAGAATGGAACGCATATCTAACGTAAATAATCATTGGTAAAAAAATTTTAAATTTGAAAATTGATGCGGACCTGTATCTTTTGTCGTCTACTGGGACAAAGTCCATCATCAGCATGTAGTCCGCGTTTGGGTCAAGGCCGTAAATTCGAACTTGAAACGTGGGGAACATTCGTCTAAAAAAAAAAACATATTCAGGGAGTAATTTTACATTCGAATTATGGTAATTTGAGACCCAACCTTCCTGCCTTGGTGACGATCATTTCGGTGCCGAGTTCATTGAACTCGTCCCACAGCGGCTTCATCTCCAGCGCCACCCCTGCGCCGGCCAACTTGCTGTGTACACCACCGCCAGGGTTGTCACCTGGAGGTGGTGGCAACGAGCTGAGTCCTGACGCTTGCTGCATCGCAGGTCGCGAAGCACTTTGCAAGCACGCTGTAGACAAAAAAAAATCGCAATCCTTACATCGGCCGTTGTAAATTTGCCATCTTTAAAAATACTTATTGTAATTCTTGATTCAAAAAGAAAATTTTAAATTTTTACAATACCCGGACTTGTTCTACTTCCTTTTTCTCAAAATAAGAATTCATCCGGTGAAAAGTAAGAATTTATAAAAGTATAAAAAATTTAAATTAGTAAAAATTTCACAATCGGATCAATTAAATATTCAAAGAAGTTTATTTTTAATTAGACTTCGTGTGGGATGTCGGAGTCGCCTTGCAACGGAAGATTGGGCGAGAGGAGCCGAGAAAGAGAGCTATTTAGCGTGCTAACGAGGTGCCGCTAATTAGGACACGCGGCTCGTTATCATCGCATCAATCATTCCAGACGAAAAAAGAAACGGCTTCTTCCATTAATGCATATTTATTACTCCATTTCCATCCCAACGTCAATCATAAATTATATGAAATCTATTTTTTTTTTCTCAGTACAACTCTGCACGAGAAGATGCCGCACTAAAATGTGATCTTCAATTACGAAACTTAGAACCCAATTAAATTTTTAATGCAAAGACTGATTCTATTGTTCTCCACAAGGCACAAAAACCACTTTTTTGAAGGAAAAACGCAAAGTGGAGGGTTTGAATTGTTTTGAATTCATTAAAGATTATAATGAATGTGCGTATTTCACTTTGAATTTGATACAGAATCTGAAGAATTTCCAAAAACCTATGCGAAAAATAATAATTATGCAATTTTTAAGGTTCCGTATAAACGCATTATTTTAACAATCTATAATTGAACTGCACTTTATGTAAAAGAAATAAATTATTATTTTATTAAATAAACGCCTTCAGTGATTGTGAATTTTAGGGTGATAAGAAGAAAAAAACATTATTATTTTAAAGCCATCAAGATCTTCGTTGATTATTTTTTCATATAAAATGCAGAAAACGAATCTCATTTTCAACATCACGCCGCCTCTTTTCTCTTTTGTGGTAAACTTCCTTGCATCAAAATAATTTAATGATTCAATTTAGTATTTTCGAGAAGAAAAACTTTTGGTAGTTATAAAAATCTATTATATAGGCTGACAAAATATTACGCAGCTAACGTTAAATAATCTGATTTCAGTTTTGGTACAAAATAAAATACAGCGCTATATTATTTTTTTTTTTTGACAAAACTTTTGTTACAAATTATTATATGCAGTTGATAACATCAACATCAGCTTTTTCTGCTTTCGTTAAAAACACTTTTGGGAAAATCTTCGCGTTTTAAAGAAATCTTCATAAAGCAATAAAAAAAGCTTAATTCTCGCTTGTTTGGAGAAAATTAATTGTATTGAAAAATAGTTACACAATAATTACAAATAACACTTTATGTCTTGCTGATGGTTAAACATTTAAAAAGAAAAATTTACTATATCACTCAGATTTTTTTTTTTGAAAACAAAATATTTAAATAAAACTGTGTTCATGAAAAATGACATGAAATTGTAAAGTCAGGAGTATTTTATAAATAAGATTTATGGAGAGTTAAATTTTCAGAGAAATTTGCGTTCATTCAGAACTATAGTGGAGCCAATTTTGAAGTAGCTGATGGCCAAGGTTTTGAGGAGAGTTTTATACGAGCACAAAAAGTGTACCTGCATTTTGGCTGTCGTCACCGTGGAGTGCGAAATTCGCGAATCGCAATTATACGAAACAAGGCGTAAATTGAACAGAGGTGCAGCGGAGAACTGAACGCAAATATAGCAAGAGCCGAACCAACTCACCCTCCATCTGACGCACGGGGGTGGCCCACAGGTGGTGCTGCTCCATGCCTGTCAACACGGCCTCTGACTGCAGAGCCCAGGGCGAAGAAAGTTCCTGTCGCTCGCCCCCGACCCCGCCTCCGTGCTCCGCCCTAGGCGCCGCCTCCGCCAATGCTGGCGCCCACAGCGCACTTAAAACACCCTCACTCTCGCCACTCTTTGGTCCGCACGCGTCCCGACTCTCCGCCAATGTAAATCTCCATTGGGTGCGAACCAAAATTGCATTAAATTTCAATTTAATCATCAAGAAAAATTTTCACTACTTGCAATTTACTTAATCTGCAATCGCAATTAAAAATTAAAGGCCTTTGATTGAAAAATATCTTCTCGATTATTCTTCAAATCCTCCTGACCCGTCTGGAGATCTATGCGCCTGCAAAAGGTGTAAGTAGGCAACCCGCGTGTTACTTAGGTTGCGCTAGTTGCATAACCATCAAATACCAACAAAATTTTGTTAAAATTCTCTTTATGAATAATTTTCATGCATTACATTAAGTTTTATCAAACAAATTTGATTCGTCAGTTGGTTTAATTAAATTCTAGTTATTTAAAAAACATCACTAATATTTTAAAATCAATTTAATTTACTATTTATTTGAACTTAATGTGTACAATTTATTTATAATATTCCTTAGTTTTGAATAACAAACTATTAAAGGAATTTCTGACCACCCGTTGAAAAACGGTCATCAAGGAATTTTGCTTTGTTCACGATCGCTTTCTTCTGGGCTTCGTCAAAGCGATTCACCTGCAAGTCACGATCTCGATCAAACATCTGCCGCTCACCAGATCCTTCACCCTGAAAAGGAAACATTATTAATTTAAAATCATTGAGCAAAAATTCATATTCTGCGTAAATACCTTAGACTTTTTGGATTTCTCTTCGTGTATCTCCATTAGAGATTTGTGCTCTCTTTTATGGGCTTTAGCCATCTTGGCCATCTCCTTGTCTCGTTTGGCCATTATTTTCTGCTCGAGCTCCTGCTTTGGGTCCAATTTTTCTTTCACTTCCCCCTGAGAGACGTAATTTGTATTAGTAAAAATATTAAAAATTTTTTAATTTTACCTTCTGCTTCCGGAGTTTTTCCTCTGGGGTGTCGGTCCAACAAGAGGTGTCTGCAGAACGATCAGGGGCGGGGTTTTTCCTGAACTGGCGCGCCTCAAGTCCTAAGAGACCAGACCTGTCTTTTGGTAACTCAAGCATCCAAGTTTCTCGCACAACTTTGTCATCCTGAACACACAAAATAAGTTTTAACTAAAAAACTAATCGATGTCACCCTCACTTTTGAGCCTGTCAGTTTGTTCTTCATCCTTTTGGCCCTCTCCTCTACAATTCTGGCCCAATGCGCTTCGTCTGACGCACTACCAGGTATGGCAGGTCCAATTATGCCCGAGTCATCTTCGTCACTCTCCTCTGTTTTGCTTTTATATCAATTAAAAAAAAAAGCCCATAAAATTAAATTTTGATATTCACCTGCCAGGAATTATCCCTGGTGGTAGGGTTGGTCCGAGCACCTTTTTCTGCCCATACCCTGGAGGCAGCGCAGGTCCGTATTGGGAGGACGATTTCAGATCCTCTTCATCGTGAAGTTCGATGCCGTCAAAAGATTCCTCACTATCCGAGTCCGAACTAGAGGAATTTCGTCCAGGGAGATCCGGCCCCACTTTTGCTCCAGAAGGAATGCTGGGGCCGACTGATGGAATTTGAGGGCCTATCGGAGCATCCTCTTCTTCTTCTTTTGGCGCGCCGTAACCAGGTGGCAATGCCGGCCCAATAACTTTCCGACTCATTTCGCTCTACACAAAAATTAATTAAAATTTACTCGCTTAATTTTTAAAGTAACCTTAAGGGGATGATTGTGACTTACTCTCTTGCTTTGCATACGGATCCTAAATTAATATCAGTAAAATACAGGAAGTAACTAAAATTTCTATTGATCGGTTAAATTCAACTTTGAGTAACAATTTATTATTTCCTGAAAGGAACAATATTTTTTAACAATTATATTCAGTCTGACTAATTTTGTGGCAACAAGCTTCAGCTTTTTTGAAACATTTTGGCAATCTTCGCCAAGGAATATTTCACGGATTTTATGGGGCCAGCTGTAATTATGCCCTTCAACGACTGATACACACTCGAGTTCCACACTATTAGCCTAAGTGCCTTCCTCAGGGCTTCGTCAGTGTCCACACTTTGCGCCAACGCAGAGAGTGCGTCTTCAGAGTCGAGTTTTCTTCTTGATCGTTGGTTCCAATTTCGAGCGAGAATCATTTGCGGTGTTCGGGGTAGCTGGGTGAGATGGTACAGCTTGGCCGTTGCACTGATGTCTTGACAGCCTTCGCCTTAAATTAAAAAGAAATGAACTGTTAACACCTGTGCTGGGTTTTAGTAAGTGATTACCATTAGCGAGCTCCATGTAATTTGATTGGGCTGCCACAACAGGAGCATAGAGCTGCTTGAAAAGCTCCATCTGGCCCTCGACTATATTTTTCACTTTATTCGGGTTTTCTCCGACAATCATTCGAAAGTCGCCATCGTACGACAAGTTCGAAATGGCCATGTAAAGATCCCTTTCTGCAAATAAACTTTTTTCCTCAAACTCCAATTAAAAAAATAATCATTTTTCTATCAACCTGAAAATGTTTCAGGCAGCAAGAGCAGAGCGGCGTGGAGGGCGCTGTGCAGATTTTGCCTGAGGGCGCGCGCCAGTTGGGGTCCCTCTGGCCCTTGGGGTTCCCGAAGCATGGCCACCGGCTTGTGCAGACGTCCAGCGAGGTACAGGGCGCTCCAGTCGATCAGGTCGGCCTCGAGGGTCATGGCTGAGACTACTCCGTACTTAAACATGTGACCCTCCTTGTCGCCGAGGGGCAGCAGGGTGTTGTAGTAGAGGCCGGCGGACGTTGACTCTTGGATGTGGGCCGCCGCCTTGGCGCCCAGGTACCGCACGAACGAGTAGTGGTGCGGGTTGCGTCGCATGTTTTCGTGGTGGAAGAGGTACGCGTTGGGGGTGGCCACCACCAAATCGAGCACTTTGGGCGCCTTCCCGCCCCCGTTCCCCGCCTGCCGAACCACCCCGGACCCGTATGCAAAGCAGAGACTCATTTCTCGGGGCAGAAGCCCCACGATGCGTGCAAGGGCCGCCTCCATACCCACCTTGAGGTGTGCGGCCTCCGAGTCTCCGTCCGGCGGGGTCTTATTTTGGAAATTTCAAATTTGCCACCGTTTACAAGAATCAATGGTTTTTTAGAAGTAAACACGTCCCCACCCCCTAACCACACCCCCTTTGTCATCATCCATCCATCAGGGAATTTCGTTCTCTGCAGTAATTAATTTTCTTCTCTGTTGCAAGTGTAATTGAAATAATTAACAACTGTTATTTTACCTAATGTTATTCACTTCTATTTTTACAGATTTTTGTTCCTCTCCATTACGGTACCATGGCTGAAATCGGCGACTGGATCAACACCAAACTCTCAAAATTCCTCTCATTCCCGGCACCTCCAGATTTGATTGAGTAAATTTTTTTCTCATATATCCGTTTTCTTGCTATGTTTATTAAATTACTCTCATTTAACTAACTACAAATTTCAGCTACATTTGCACTATCAATAATGAGAAAGACTTTCAAGAATACTTCACATCCTTGCTAAATTACAATGACCCCGAGCAAGTTGCTTTCGTCAACGAATTGGCCCAAAAGTTGCTTTCTCGAGGTTTGATATTTTTATTATTTTTCATGGCAAATTTGTTTACAAAGATATTGCAGGAGGACAGGCCTCTGAAGACAAAGAGAATTTTTCTAACAAAAATCCTCCAGTTTCGTCCCGAGAGCAGTTTCCAGCTATATCATCTGCTCCTCTGAGTCAAGTGGAGCAAGCTCGAGAGCCAGCAAAGAAAAAGGAAAGCTTTCCAAGCTTGTCTAAAAAGGAAGTCACACCGCCTAAAGAGACGTCGCCTAAGGAGCAGCAGAACAGCAGTGGCAAGAAGCAGAAGACCAAGTTTGTAAACCTGTACTCCACTGAAGGACGCCAGAAAGATGTGATCACCTTGCCTGGTCGCCACAAGTGCACATGCGAGGCCACGAAACATGCCCTGATCAACAACTGTCTCAGCTGCGGCAGAATTGTTTGCGCGCAGGAAGGCGCAGGACCTTGCATGTTCTGCGGAAAGCTGGTCTGCAAAAATTTATTTTTTTCCTGTAATTTATTTATATAAATATTTTCCACTTAGGTGTGCACTAAAGATCAGGCTAAAATTGTAGGACGTGGTAGCAAAAAGTCAGAAAAATTGATTCAGCATTTAATGAAGCACGCTGAGGATCCAAAAATGGATAAGGCCGTGGAGAAGAAAAACAAGCTGCTTGAGTACGACAAGCAAAAGTTTGTATTTTTCTATATAGCTGCAATTTGTATCAATCTCATAAAATTGGATTTAGCTTTAAGCTGACCAGAGTCATTGATGATCAAAAAGATTTCTTCGCCACTTCAACGTGGCAGTCTGAAAAAGAGAGGAGTCACATCCAGAAGAAAGAGCAAGAATTAATGGGCCAAAGATACGGTTCCAGAAGAGATAAGAAGTTCACTTTGGACTTCTCTGGTAATTAGGCAGCTAATTTTGTTAAATAAACGTTCATCTTTTGCTGATTAGGCAGGAGAGTGGTTGAGGATGAGATTGTTGAAGAACAGTTTAATCCTGAAGATGATCCCATTTTGAAGCAAATCAGAGATGATGCTCTCAAGTCAATCGTCAGGGAACGCCCTGCAAATGACACCAATCCTGCTTTGTTGACGCATAAACCAACAGTAAATTAATAATATTTACTTATTATTTTTTTTTACTTTTTAAATTTTAGTTTGTGGAAGTCGGTATTACACCTCAAAGTGGCAAGGGAAATGAAAGCAGGATCGGTTTATTGGAGGGAAGAATCCAGGATAAGGAGATGTTGGAGATGAGTGATCAAGCAAAGTGTCTTAGCATGCATCAGCCATGGGCCTCACTTCTTGTTCGTGGCATCAAAAAGTAAAAATTTCAACCATATTTCCCTGACAAAGTATATAACCAGTAAAATTATACAGACATGAAGGCCGATCCTGGTATACAAAGCACAGAGGTCCTCTTTGGATTGCAGCTGCGGCCAAAGTGCCAACTGAAGATGAAATTGCAGAAATTGAAAAGGCCCATTCTCACATTGCTCAAAAAGGTTGGTATGATTCAACTACTGTATTATAATAGGCATGCAGAACATTTGTTCCACCACAAACTATTCCATTGCCAGATGGCGATAACTAGTAGTAATTAGTACTTAATAATGTTTTTCAGCTCGTCGATTGTGTTTTTTGTTTTAAATATTTAAATATATTTTATTATTCCAATTTTAAATTATAACAATTTTTACGCAATTATAATTTGCTCCAAAATTGTGAGCAAAGCCGGCGCAAAAAATTGCATTGTCATGTTAGCGCAGATCACCTATTTATGTAATCGCCGGGTAAAATTTTTAGTGGCAGTCTGGCCCTGCACCTGCTCGACAGCTCAAAGACTAATGAAAAGTGCTTAAAAAATTTATTGCTTTTCCATTACTCAATTACTATCTTGAAATATTTTTGTGCGTGTGAAAATATCTTAAATAAAAAAATCGTGTAATCTGTTACTTTATATTCAGAATAGTTTGCCAATTGGCTGTGGAATAGTTTGTTATTGATCAACGTTTTAATAATCCTTTCATATGAAACTCAATTTTCTCTTTACATCTTTTAGAAAATCTCGACTTTCCCAAAAATTATCCTGTAAGTTGTTTGTTGGGTAAAGTCAATGTTGCGGATTGCTTGCCGCAAGATGAGTACCGAGCAGCCTATCCAGATGGTCTTTCTGAGAGCCCGTTTGTCTTTATTTGTGAAAATACTGAAGAGCTCCCATTTTTCTTACCTATCAAAGGTCAACACAAAATATGTAAGTCAAAGACTACAATTTCAATTTTTCTTTAAAATAGCTTTAATTAAATGTTGCTGCTGAGACAAGAATTATCATTATGGTATCAAAACAAGAAAAAAAGGCGCATAATAATCTGATAATTTTTCAGTCACCCTGGACAAGGCTCTCCATCATGCTGCGGTGACTAGCCTGAAGAGAAAGGGTTTGCTGCAGAGCAAGAAGAGACTGGATGCTGCTCGTTAAGCTTGCTCAAGAAATTTTTCTCCAACACCTGCAGAATTCCACGGACAATGTGATTTTTCATTTGTCGAAATGTGATACTCACAGTTGACACGGCACACTTCCACCGGAACGCCACTTCGCATTAGAAAATCGATCCACACACGCTGATTGTTGGATAACGAGTCGTTTGGACTCTTCACTTCAATGAATTTGTATTTCTAAATAAATAAAATGCTATTATAAAGTTTAAAATTCACTATCTTAGTCCTTACATCTTTGCCTGGTGCCCAAACAACCAAATCAGGAAATCCTGATCTCGAATTACGGAAGTCTTTCAGCAACCTCAAGCAGATTTTAATTACAGTTTTTGCTCCTATGCACTCGAACAAGCTCTGAAGTAAATATTCTTAAGCAAGTGTAAATAAAATTAGCATTTTTCCTTACATGAGCTTCCTCGGCACTCCCAAATGCATTAGTATTCACAATTGAAGTTTTACTCTCTATGTCGCCCCAAGTTTTCAAAAAGTGTTCTTTGGACTCGTCAGGTGTCCACTTTTCGATAGTCTTCATCTTCTTTTCAAGTTTCTTTTGGCGTTTTTCATAGAAATCAATGCCATACAAATCCAGTGGTTGCGTTTGGTATCTGCAGATGAATGCGTCAGGTACATTCAAGGTGTAGATTTCTTCCCAGAATAGGAGGCCCATTAGCGTTATCACAGTTGCCCCCTCGTTATGGCGTCCTAAAATATTTTATAATACAGGATTTCCATATATTAAAAAAATTTATTACCTTTTGTGAAATTCTCATTTTTTATGTAGTGAGCAATAGCGCAGTCCTCTACGGAGCTAACCACAACTTCATCAGTGTTTTCACTTTCGATTAAGAATTTCATCTTTTGCCCGACTACTCCCCCATCCCTGTTGATTAAAAGTTAATTTTTTGGTATTTAATTTTACAGTAAATGTAATTTCTCACCTTGTTTTTACTTTGCCCTTGATAGTTATGTTTGGTGGCTCGGAGAGAGCAACAGCCTGTGAATAAATCTCAAGTTTCTCTTTGTTATCTCGGGTCACCATTTTGCTGGTTTTCATCGACAAGGCCCTTGCAGCCAGGCCCACTTTGATATGCAGCTGCACATGGGGATCATCCATTCCTTGAAAAATTGCCTCCGCGGCCTACCAAAGATGTCAAGTAACCATTCCATAAAGTTGATGAAAATTTACCTCGTTGGTGTTTTTTATATACTTCTGCTTCACAAGAGCTAGGCGGTCAAACCACTGACCCCTGTTCCTCATTCCGTAGCAACTTTGAGCAAGCAGATCTTGCAGAATGAATACAACACTGTCGTATTCTTTCAACTTTGAAAGGGCGTCCAAGCCCCAATTCACTGTGCTGACCAAAGTGCTTCCAGCAGTGAATTTTCTCAGATATTCAGGCAATTTTTCATCAAATTCCCTTTAAACAAAAATGTAACTTATAAATATAATAAATGGTTTATTAATTTTACCTTGCGTCTTTCTTGTCCGATTCAAATAATGCCTTGAAACGTTTCCATGCCTCCTTGCATATCAAAGCTGCGCCTTCAACATTCTTGGACACAAATTCCTTTTCAAATTCTTTGTACAGTCGGTAAGCTTTGTGGAATCTGGAAATTTTCAATGAGATAAATTATAAATTAAATGCATCAAAACATACTCGACAAACGCGTCTCTGTCTTTAAATATTGTCTTTTCCATGTTGATCTCGTAGTCAGGGAAAACGAGCTGGCCAAATTTCATTCTGTTGGCCCTAAAAAGCACATCGGACAGAGACGTGTCTTGGAAACAGACTGGCAGCGACTCCAGAAGGCACATTCTGTTGAGGACGTCCATTCGGTCCAAGTTTACCTTGACACATCTTCCCAGAACTCTTCTGACACTGTAATTTGAAATTTGCTATAATATATGGAAAAATAATTACTTTAAAACTCACTTTCTCTCGATGATGGTGGACAAATTCCCAGTTAGAGTCGACTGCTTTGTCCCCATTTTTAGAAGCGTCTCAATGTTGGTGCTTTTCTTTTTGGTGTCATTCATATTGTGACATTTCATGAAGTCTGCCACCTCCTTTACTTTCATCAGCTCGAGCATCTCTCGTAATTCATTCATTTCTGCACTTAAAAAAGTGAATTTTATAAATAAAAATATGTAAAAAATTATACCATTGCTGTCCAGAAGGAACCTGGAATTGATCAACTCATCTATCACTGGGTTCAAATCTTCTGCAATTTCAGGATGCTTCAACTCCGACACCCGTTTCCACTGGTGCTTCACTTTGAAAAGTTGCACCAGAAGTGCCTTGGCTCCTTCACTTACTTGGAGGAACGCAAAAATCACTTCCATGTCTTCCGGATTGATAAGTGACTGGAAATGTTTGCAGACGGTGACGCTGATCAAGATTTCCTTGAAGGTAGTCAGGTTTTCAAACGTTGACTTGCGAGCCTCTTCACCAACAACAGACTAAAAAATCTCATGTAAATTTTTATACCAAATTTTTATGAATAAAAATACCATTCTCTTTCTGGGAGGAGTTTTCGAAGCAGTCGGCGATACTGATGAGGTTGTTGAAGCCGCTTCGGTTGCTACGGAATTCTCCGAGGAACTGCTTTTGGAGGGTGAAAAATGGGCCGCGATTTTCGGTTGCATGGATTTATCCGATTCATCCTCTTCTACAGAGCCCATGAATTTCAGATTGTTCGGGTTGTTCTGCAAAGGGGCGTTTAACTTAACCGACCAAACGTGACCTTTCGGTTGGGAGATGGTTGAAGTGCTTTCCTCCGAAGTGGACGACGAAGTGCTTTGGAAAGAACTGAGATCGATGAAGTGCCTCTTCATTCGGAGAGGCTCTTCATTTGTCTTCACCATGGGACCATAATTTACCACAGGCTTTTTCTTCACCAAACTCTCAGAAATTATTTCAAGCTGCAAAATCAGACACAAATAATTAGAAAATTTAAAATAAATAATATTTCACTCTTACTTCAGGGCTGTCTGAAGTGTCCTTTTTGCTCTTTTTGCTTTCAGGTAGATCAGTGGGGGCATTTGAAATATTTTTATTTGCTCGTTTGTCCTGAACAGGTGATGTTTTTGCCTTTTTCTTCACAATAGCCTCATCACTTTCTGCCAACTTTTTCTTCACTTTCTTTACAGCCACATTATTATTTATAGGTGGAGCGACTTTCTCCTGGACTTTTCCTGTGGATGCAGAAGTAGAAGGCTTGGGAGCAGGTACTGCCTGGCCTGAACTGGACGGTAAGACAGTCGGGCCCAAACCCGACGGGCCGCGGCCCGATTTGACACTAGTCTTGTGGGGTAAAGAAGACTGCGCCACCACACTTAGTTGCGCTCCCTTGTTGATATCACTTGATGACCCTGCCCTGGGTACTCCGTTCTGTCTCTTCCGTTTATCGAGGAGATCTTCGGTAGAAAGTTTTTTTCGAAGCTCATTCTCCACCTGGCCTGTGAGTTTGAAAGTTTTCTTCTCAGGGGCAGGAGGGGCAGCAGGACCAAAAAGATCTGTTCTAACTTTGATGGCCGGAGTTGCGATTTGAGAAGCAGGCGCTTTAGGCTTCAACAGTTCCAATATGGCTCTCTTCTTTATTTCCTCTGGGGTTAACTTTTGAGGCATGGGAGGATTTTTTGGTCTTGATTTCAGCAAGGCTATTGCCCTCTTTTTTATCTCCTCAGGGTCTTTCTCTGGTATTTGAGGATTCAGCAGCATCTCTAGAGCCTTCCTCCTGTCATGTTGATTAAAATTGTTTGAATTCAAGGACAGCCTGGATGGTTGTCGATTTCCTAGTGGCGGTGCTTGAGAAAAAGATGGCCTGAATCCATTGGTTGGCAGCGATCTACGACTTTGACCTTGTTGAGAGGCAAAGTTTGTTCCTGAATTTGAATGTGCGGCATGAGGCGGACCAGGCATTCTGAAATCAATAAAAAATATTATTTCTCCTTAATTACTATACATATTATAATGACAAGTACCGAGTACGTATTATTTTAAATTAGCGTAGTTCTTTAAGTTCTTACCCTGATGCAGAATGCATCACATATATGGAATGGAAGAAATAAGCCGACCGAACGGACCGAAGCAATGCTTATGCTTATGTCTATGCCCTCGGAGCCTCTTTTCCAACTCAATTGCAGCCGAATTGCAGACTGAAATTTTTGAAATTTTCTTTAAAAATATTCTTTTGCGTTAAATAAAACATACAAACCTTTCTTGCTAAAAAGATAAACTCGTTGAAAAATAAAATAACGCAAGCAAATTTAATTTACAAATTCTGCAATTGCGGCGGCAAAATCTCAAATTTTTCTCAAACCATGCCTGAATTCTGATTACCGATCATCGAGGCCCGGGAAGCCAGGTTCAGAGCTTCTGAGGTTCAGAGATCGTAACAACAACCGGTTATCGGCCGATCGTCAATTGTTTTTTTTTTAACAAAATTACCGCAGGCCGCAGGCAGTAGAGTCCGCTGTCCGCTGGCTGCAAGGATGAGATCGCTCGATCGCGTATATTATTAATAAATATCATATTATATCATTCTGTCGTGTAACCACACGACACTCTTGAATTAATCAGCAAGTTCCATTCGAGCGCATCATAATTTAACCAGAGCTGGAGACTGGCCCGGGAGAACTCATTTGGGTTTTAATTTAAGTTTCGGCTTACTATTGGGTTTCGGGGATTAATTGGCCTTCTCGTCTTAATTTATTGTCTCTCAATTTGACTTTTAAGTTTGACTAGTTTGAGTTTCACTTTAAATAACTGATTCCTTAATTTAATTATTATCCTGTTCTTCTTAATTTATCTTTAAGTTAAGCTTTAATCTGAGATTATTCTAGGCTTTAATTTAAGATCTTAACCTCAACACGTGGGGACACGTGTTGGCCAAAGTTTAACTTATTTATCTTTAAATCTTTTAATTAAATCAAGTTAATTCTCTTATTTTAATTTATTCTCTATTGCTTAATTCAGGGTTGCTTAACTTCAATTACTACACAAAGGGTTTAAATTTAATAATAGTAGTTAAGGTTATATTTTCTTAAGTCTAACAAATTACAAGTTTATTATTAATTAAGTTTAAAATATGTTCTAATAAATAGGCCTGATTAATTAAAATTACTTAATTTAAATGAGAGAGAGTCTTTAAAAGGGGTGATTTGGGCTGATTGAGAATTATTACCGGAGTTGTGATGCTAGTGTGGTTGGGCAATATGGCGGTTTTAGAGCAAAAGTGATATACGTCTGAACGGCTTGAGTCTCCCAGGCTGTCTGACTTGTCCGTTGGCGCCCAACCTGGCGTCAGCACGCCAGGTAGGGACGCGGAAGTCAGTGGCGCCGCGGAAGTAGGCGCGCTCGAGAACTTTTTTGAGTTTAAGTGTTTCAGTTACAACGCGGTTTTTACAAATTTTCGGCGGGAATTGACTTTAAACATATACAGGACTCTCTAAATTATTTTTATTTAAATATGGAATGGCCTTTAATTAATTACGTAGTGCTCGCGATGTTGAATCTGCGGCGGTCAGTCTCTCGGCGGTCCGTAGACGGCCAGGTCAATGGCCGGCCTAAGGGAGGGTCACGTCAGTGCCCCCTGGTTCAGCGTCCCGTCCTCGGGGCGCTCAAGGTTCTCTTCCGGACGTGACCCGAGGACTGGGAAGCTCTCCGTCTCCGGGGCCCGAGCCGGCTCTGCAGCGAGTTGTTTGGGCAGAAGTTCATTGAGGACAACAGTTGTCAATATGAAATTTTTTTATATCAAAACATTTCTCATAGTGTGCTGAACATTTCTCAATAAGGAAAAGCCGGCGCAAATGAAATTGGAAGTAATGAGAGTTGAAATAAAATTAGGCGTTTATTAACTACTTTTAATGCATACAGATGTAAAAACGCCACCTAGACGAGAGTTTCCTCTTAAAAAACCGTCACGCCACATGTAGTGTATTAATGAACTAGCATAAAAATGGGACAATTTTATCGATTTAAGGCATTGAAGGGCGATATTTTTGGGTACTCTACAATCCTGATTGAATTTTGAATTAATTGATTTTTGCAAAACTCCCACGTGAGGGGAAATTGCACGCACACCACGAACCAGACCACCCCACAAACCGGCAACTCGGAGTTGGGCAACCCCCAAGATTAATTTTTGCAGAAGCCGCGAGCGAGGGGTGGAGGCGCAGCGAGGTCGAGGACGTGGGGAAGGCCGTGCGGAGGGCGAGGACAAAAGGGCGGCTGTGTTCGTGGGGGGGCTCCGCAGGAGCCCCCCCACGATCCCCGCCCTTTTGTCCCGCCCGGAGCCGGCCTTCACCACGTCCTCGGGCGAGCGCGCCTCCAGCCCGAAGCTCGCAAACTCACAACGTAGTTGCCCACAAAAGGAGTTGTCTGCAAACGGACTTGTAAGCAATAGAAACATAGATATTTGTACTTTTTATTAAAAAAAAATCTGATTTGATGTACCTAGCGACCCTGAGCTGAAGTGTATCCTCTTTTTTTAGCTTCAAATTGTGCGGTAAATTATGCTGCTTTTTTGGCCGTCACCCTTAATTTTGGAAATATTTTCGTGATTCACAAATCGATATTTTCGTAAAATCGTCCCTTTAAATGCGACGTCCTTGCTCTTTAATTCGTCTTTCATCCGCCAGGTATCGCACACGCAGCCTCAGTGCTGTGCATAATGGCAAATAACAATGGGAATTTTCAAATTTAATTTCACGATTTTTTTACTTTCGGAACGTTTGCGCGCACAAATTTCTTTTGGAAACTCATCACAATTGGCCCCTTTTTCTATAGAAAATTTTCATTTCAAAATTTACAACTGTTGTCCTAGGTAGCCTTGTACCATCAAGGTGGAGAGGACCATGCCGTGAATTTCCTCTCGCGATGGGAGGGCTGCGAGAAGTCTGTTCTGGATGCGGGCTGCCAATTCGTCGGCCAGACGCCTCAGGTCCATGTTGTCCTTTTTTTTCGGACACTGTCCCGTGAGCAAAAGAGAAGCGATGGACGGAAAGTTTGATTGGCGAGCGGCGAGGTGTTTGTTTTTGTTGGGTTTTTGTTGGGTCGCATGCAGCCACATTACGGAGTTGGTTGGTAGCAATGCTCTCTTCCTTGGAGTTGTGTTGGCAGTGCTGCAGCAGACGATTTTCGCATGACCGGCGAACAGGTGAGTGATGCAAATTTTTTTCGCAATTATTTTCGCAATTCTTGGTGACTTTCGCGGATTCTAGGCGTCAGGCGCGTCGCGTCTGACCGGTGTGGCTCGGCTGTGGACGACGGGCGACGGCTGGCAGTCGGCGGCCGCGCTGCTGTGCCGACTTTTGGCGAATTGCCGCAGGCGATTTGGTGCACATGGCGGTTTTGGCGGCAGCGCTGGGTGGAGGCGGCGGAGGCAGAGTTTTGCTCGTACAAGTGAGTGTGAGTATTTGTTTGTGTTCCTTAAATTACATATTAATTAATCACGTTTGAGACAATCCATTCATTCTTTTCAGAGTTTAAACATTTTCTTTTGCTAATTGCGCGCAGAATTAATTTTAAATTTTTCTCTGAATTTTCTTTGACAAAAGTTATATACACACAGATAAAATACGCTTATTAATTAATTTAAAAAAAATTCATTTTCTTTTAATTTACAATTGAAAATTTTAAGCTATTTTACAATTAATTTACAATTTTGATATTATTCTAACTGCATCTTTTCGACAAATTTTGCAGTTCGGACTCGCTTGTCCTTCGCTCTTGCGCAGTCATTTACTTAAGTTGGGCGAGAACTTCAACTGATGTCGCCCAAATTTTAATTATTCGCATTCAGTCTGAGCGAGAACTTCAGCTAATGTCGCTCCATTTATACATTCTTATTAACTAAAGGGGTTCAACTTTTATCTAATGTGGCTCAGATTTGCAATTCGGAATTCGGCGCGTTTTCTTCTCTCTTGAACTGCTCCTTTTCTTTTACTGATTTTTCTTTTCTTCTTTGTTTGTTTCAGGTCCTCGTCACTGGTTCCAAGCAAAATTCGGATCTTGGAGACGCGGTCGGCGCTCTCGCAGATTGTGGTGCCCACGGTGTAGGCCTGCCAATTCGGCGAGTTCAGCAAATGGCTCAGGCACTTTTGCCTTCTCCTCGCCCTTCCGAGGCCGGCCGCGCTTTCGAGGTGTGGGCGGCGGTGGTTGCTCGGCAGCTTTGCTGGTTCCTGCGCCAGCTGGCGCGTTTGGAAAATTTTCTGCAGGCGGTGGCTGCCCCCTGGTGGACTCTGGATTGTCATCAGAGGAGGCAGAGTGTCCGGTCTTTTTGGCCGGACTGGGATTTCCTTCCTGGGGCTGTCGTTGCCCCCCGGTTGACTCGTGGTTATCCGGCTGCATCGACGATTTATTTTGCAGACCAGTTGAAGACTGAATTGGCACCATCGGAGGTGGGCCATCCATGGCATGTTCGTCACAGCCGAGGAGGTCGGCCTGCTGGCCTTTGTCTGCCGTGTCCGAGGGACTGCTGGTGGCAATTGAAGAGCCAGATTCTGTGTGGTGCTCCTCGATGGATGACTCTTTGTGTGTCGGCGCCTCCCCGGTGCTCTCGTCTGGAGGTAAGGCACTTGCATTTCTCTTGCTCTGTGTTTCTGACTGGCTTGAGGTTTCAGGAGTACTACTGGAAGTTTGACCTGACACGGGCCCTGTGTCAGACCTCCCTGTGATTGTGCTCGCTGGATCAGCTGCACTCCCGGAAGCTCCAGCATTGTCATTAACTGGTGTGACGTCAGAAGAAAAAGCAAAGGGTGCTCCGATCACAAGTTGTGCAAGGCTCCCTTTTGGTCTGAGATGGCTGACGTGTACTGTGCATTCGACTTGCTCTCTCTCATCTGGGTTCAATAATTTTAAGTCGTAAGTAACGTCACTCCTCCGACGGAGAACTACGTAGGGGCCTCGCCATTTATCACCATCTTTTCCTTTCTTTCCAGGGCGCATTTCTTTGCGCAGGACCAAGTCACCCGGTGAGAAGGAAGGCAGAGGCCCTCGGCAAGTGTATGCCTCTTTTGCCTCTTCGCTGAACTGCAATGCTGCTGCATGAGTGGTCGCCAGGCGAGCTCTCAGTTGGTCCACGACGACGCTGGGATCTTTTGTGTCATGGAAAGACACTTTCTCCTTTGGGTAAGTTATGTCCTCCCATGGTAACTCAATGTCTCTCCCCAGCATCATCATGCTTGGTGTTGTCTGCGTGGTGCGATTCGGACTTGTTCTGATGGCCATGAGAGCAAATGGCAGATTTTCTTCCCAGTCTCCCTGTCCATTGCTGCAGAACTGATTGATAAAACTTCCATAAGTTTGGTGGCTCCTCTCTAGGAGGCCATTTCCTTCAGGGTGATAAGGTGAAGTGAAGATTTGCTTCATTTTTAAGAGTTTTGCAACTGCTGCGATGACTGCGGACGTGAAGTTGGTTCCTCTGTCGGTAAGCATT